ATAACTTTTAAAATATCAACTTAATGAGATGGTTGAATCTAACTCTTAGAAGCATTTGTAAGAAAACCATGGCTATCTGCCATTGTAGTAGTGAAAGATGGTGACAAACTTATTACTAGATAACAGAATACTTTTATGAACATGGTATGCTGATGCCATTAGGGCTCCTGATGCAAAAATTGCCCCTGTCTCTTCTTTCTCCTTCATATCAAACATATAGTAGGCATGTCCTAACTAACGTGGTATCTTTAAGGATATACTCCCAAGAAGCTTTAACAGGTCTCTGCCAGTAGGATTAATGTTTCCTTTTGTGATATATGTACATGTATTATGGTATTGTCCAGATTGTTATATTTCTCAGTTATATATGTGTTTACTTCACCTACTTGTTTACTGGATTCCTTTCAGAATGTCATTAAGGCCAGGACTTCCCTCTCTGGAAAAAATGTATAGAGATGATAGAAAATTTTGCGTACAATTTCAGAGAGTTTATATATTCCTTGAATATCACTCATGGATCCCTAGATTAAGAATACTTATACTAGATGGTGAGATAGATCAGGTCATTTCATCTTCCTTTTCTATAACACACAATACTTTGCAGTAGGTACTCAAAAATGTAGGTACTCAAAAAATGTTATCACAAGGTTATTGATATGCAAGTTTATTTTCCCTGTTCTTAGTCTTAACAAAGACTTATTACACTGGACTAAAAAGTTCTAACTATTTTCTGTATACAGGATACATCTTAAATAAAATGTTCCAGAAAGCTGAGAATTGAAAGGGTAGGGCAAGTGCAATAGAATAAAGCAATTCTTGCTTTATATTAATAGCATACAAAATAGAATTGAATATTAAAACATAGTTTTCTAGGGACAGTGATGGTCATTTTTTATTGAAGAAATATAAAATCCACATGACAATGTAACAGCCATGAACCTTTATGTGTTAAATAATATTATCAAACTATATAAACATGAATTTATAGAAATACGAAGAAGAGACAAAAGTAGTTTTGGTAGCTTTTGTCCGCCTCTCTTTAATTCTGGACAGATTAAGTAGGCAAAAGAGAATACACAAATGTTCAATAAATAATCCCAAAATTCCTATATGGCTATAGAATAGAGTTGTCATGTTGCCTATAAAACATTTAACTAGGAAGATAGTTTCATTATTCCCTAATAAATGATCTTGAATAAATTTAATCTGTTTGACTTGGTCATCTTTAAAGTGGTTGGAAAATACATTTTGCAGATTGGGATTTATAGTTTAAAGATAAGAGTTTTGACAGATTCTCTTCTTTCTATAAGGAGATTTTTTTTCAGTGTACTTTTTCCTCAATTTTTTCTATTTCTATAGAAAATAGTGGTATTTTACATATATATTCTTACATAAAGAACTGTCCTACTTAAATAGATTCTGTTAATAATACTTATTAGATATGGGCTAACCAGGGATTTTGAAAGGTGAATTATTGAAAAACTGACATTTATGAGACTAGACATATTATGGAACTGAATTAAAACTGAAATTATAAACCTAAACCAGGCATGTTACCAGAAAATACTTTGAATTGATGATTGAAAAAGCATGTAAGTGCACAGCTTGGTGGAAGTCTCAATCTGAACGCACTCATGTAATTAACACCTATATCAATAATATTATCAGTACTTCAGAAGTCCTCCCTGCCCCAATTCCAGTCACCCACCCTCCTCACCACTATCCTCACTTCTAATGCCATAGATTACTTTTGCCTGTTTGATACTTTATAAATAGAAATATACAGCATGTACACTTGTTTCTGGCATTCTTTACTTAACATATTTGTGTTCAACTATCTTGTTACAAGCACTTGTAATTAGTTCATTTTTATTGTTAAATAGTGAATATACTCTATTTACAAGATGAAACTTTACATATGTCACACTCCTGATAATTGGATTATTTGCATTTGACGATGATTAGCCATTAAGAGAGTTTTTTTTTTTTGAAGTAGATAGAAATGCATTTCTTTTTACATCTACTTTGTTTCAGCCTTATCAGTACTAGCCTTTAAATTATGGACATATATATAATTTTTGATTTTTTAATCTATTTCTCCTTCTCTTTGGAAAATTGATAATTACTATATATTTTAGCATTTTAGTTTTAAAGCAAAGGGAAGTCTGTCCAGAGAAAAGTTTTGTCAAATTGTTGGCAAATCATTTAGTAATATAGAATAACTTATGTTTGTTACCATTATTTTGATAGTTAGCTACACCAAAAGTATTTTTATGAGAAGGAAAGTAAAGTGAGTTAATTTTTTGAACTATGTTGGTATCACTGATAGAAGTTTTTATAGTTGGACGAATTTTAAGCTATTGGCAAAATATAGTGATCTTAGTTTTTCTATCATCCCTGTATATTTTTAAAAACTTAGATTGGCATTTCCTAGAGATGTATAATTTATAAAAAATTTTATTTTTACAACATTTTTGAATTTTTAAAAAGGATTTTCAAGCAAGAAAAAAATAAAGCAAGAATTATTTACTGTAGGTGAAATTAATTCCCCTAAAAATTAATTATGCCTTCAGTTTTATATGTTTCTATTTTAGTAGGTAGGTTTTTCTTTATAATTTTTTTCAAGATTTTATTTTATTTTATTTTTATTTTTTTAAAGATTTTATTATTTTATTTATGAGAGACACAGAGAGAGACAGAGAGAGGCAGAGACACAGGCAGAGGAAGAAGCAGACTCCATGCAGGGAGCCTGACATGGGACTCGATCTGGGTCTCAGGATCACGCCCTGGGCTGAAGGCGGCTCTAAACTGCTGAGCCACCCAGGCTGCCCAAGATTTTATTTATTTTAGAGAGAAAAAGAGAGAGAGAGCACAAGCATGTGGAAGAGCAGAGGGAGAAAGAGCATCTCAAGCAGACTGTGCTGAGCACACAATAGCTCACAATGGGGCTTGATCCCACAACTCTGAGATCATGACCCTAACTGAAAACAGGAGTCGGTGGTTTAACTGACTGAGCCACCCAGGCATCCCCTCTTTTCCTTAAATTTAAATTGGATTCTTTAATATACAACAGACTGAACTGCCTTTGCAAACACTAGTTGAAGAATATTATTTTTATCAAATGTGACAAAGGTCATATATTCATAATGTAAAGAACTCATCAAATTGATAAGAAAAACATGATCCTGGTAGGTAGATGGGCAAAGGACATGAAAAAATAGTTCATGCATGAAGAACTAAGGTTAAGATCTATGGTAGAATGTTTAGTCCTGCTAGCAATCTATTGAATTCAAGCTAAAACAACCATTTTATTCCCATTCTATCAGCAAAAGTAAGCAGAATAGATATATGCTCAATATTAAAGATGTTAATGAAAACTAGTAGGCTCATTGTAAATGAAAACAGTTGTATCCAATAAAAAAAAGTTGTGAATTTTAAGTTGGAAGACAGTTTAACATTGCATGTCAAGAGCAGCATGTTCTTCACATTCTTTAGTTCAGTTTTAGTATTATACTTTGTAGATCTTGTTTTAGATAAATAATCCAAATAAGCAAAAATTCACAGATACACAAATATGTTCATTTCAGTGTTATCTGTAATAGAGAAAATGAGACATAATATTGTACTGGTAGTCTTTTGCTATGTAACTCCAGAGAAAAAGCAATGCCTTTTGTGACCTAGACTTAAAAGTCACTCACTTCCACCACATTGGATTTGTTAAAAGTATATTGCTAAGCCCAGCTTACCTTCAATGTTAGAAAAATTAAACTCTGCTTCTTGAAGAAAGGAGTATGAGAGAATTTGTGAATATATTTAAAAACTACCACAAACATCCAGCAGTTAAGTAAGACACAAAAATGAAAAATTTTTACTTTTTATACAAATTAGAGTAAAAAAATAAAATTATAAAGAATAGAAGGTACTATGCAAAATAACTTAATGATCATTTTAAGGTTTGGTGAGTAGGAATGCGTTTTACCCTCCTGTGTTTTCTAAATTTTCAGTGTTATATGAGTTTTATAACAATAATTCTCTCTATATAGGAAAATATGACTATTATCAAGCTGTCAGCATAAGCAGATCATGATCGTTCTGATTCATGATATATTTTTTCTTTTTTTATTGTGATGAAATACATAATATAAAATGGACCACCTTAATCATTTTCAGTGTATAATTTAGTGATGCTAAATACATTTATAGCATTGTGCAACTATTATCACCATCCATCTTGTATTACTTTCCATCTTACAAAACTGAAATTCTGTACCCATTAAATAAAACCTCCTATTCCCCCCCTTTCTATCTCCTGGCAACCATTATTTTACTTTTTGTCCCTATGACTTTGACTACGCTAGGTGCCTTATATACAATGGATTCATATAGTATTTGTCTTTGTAACTGGTTTATTTCACTTAGCCAATGTCCTCAAAAGTTCATCTGTATTATAGAATATGTCAAAAATTCACTCATAATGCTGAATAATATTCCATTGTATATATATATACCACATTTTGCTTACCTTTTCATCTGTTGATGGACATTTTGGTTCCTTTCACTTTTTGACTATTGTGAATATGCTGCTATGAACATGGATGCACAAATGTCTCTTTGAGACCCTATTTTCAATTCTTTTGTGCTGTATCATATGGTTAATTCTATTTTTTTTTTTGAGGAACTGACATACAATTTTCTATAGAGGCTGTATCATTTTACATTCCCACAAACAGTTCAAAAGAGATCCAATTTCTCCACACCACGTTGTTGTTTTTGTTTCTTTTTGATAATAACCATCCTAATTGGTGTAAGGTGGTCGTAATAGATTTCTTAATGGTTTAGTTTTCCAATGGGGAAAAAAAGTTATTAGATTATCAGGGCATAAAGATAACTTTTAGAGTTGACAAAGTCCTTTTCTGACTTTTATGAAAGTTAAGATAAATGAGAGTATTTTCTAATATTATAATATTGATGTTCAATGAATGCTGATGGTATGATTGTAGGTAAATTGGCAGGATGAAGAGCAGCAAATCAAAAGAGGTGCCTTTACCAAATCCAAGGAACTCTCAAAGCAAGGATACTGTTCAAGGTATGATTTGTTTTCTTTAAAGTTTAGAACTTAATGCCTTGTTTAGGTCATGTGTATAAAATTATGGGCTAATTAATAAATGAAAATTATATGTATTTGATTTATAAAAAGTGGATAATTTTTAAAATTCAATTTGTTTTAAATATACAAGTTACCTTACCCTCAAAAGTGTCCTATGGTAAACTGTCTTATAAAGGAAAACATCTATTTTAAGAAGGAACCAGTATATGTAAAATTACTTTACACAGTTTTGTGGAAATTCTGATTGTCAACAAATGGTATAATATAGCTTCTAATATAGTTTTAGACCTATATAGTACACAGATAAGAAAAGGAAAAATCTCATTGAACTCTTTTTTTTTTTTATGATGCATTGGAGGTTACTTTAATTTACAACATGATATATTTTGAGGTGCACTGACAACCTGTAGTACATCAGGAGGAAGATTATTTGGTTTATGAGGGATCTGGAAATTATGTCACATGAGGACATTTGGAGGCAATGAAATTGTTTATTCTAGAGAAGGATGATTCAAGGATCTAGGTGGTTTTGTACTATTTGAAGAGCTGTTAGGTAACTAGATTTTACCTTTGTTTCTATTGGTAGATTGAAGTCTGGAGTAATTTTCTAATCTTTTCAACATCATAATGTGAAATACACTCCAATACAAAATTTTGTGTTTAGATCATTGGGGAAAACTGAGGATACTGCTTATTGTTGGAGATGTCTGATGTGGCTTTGAGCAAGGAGGTTGTCGTAAGAACTAATAGGATCAGTGTCTAATACAACTCTAAACCATATATTAGGAAGCGTGGCTTTACAGAATGGGAAAAGAACCATGTTTTGGTTCGATATGATAAAGTATTGCTGAGAAATAGTTCTGCCTAAGAAAATGGTTCTCACACTTTTGAGTGCATTTAGGAGCTTATTAAAATACAGATTTTGAGAACTATTTCAGAGATTCTGATTCAGTAAATATCAATGTTCCCCAGCAGATATAACCACATCGTGGGATGCACTTTCTCAGACTAAGGCTGCTGTAAGTAGTTAGAGCTTCTATTTATTTCTTTCTGGTTTAAAATTGATTTCCTGTTACGATTGAATAGATGACATTTTTTTCTGTAGTACTTTTTTCATAGGGAAATAAAGATTTTGGTAAGAAGTACCATATATTACAAAATTTAAAAATAAATTATATATTACAAAATGAACATTAATGATGACTATTAAATAGTAGAGGGATAATCAAGGTACTTCTTTAGGTGTCAACATTAATGCTATGGCATATAAAATATTAAAGTGACTTGTGCTATTATTCTCCTATAATAAATTTATTCATTTGGTATATTGAAATGAAGATTTAAAACAAAATGAATTTGGGAATGTGGGACTATGTCTATGTAGAAGGCTCAGGGTCAGAGAGGAAATGACAGGAACAGCTTCTTTAATAGACTAGGAGTTACCTCTTTTGTGGCACTGTTTTCTCTCTCAGTACTGCTGAAGACTGACTGTGGGCAACTTGTTTTCATTTGTGTTCTGTCCAGGCTTGTGTGGAGTTTAGGAATCCAAATTTGACAAGTGATACCTAGTCCCTTCAAAGGGAAATTCTTTGCTTTTTCATTTGCTCTCCAGGAAAATTACTCTTCTATATGTCCTTCTTTTGTTTTCTTTTGTATCTTACCTGAATGTGAGTCACCTATTTCTTTACTCTGTGAATATGGTATTTTCTGTCCCCTAATCTTTTGAACTAGTTTGAAAATGCATCTGGAAAAGGTGCTATAACCTAGATTTAGTCATAATGTAAGGCCAAGTACAACATTATATATTTTCTCTCCTACATGAGTATCATATATCTACAATGTAGGAATAATTTTTATTTCCAGTTTAAAGTTAATGTAATTTATTTATTTATTTTTTCAAAAGTTAATATAATTTTTTTTTTTTATTTATGATAGTCACAGAGAGAGAGAGAGAGAGAGGCGCAGAGACATAGGCAGAGGGAGAAGCAGGCTCCATGCACCGGGAGCCCGATGTGGGATTCGATCCTGGGTCTCCAGGATCGTGCCCTGGGCCAAAGGCAGGCGCCAAACCGCTGCGCCACCCGTGGATCCCAAAAGTTAATATAATTTAGAGCTGGACTGTTAATAGTCGTTTTTTCAAAAACTATTGTGTTTTTAGAAATAACTTTTAAGGATGATAAGGGGCTTATAATATAAATACGAGAAAAAGCTTAATACAGATTATAGAGGTTTATTCCAATTTGTGAGTACATAGTGCCACAAAAATCTGAGAGAAGATAAATCAGAATTCTACAAAGTATTTACCTCTCTGTGGTAGAATTTTGATGATTTTAGTTTCATTTTTTATGCCTTTTCTGTGTTTTCCAAGTTTACTCTTGTAAGCATATAATTAGGGGAAAATGCTTTTTATTTTTTTTATTTTTTTATTTTTTGAAAATGCTTTTTAAATAATTGAGAACATTGGTGGTCTTACCAGAAGTTGACTTATATTGTAAAGTGTATGGAAACCTGAGTTTTCTATCTTCTGAATTTTATCTTTATTGTGAAACTTATTTTATAGGCATAAGACTATTAAAAAGTTTGAACAGTTCTAAATTTTAGTTCATCTGAATTGTTCTTTCCTAATTTCCCACGTAAAATGCATAGGATGTGTGACATAATGGTATGTGCCATATAATGTCAGAAAATGTACTGCTTTAAAAAAAACTCAACAATAAAAATGTAAGTTAACAAGACAAACGTTTCGATATTCTTCAGAATCGTTTTTGGTTTTCTTGTCCAAAAATGGGCAGCATTGTATCACTTGTTACTACAGCTGAAGTAATAAGTAATTAAAAAACTAATATTGCAAAAAATCATCCCTGAGTTGTTTTGAATTTGGAGAAAGGTATTGGACAACATAGGTTAAATAACTTTGTAAATTGGGGTGTCTGCCTGGCTCAGTCAGCAGAGTATGCAACTCTTGATCTTAGGGTCATGAGTTCAAGCATCACATTGGACACAAAGCTTACATTTAAAAAAAAGGTAAATAAAAAATTAACTATGTAAATCAATGGTAGGTAAATGATGGTGTGTATTTACGGAATTAACCCGTTTGTTGTGATGCTGTTTAAACTTTAGCTGAGACACATTGAAAACAAATTAGAAGTAGCCCCTACAGGTACAGCTGTGTTTGATTCTGTCATGGATACCAAGAAATCTTCTGCAAGTGCTACCAGAAAAATAAGTAGAAAAGGTATGTATAAAGTTACTTCCAAAGATACAAATATATTAAATACAAATTTTTGATGTTAGTTTTGTTTCACTTTAATTTCACCACCTCATATATTTGCTAGCTCTTGTCAGAGACAATACCTCATCAACATTTAGGGTTTTTTGTGTTTGGTACTAAGCAATTATGAAGCAGCCTCACATTCAGTGACTGGAGATGATGTTTTCACCATCTCTGTCTCTTTTTTTTTTTAAGATTTATTTATTTTAGAGAGCTAATGAGCAAGGGCAAGAGGGGGGAAGGGCAGAAGAAGGAGGGGAGAGATTGGATCTCAATCAGACTGTCTGTTGAGCATGGAGCGCATTATGGTGCTCGATCTCACACCCTGAGATCATGACCTGAGCCGAAATCAAAAGTCAGATGCTTAACCCACTGAGCCACTGGGTGCCCCATGTTTTCACCTTTGGCAATGGGTCTTCATTGCTTTTTAGTGATGAGAATTTGATTTTAAGCCTTTGGGATTATATAAGTCTTTAAAAAAATTCGTAGATCTATCAACTTTGAAATTTAGTTAGCTTCATGAGATGTATGTATTTTTAAGGGGGTTTAAATCATAATTGGAATAGCTAACAGATACTGTCATAAATTGACAAAATGCAAATACTTTCTTTGGTTACCTTCATATATGTAATTCTGTGGTTTCTTAATTAGTGGGCTAAAACCTGGAGGTTAGTACTTTCCATTAAAACCATTTTTTTTTTTTTTTTTTTAGCCTATGTGTCTCTTGGGTTTTAGATGAAAAGTCTTTTTTTAAGTGGGTGAGAGCCTTCTGCAAAAAAGACTTTTATATGTAGAGTTTTTCTTTTTTTGTTCAGAATAGTTTTTTTCTGTATAGATTGAGTTATTATAATAATTTAACCTGAATTTTTCCATCTATTTATATAATATCCAACTAGAGATGCCAGAAATAAGAGACACCTAAGTTATTTTCATAAATACTAGCCAAACTCAGAGGCAATAATATGTTCTTACAGATTTTCTTTTTCTTTAGATGGTAGATACCTGGATGATTCTTGGGTTAATGCTCCAACCTCCAAATCTTCTAAGTCATGGAAAGAGAAATCTCGGAGTCCTCTCAGAGTTACCACCCTAGAGAGTAATGTAAAGAAAAATAACCGTGTGGAGTTTCGCGAACCTTTGGTTTCTTACAGGTTTGTGTTTAAAAATAAATTATCATATAGGATTAGCCTGTTAAGATTATAGTTTATTTTCTGAGTTTTTCATAGTACTCTGACTCTAGTATTATTACTTTTTCATTTTCCAAAAAGATAAAGCAATAATCTTTTATATTATGAAATACTGACTTTCTACTCTTTAACAGATTAAATATCTGGGGTGGGGGGGGGAGGGAGGAGGAAGAATGAGTGGCCCCAGGCTACCAATATTGTAATATGTTTTCTGTAGATAGATTACTCAGTCTCTGAAAGTATGGATTTTTTCTTTCTTAATGTCTCAGATTAGGTGTTGTGCATAATGAACCTTGTATAGCTTAGTTTTCATCTTTTTTTTTTTTTTTTTGGTGGTATTAATCAGTTACCTAAAGTTTCTTCCCTGTTGAGAATGTGAGTTGGTTTATTGTTTTTCACTTTGTTGTTCGTGGCTCCTTTCAGCAACTTAAACTGTCAGATAGATGTTCAGGACTAATATATGAATTCTGATAGTATGGATAATATCAAGTAATGTGTATTTTTATTAGCCGATAATTTAGGATATTCATTAAATAAAGTTATAGAATGTTTTATTTGAGGAACATTTTACTAAATATATAAAATATGTGTTAATGGTCTCAGTATAGCAAATAGTAATAGGTAATAAACATTGGTCCTTATATTTCTTTGTTTCATTTATTAACATTTTTAGTGTTATAAAATGTCAGTAAGTCCAGGAATTTCATGATGGTGCTAGACACTACTGGGTATATGTTTGTACTCTTAAATTTGAGAAAAAGAATTTGGGAGATGGAAGTAGATCAAGAGTTCGTATCAGTTCATAATATCAATGTTTGATTTGATGCAATTTTGAAATATTTAGGTGAAAATAATCAGTAGACATTTGAAAATTTGAGCAGGAATGTGTGTGGAAAGGTCAGGGCTGGGAATATAAATTTGGGAGTTTATACTAGTTTTGAAGTGATAAAAATGGTGAAGAAGATATAGAGAGAAGGCCAGGGAATTAATCTGGGTAAAAGTTTATAGTTTAGTAAAAGGAGAAAGAAAAAATAAGAAAAATAATCAGAGTTCAGAAATCTTTAACCACACAACTATTCAGCAACTTGCCTATAAACATATCACAATTGGAATTGAAACTAAATTACTCTTTTCATATTCTAGTATTCTTTTTGCAAAGAATACTGCTTGATATTTAAAATTTTGTAAATAGTATATCTTTTAAGGTAAAAAAAATACCCATAGGATAGCTGTGAATAGAACATCCTTCATCTAGCTGACTCTATCATGTAAGACTCGTCTTTTAGCACCTTTTTTATGAAACCTTGCCAGATCTGTTTCTATCCCACTCCATTCTTGCAGCCTATTTAGCCCTTCCTGTATGCTCTTATAATACTGTATAACATCCTCTGTTAAAGTATATTCATCTTACTTTATATTTTAATTCATTATCTACCCATTATATTAGTTTAGGGCTGTAAAACTGTCTTATTCTCAAACATTAGCTTAATGACTGTCATTTACTAAATATTCCATAAATATTTTTTCCTAACATTTATTATGAAAATTTTCATATTTACAGCAAAGATAAAAGAATTGTGTGATAAACACGCATATATATTCAGTAAATATTTAATGAATGAGTTAATGAAAGACTGTGAAATTACTTTTTTCTTTTTTTGGTGGCACAGATTGTGACATAATCTGTAAACTACCTTTTTGTGCTTTATTTTATTCTTTACATGTGTTAATTTTATACCTAAATCATTTTAACTATTAATTATTATGGTCTGGTAAAGGTAGTGCAAAATAACTGAATTTAGTCTTGATCTCTAGTAGAAGCTACATGAGTCAGTTCTCAGCCACCGTCTTTTTTTATTTATTTATTTTTATTTTTTTATTTTTTATTTTTTTCAGCCACCGTCTTGTTTAATAATCAACCATTCAGAACAGGATCTAATATTTTTTGGGTCATAGTTTCTAATGAGAATTTGATAAAAACCGTAGACTATCTCCAAGAAAAACCCACATACTCATAGACTTACAATAGATATAATTGCCATAGTATGCTGTAACAAAAAAAAAAAAAATGTATGCTGTAACAGAGTTATGGCTTTAAGAATTTTTGTGGTATTTAGAGTTTTATGCCCTTACATGAAACATCTAGATACATGCTATATAGTAGAGTTGTTAATGTGAACCAAACATATAATTTAAACTTTTTTAATAGTCACATATCTAGACACATGAGGATGTTTTATATTCTTTTTTTGTTGTCATTCTAAGTCTTTAGAATCTGGTATGTAATTTACATTGTAGCACATCTTCCATTTGGACTAACCACATTTCAAGTGCTCAGTAGCCACATGTGGCTAATGTCTACTCTTTCAGACATTGCAGATCCAGATTGTAATGTTCACTTTTATAATTTTGTTGAGTATTTTTTCATAAATCATGTGCTCTTACTGCTGAGGCTTGTCTTCATTTACTTCCCTTTTAATAAACTGTTTCTTTTCCTAAAATATAATTTATTAGAATGATAATATAAAACAAGTATTAAATAGTTAAATAAAATAAAAATCTCAGGAGGAAGACTTTTGCTAATGTTTTTATGAATAGGGAATATAGACTTTGTGATATGTACTTTGGCAATGCCTAATCTTTGCTTACTCCGCGATTTCTAGATGTGCTTTACAGAGTTTGAAGCTACCAAAAAAAAGTGGTCTGTGGTTCAGACAAATTCAGCTTTACTAACTACATTTATTTGGAGGAAAATATTTATTATACCTCTATTTTATTTCTACTCCCAATCTGTTTGTTAATTTGGTACATTATTTAGAAGTTACAAATACAGAATTTGAGAACTTTTTTCCCTGTATTTAGGATTTCATAGAGAAATAAAATATACATTTTGGTAATAGATGTCAAGTGAATATCCAAAGTCAGATTGTAATCCTATTTTCTGGGATTTCTTAAGGAAATTTCTCTATATATCTTTTGCATATTTTTTATTTTGTAATATGCAGATTAATGATTTAGGTTATTTGCCATCTAACTTGATAGAGAGGGGGCATTGAGCTTTAAATCTCAATATTAGTAGTGGTTATTTTGTTACTAACCTACTGGAATTCCTAAACTTTTTTGGGATCTCTGATGTTAGCTTAGCATTCTCTCTTCAGTTTGTATGACTGGTTTCAATTAGGTTTTTGAAATCTTGATTCAAAACGTATTATTTTTTAATAATAGGGAGATCCATGGTACACCTTCCAATATAAGTCCTAGCCATCTAGAGTCAAAGCATGTTTACGTGGATATTAATGAAGAAAAGCCTGAGAGCAGGAACCGGATGATATATAATCGAGAAGAACGGAATATACATTGCTGTGATTTTGAGAGCTCTCAATCCTCTGTCATCAATGATACGGTGGTTAGGTTTTTAAACGATCGACCAGCAATTGATGCATTACAAAATTCTGAATGTTTAATTAAGATGGCAGCTCCTGTGAGAACTGAGGAAGAAAATTCTAATAGAGCAAAAGGAAATGAGAAGACTTCTGTAAGTAACATGGGCCATGAGGTTGATCCAAAAGTGTTACGGATAACTGACTCTTCTCCATCCTCTACTAGTACTTCTAATTCCCAAAGGTTAGATATCTTAAAGCAGCGACAACATGATGTCAAACTGGAAAAACTCAAGGAGCGAATTAGGAAACAGTGGGAACACTCAGAAGAAACAAATGGCCGGGGCCAGAATCTGGGTCATATTGACCATCCAGTAATGGTTGTTAATGTTGATAACTCAGTGACAGCAAAAGTCAGGAAAGTGGCAACAGCACCACCTGCTCCAACATATAAAGGTTTGTAATCAGTCTTTGTATTTTTCTGTTTTCTTGTCCCCCTTTCTCCCTAGGATGTATTTGAGTAGAAAGGCTCATCTTTATAACAGGGTGTGATTCTCAAATCAAATGCTTAAGAAATTAATTCAAAGTGCAGGTTAAAAATGCAGATTCCTGGATGCTACACTGTACCTAAATCAGAATTCTGGGTATAAAGTCCAGAATTAGAATTTTTAACAAGTCACTTAGGGGATTCTTATGGTTTAAGAACCCCTATCTGAACAGTTAATAAGGTGAACAAAAGAGAAAATAAAAGAATTAGTACTATTTTCAGAGAACTGAAAGAATATTACCCTTATTCTGGCATTGTATTTGAATTGCTGTTAGGAAGTCTTTCAGAAGTAAATATTTAAAAGCTAATTTAGTCAATTCCAGTTACATTTAGTTACAAAATATTTTGGCACTGATAATCCTGTTACTATTTTAAGCTTTGAGTTTTGACAGTAACTGTTTCTCCCCTATGTTTGAGAATACAAATATTTAAATCAGATTTATACCCTAAAAAAAGTTAAATCAGATTTATACCAATATAGATAGATTTTCATTGGGAAAATACTTCTACGAGAGAATTTCTGTTTGTTTATTTATTTATTTATTTATTTATTTATTTATTTATCTGTTTATTTATTTATTTATGATAGTCACAGAGAGAGAGAGAGAGAGGCAGAGACACAGGCAGAGGGAGAAGCAGGCTCCATGCACCGGGATCCCGATGTGGGACTCGATCCTGGGTCCCCAGGATCGCGCCCTGGGCCAAAGGCAGGCGTCAAACCGCTGCCCCACCCAGGGATCCCCGAGAATTTCTGTTTTGTAGGCAACTCAAGTTTTTATATATGGTGGTTTAAGAATTTGTATTTTTTTGTTCCTGAACTTGTTTTCAGGTTTATTCGTATTACGTTTTTAATATAAAGAGTTAATTTCATTGCTCAGATTACTCTCTGTTAGGCTTTTGTCATTAAACTTTCTGCTACTGTAGCCTTTCTTTTGTGAATACTTTTTAAAGTTCAGTTTTTCAGGGCACCTGGGTGGCTCAGTGGTTGAGCATCTGCCTTTGGCTCAGGTTGTGATCCCACGTTCCGGGGGTCAAGTCCTGCATCAGGCTCCCCACAGGGAGTCTGCTTCACCCTCTGCCTGTGTCTCTGCCTCTCTCTGTGTCTCTCTTGAATTAAAAAAAAAAAAAAAATTCAACTTTTCTAGATAAGTGTCTAAAGATCAAAATATTAAAAAGATTCTTTTTTTTTCCTGTGAATTTTAAGTTGTTAACAAACTAGGACAGTTTTGGCATAGTTAATTTTGTTTTGTAATTTTCTACCAAGTACTAACTTTTCTCTGACCAGCTTTGCAGTTCTTTGTAGTCCTAAGGTGTTTTAATCTTTTTCTCTAGAATAAATTTTATATGTAGAGTTAGAGCAATTTTCAGTTTTATTTTGTGTTGCTTATTATGTGTTAATAGTGATATTCATTGTAAATTAAATAAAAGATGGGTAATTTACGACAATTATTGGATGGATATTAGCAACAATTTTATCCTTGCTAATTTGTGATAAAATTATGAGCAGTTCCCTTAAGAATACTGAAAACTTGCTCTGTTATCCAGGATTGGTCTAATGTAATATTAATTAAATTATTTCATATCCTTCTAGTCATTTGTGTACCATGTAGTTATCCATGCTTTTAACAAAACAAATAGCAAATGGTGGGATCAGAATGTTCTTGTTGGTTCTGAGATAGTGATTATCCAGAACTTTTGCTATACTAATGTCAGATCCATTAAATGAAGATTGTACATTTAAGGTTGTCATTATTTGCTATATTAATGTCAGATCCATTAAATGAAGATTGTACGTTTAAGGTTGTCTAGAAATTTATTCTAGAAATCAAAGTTCTGAAAGTTATTCCAATAAGGGAAAGTTAAGATGGCCAACTTAGATCCATATTTTATTTAATAATTTATAAAAATCTAAAAATTAAAAATAGAAAAAAAACAAAACACAGCTCTAAAGAACTGGAATAAAAATCTTCAAATCTTAACTTCTTTTGAGCTGGTGACTGGATTTCCCATATGCCTTTGACTTACTAATTTTTTAACCTGTTTTTGTATTAAAATATTTTAAATTCGAATGCTTGGGGACTATTTTATGAAACATAGCATGCATTTGAGAAATCATAATATGGTTTCCAATGTCCTGAACAATGGATTTATTTTTCTCAGTAGTGAAAAACTTTTTTGTCAACTTTTTGGCAGTGTAAATGAAAAGGATCTTAATATACTATATATATATTTTTTAATATGCTATATTTTAAAGTGACATTTTAATTTCATTTGTTCAAATACATAATAATTCACTTGGTTCACAATTCAAAAGATGAAAAGGGTGTACCTTGAAAAGCTCCTGTGTTCCAACTACCTGGTTCCTTTTCTGATTACTTGTGTTAACAATTTGTATATCCTTCCAGCAATAATTTTTACATACACAGAGTGTGTGTGTGTTTATTTTCTCTTTTTATACAGTTGTTAGTATACTAAGCTCATCCAAACCTTGGTTTTTCTTTTATGTATTTTTTTCTTTAAAGATGTAGGAAATGTTCTATGATTCTACTTCAAAATCTGAAGAAGTAAACACAGTGTGTGTGTGATTTTTGTCTCACACAGTTGTTTGCATATTGCATACATCTTTCTTCCTGGTATAAATGCCTTGAAGTTTAAGATCTTATGTTGGTCATCCTTATTTTATTTCAGAGCCTAGTACAGTGTCTTGAACATAAATGCAGTAATTTTTAAATTCTATTTGGTAAGTTGAATTAATAAGAAAAAAAGAGGGACAAAGAATGAAAATACAGTAGTTCCCCCTATCCTTGGGGATACATTTGAAGACCCCCATAGTAGATGCCTGAAACTGGACAATACTGAACCCTATAAATACTATTTTTCCCTATACATATGTGCCTGTAATAAAGTTTAATTTATGAATGAAATACAGTAATATGTTAACAACAATAGCTAATAATAAAATAGAGCAATTATAACAATATACTGTAATAAAAGTTACGTACTGTCCTTATCCTTCTTGTGATGCTGTGAAATGATGGCTTGCAGTGTGAGGAGATGAAGTGACTGATGTGGGCACTGTGATGTAGCATTAGGCTACTACTCTTGACCTTCTGATGATGTGAGGATCATCTGATCCTGCACCATGGTTGGCAGTGGGTAACAGAAACTGCAAAGTGTAAAGGGGGAGCTACTATAAAATTGGGGGACGGAAAAAGAAACTATTGGAAACTATTGTAGATATTGAAAGCTTCTTAAAGTTAACTTATAAGTAAAGATGCAACAAGGAAAAAAGGCTTCTACAGAGATAAATGTTTCCTCAAGAGTAGAAAAAATAATAAGAGTTGAATGTAGAGACATGAATTGGAGGTGATTGTGATGAAAAGTTGAAAGAGAGAGAGATTGTCATGGGATTGCCATACTTTCTTATTACATACTATAACTTGCAACAGACGACACTACATTTATAAATTTTTTACTTGAATAGGCATGATCACATGTCCCTTGTCACCAATGTCCGGTGAAATTAAGTTTATGCTATTGCACTGAAGAGCTGAATAGATTAATTTCTATTAGACATTTGATCAATTTAGTATATTTAACACTTCTAAGTGCTTTTACCAATTTTTGACTCTAGTGTTCTCGATTCAATTTTACAAATATTTATTGGCTGCCAATTCTTTGGTAAGTTGAGCCTATCTGAAGATATAAATCTTTATACTACTATGGTTACCATCCATATTCATTATTTTATTATTTTGTAAAATAACATTCCAAGTTCAGTGTATTTCTTAAAGAGCACAGATAAATTCAAAGTAAGAATACTAATCCCTAGGAAATAGCACATGTATATAATGTTTGTTGAGAAATTGAACAAATATGTTTTAAAGACCTGTTTTCCACACTTTGGGTGCATTTTGTTTGTGTAGATAGCAACTTGTCCGTTTGTTCAGCCATAGGCAAAATCAGACAGATGGTGGCAATTAATGTCTGTCTTCAAAGATAGAAGAATTAGTGTTGTTTCTTTCTTAGTCCTGAGAAGAGTAGTTCTGTCTCTGAAATCCATAATTTATGATTGACATTCTCTTGTCATTTAGTTTAGTGCTTGCTTCTCCATTTCTAGTCTTTTTAAACAAATGTATATTACTTTATCTCACTGAAGCTTACTTTTTCCAAACAGTATTTGTCAACACATTATGTGGTTGCTAATTATGCATCCTTCTTTTAAAAGCTTTTATAAAGCTGCTAAACACCATTTGTTATCAGAGAAACACAGATTAAAACCATAGTGAGATACCATTCACAACCACTGGTTCTTACAAAAACAAGAGACAATAACAAGTGTTGGTTCTTACAAAAACAAGAGACAATAACAAGTGTTGATGAGGAAGTGGAGAAATTGGAACCCTCATACGTTGCTGATGAGAATGTCAAATGGTGCAGCTCCTCTAGAAAATAGTTTGGCAGTTCTCAAAAAGTTAAACATGGAGTTACAATATGACTTAGCAATTCCACTCCTAGGCATAATACCCAGGAGAACTGAAAACATATGTCCACTGGATAACTTGTATGTGAGGGTTCATAGCAGTGTTAATACTAGCCTAAAAGTAGAAGCATTACAAGTGTCATCAGCTGATGAGTGGATAAACAATGTTGGTATGTTATTACAATGGAATATTATTCAATATAAAAAGGAATAAAGCTTTGATACGTGTGATACAGTCAATGAAAACATTATGTTAAGTGAAAGAAGGCAGACACAAAAGGCCATATATTGTGTGATTCTATTTATGACATGTCCAGAATAGGCAAATCTGTGAAGATGGCAGGTAGATTAGTGGTTGCCAGAGAATAGAGGGAGTGATAGAGGAGTGGCTATTAATGGGTACAGGAAATTAGATAGTGGAGGTAGGTCCCTAACTTTGTGAATATACTAAAAACCATTGAACTGTGTACTTTAATAAAAGTGAATTTTATAGTATGTTAATTATATCTCACTTTAAAAAGTATAACAATTTATAAAGCAGCTTTGATAAGAAAGTTTTGTATTGTTGGTGTAAATTAGGCTTCAATCCTTCAGAGACCAAGATTCGAACACCTGATGGGAAAGTGTGGCAGGAAGCTGAATTTCAAAGCATGAGTAGAGAACTGTATCGAGACTTAGCACTTCACTTTGCAGGTGAGAGTAAAACTTTCTTAGATTTTGTGTATTTTATCATGTATGCTATCTAACGTCAGTTTTTAAACATAAAATTGTCACCAAACTAAAGATATTTCTCTTTTTTAACTGCATGGTATACAAAAGTAATTGTGGTTTCAGTCATAAGGCTTTCTTAGCCTCTAGGCTCTGTTCCAGAATTAAAATTAGCATACATGGCTGATGAGACAGAAACTAGGCTATTATTAACCTGAGGGACTCTTAAGTCAGGCCTGTCTGATTTGAAGGAAACATAGCTGAGTCTAATTGAAGTTTACCTCTACTAGACCTCTGAGATCTTTCAGATGGTCAGTAATTTGGCAGATACAGATAAGATGATACTAACATGAGGGTAAGATGCAGAATGAAAAAGCATTGTAGGAAGGGAATACATTTACAGAACTGGAAATAGGAGGGACTTCTGGAAGATTGGAAGAAGGAAATAGGAAGGTTATAAAAGAACGTCATTAGTTATTGAACACTTGGTACAATTTGGGGCAAGATGCTGCATTCTTAGACTTCTGGGGTTTTTTGTTTGTTTTTCTTTTTACAGTTGTGGAAATGGAGGCTCACAGAGTAATTTTCCCAAGGTTGTATAGGGTAGTTGAGAATCGAAGCCAAGATTCAAAGCCAACTCTGGCTGACTCTAAAGCCCAAGATTTTTCTACTAAGCCCCTGTAGAGATTTTACTAGTAAATTTTACAGTATTAAGTGTCCAGTCCAGTTTTCCTACTATTATTATTGGAACACTATATTCAGAATTTTTTTTCCTCCGTGGAAAGGAAGTATATAATATAATAGTTAAGGGCAAAGATTTTGGAATCAGCGTAAAAAGAATCAAATTCTGGCTCTGCCTCTTACTACCTATATATACTACCAGTGTTACGTAACCCCTCCTCCTTGGTTTTCTCATCTGTGAGATAGGGATAATAACAGTATACTTTAATACAGCAGTATCTTTACAGACTAGAATAATGGCATATGTCAAAGAATTCTTCAAGAGGTCTATTAAGACTGCCTTCTTGGGGTGTGGAGCCTGCTTAAAAAAACAAAACAAAAAACAGCCTTCTCTCTCACGATGGTTGAACTCTGTTCTTCTAGCTAGGACTGACCCATCTACCTGTGTTTCAGATTCCATTTACTCTTGTGTATTTAAGGGCATTATTACTTTGTCCTTATTTCCTTTCTTTTGCTTCATGTAGTTTTCCCTCTCTACAGGGTCATGCCCATTAACAGAGTGTTTGATCACGTGATATTATCTCAGCCATCATAAAGGGCCTCTCTTTTGGCCCTGCTCTCTTCAGTTACTGCCTTGTTTCTCTTTTTTCAGCACAATCAGAAAGTTGCCTTATACTCACTGTCTCCAGTTTTTCTCCCCCGTTTCATTTTTGAATCCTTTCTATTTGGTTTTTGCCCCAGCTTTTCTGTGGACTGCTAATATTAAGGTCATTAGTGACTTCTACATTGCTAAATCCAAGGTTTAATTCTCAGTTTTCTCTTTATCTCTTTGCAACATTAGGCATAATCAGTCACTTCTTTTTTGAAAGTTCTCACTTGACATCTAGTATATCTTAAATGTTTGATTTTCCTCCTGAGTTTAGGTGTCCTTTTCAGTGGTTGGTGGTGGTGGTTTTTTTTTTTTTTTTTTTTTTCCCTAATGAACTCCCTGATACCTAACCATAGTCATACCCTGGTCTCAGTACTTGAATCTATCCTTTTTTTTTTTTTTAACCCCACTTTTTTTTTCTCTTCCTCTATCTCTCTTTCTCCTCCTCCTCCTTCTACTATTACTACTACTACTGTTTGTTTATATACACACTAGGCAAGCTCACCTAGTCTCAGGGCTTTAAATATTTTCTGTTGCTGATGATTCCCAAATTTATGTCTCTGGCCCAGACTTCTCTGAACTCAAACTCATATCTAGTTGCTAACTCCACAACTCCCTTTGGATATGTAATGGGTTTCTCAAGCTTAATATATCCAAAATGGAGCTAATTAAACGGGGTCATGATATACCCCTTAAACTACTCCGCCAGTAGTCCCTCCATCTCCGTTAATCCTCTTTCTACTTGTTCACGCCCCAAATCTTGAGTTGTCCTTGACTCTCCTATTTTTCTTAGACCTTATTTTTCATATTGTCTAAAATATTTCTAAAGTATAACCACTTTCTCCACCTCTGTCACCACTACTCCCTGGCTCCAAGCCACTATGTGTCTCTTGCGTGATTTTTGCAGTAGCCTTCTCCCTGGTATCCTACTTCTGTCCTTTAATTAATTTGTTCTGATCACAGCTGCTAGAGTAAGCTTGTTAAAATTCAATTTAGATCATACCATTTGTTTGCCCCCAAACTTCCAAAAACGTCTCAATCTCATTCTTAAGTAAAACCTGAAGTTCTTAAAATGACGTGTAAAGCCCAGCACTATCTGGCCCTCAGTTATGTCTTGGACTCTAGTTCTTTCTACTTTTCTCTTTGTTCATTTCACTCACACTGACCAGCTTGCTGTTTCTCAGGTATGCTCCTGCTTTATGGCCTTTGACTCACACTTCCACTTTACCCAGAATGCAGAACTCTATATGTATTTTCAAATTTACACTTTAGATCTGTAATTGAGGTTGATTTTCAAATTTATATGTATAGCTAACATGTTCCCCCAGATTGGAATTTAAAAAATTAGTGATTAGTAATTTATGTGTGAAATACCTTGACATAATTTGAGAATATTATATTGAGTATTTTATAAAGTTTTATTCTAGAAGTTCATGAATATCTTCAGTTACATAAGTGAAATAGGAGTCTATGAAAGTGCTTACCTATGACATTCTATAAATGATATGACCCTGGCTTGGAAAGCATTACTTTTGTAACTTCTTCCAGTTTGTGAAAATGAGGTAAATTTCTCAAGGGTTTTCTGAAAACAAACAAACAAAACAAAAAATAAAGAATTTGAATCTAACAGTGGGGGATAGTGATAATCTTTAGACCTTTCTGTATGAGGAGTTGACATTCATAGCTTATGGTTCGCAGAAGTAGCCTCAGTGAAGGGTTTTTTCCTCCCTGCCGAATCATATACTTTATACTGATTTTTTCATCCTGGGGAGAGGATGAATGGGTAGAAATCATTATAATATTTACTATAAATATTTCTGCTTTCCAGATGATATCTCTATGAAAGAGAAACCTGCTGAAAAAAGTAAAGAGAAGAAAGTGGTCAAGCCAGTAAGAAAAGTCCAAAAGGTAACACAGTTGTCAAGTCCAGAAGGCAAAACAGGTTAGTTTTCTCAATATCATGTCCACCCTAAAATTACACAATGCTGAAATGTCATTCTATATGGAAATAAATGTTTGTTAACCAAATGGCACATAGAAAAAGTCAGTACATTTTTACGTATCATTATTTTGCATATGTGTTTTATTGAGATATAATTAACATTAGAATAAGTTGTATAATATATATTTAGAATGTTAGTTTGATAAGTTTTCACATCTGTATATACCCACGAAATCTTATGTTCACCATAATACTGAACACATTCTCTCCCATTTTTATATCATTATTTTTAATGGAAATTAATCAGATTAGGGGCACCTGGGTGGTTCAGTAGTTGAGTGTCTGCCTTTTTAAGTTCCAATCTGGGGGAATATGCTAGCTATACACATAAATTTGAAAATCAACCTCAATTACAGATCTAAAGAAGTGTAAATTTGAAAATACATATAGAGTTCTGCATAAATAAATTTATTTATAAATAAAATATTTTAAAAAATCAGATTAAAGGTAATCTGTATATTATGTATTGAACTTTTATATATAAAATGACTGCTTATAATTGTCACTTAGTCCCTTCACTTATTCTCATAAGAGAATAAATGTTGCATGAGAAAGCCTGGCAGCCCGTGCCAGTAGTGGTCAGTCCAGACTCTAAATAGATCAGGACTGGGAAAGAGAGAATTCCCTAGTTTTATAGTAATTAACACTTCAGGCTCAATTCAAGTTGCTTGGATTTATAACCTAGTTTTGTCATGTCTAGCTTTGTTCCTTTGGTGAGTAAGTTAATTTTAGTGTCCCTTGGTTTCCCCATATGTAAAATGGGAAAGCAGTAGTACTTCTCTCACAGGGTTCTTGTGAAAACTAAAATAGTTAAAACCTAAAAGCATTCAGTATTTGACACATAGTAAGCACTCAAATGTTAGGTATGATTCCATTAATAGTAATTATTTCTGGCTGTCCTGAAAATAGCTATTTAGCTGTCCTATTCATGTTACTTGGTAATTTGGGCTAGAGAGTAGAGGAAGTTGGGAATTTGTCACTCAGTTTGGAGACATTCAGAACCAATCACTCTTACATTCATTCACTATGCAGATACTTGTGAGCACTTGCTGTATGTGAGGCACTGTGCTATTCTAAATTGGGCAATACAGTAAGCAGGATACACATGGCCCCTGCCCTCTGGGGTCTTATAATCTTGTCAGGAAAATAGTAGATACATAGTTACAATAAAATGTGAAGAATGTATCATAGGGACTTTACAAGGTCTTATGGGAATATGGAGCAGGAGTGATGGGACATGGGATTTTAACCGGGCGCTTGCTTTTCTGGTCATAGGCTAATCGATAGAATGTCAAATAATGTATTTTGTGACACTCATTAATTCTAGATGTCAGAATGACCTGGCTGTATAAAAATAAAAAACAACTTTTTAAAAAAGATTTTATTTCTTTATTTGAGAGAAGAGGAGAGAGAGCACAAGCCTGGGTGGGGGGAAAGGCAGAGAGAGAAGGAGAAGCAGACTCATGGCTGAGCAAGGAGCCCAGTGTGGGTCTTGGTCCCAAGACCCTGAGATTATGACCTGAACTGAAGGCAGATACTTAACTGACTGAGCTACCGAGTAAAAAAATAAAATTTTATAAGAACATGAATGATCAGAATATAAACTAATTTTTACATGAAAAAAATATGACAAACTATTATTTTTCATGTAGCATTATGTGATACTCTTGTTAGGGGCATAGTTTGAAATGAAGCTTTGGGAAAACTACCAACTTACAAATACCCATTTTGGATTGTATTTATTCAGCTTTGTGGTAGGCTAATTCCTATGTATGCACTGTGCGGTGACCCAGAGACAGAGTCATTAAATGTGCTAAAGCTGTATTAATAGTTTATCTATAGTGAAAATCCTCTTTTTCTACCAATGACTGTTTGAGACTATTTGCGAAAGACAGAATTTAGAAATAACTGCACGGCATATTCAGAAGCCAACATTTATAAATAACTATCCAGTATGTTCATGGTTGCTTGCTTTTGATTTGGAAAATTAAGCTGAAATCAAAGAGAAGCCTGTTCTCTCATTTTGCTTAAGAACATAAAGTTTCTTATAAATAGATTGAACAATAAACTTAAAGCCATTTAAATATTTCAGATCATTTAAGGTTAATAACAAGATACAAAAACATAAACATACACAGATTTATAATTCATGTTTTTCATACTGGGTATTTTCATTAAGCTACACTTTCACTTAAACCTTTTTTTAACTTTTTTATTTATTTTTTTAAGATTTTATTTATTCATGAGAGACACAGAGAGAGAGAGAGAAAGGCAGAGACACAGACAGAGGGAGAAGCAGGCTCCATGCTGGGAGCCCGATGTGGGACTCAATCCCGGGTCTCCAGGATCACGCCCTGGGCAGAAGGCAGGTGCTCAACCGCTGAGCTACCTAGGGATCCCCTTGCTTAAACTTTTAAATTGAAACCTTTTTAAAAGAGCTTAGGGTGCCTGGGTGGCTCAGTTGGTAGAGCATCTGCCTTCAGCTCTGGTCATGATCTCAGGGTCCTGGGATCGAGCCCCACTTTGGGCTCCCTGCTCAGCAGGGAGTCTGCTTCTCTCTCTCCCCCTGCCTGCCACTCCCCTTGCTTATATTCTCTCTCTCTGTCAAATAAATCTTAAAAAAAAAAAAGCAACTCTAAATAGTCTGTCTTGTATTATAAATTTATTAAAATAGCATCATAGCTTAAAAATGGAAGAAAACCACCATCATTTAAAGTACCAGTATTTTATTTCCTTACAGCAGTTTTAAAATAATAAATGATTGTTATCATTGTATTCATAAAATTTTATCTTTTTCTCTTACCGCAAGAATGTTTCTCATATTTCTTATGGAAATTATAATTTAAAAAACGATATGCAGTACTGCACCTGTGTTGGAGTATGATGGTCTGATTTTAATTTCTTTATAATCTGAAAGTAGTAAATGAAAAGTTTTTCTCTTAGTCATGGACCATACTTTTATTTTTATGAACTTTTATAATGAGGGCAATTTAAAATGATATTTGCTTTTTGAGTATCATTGTTTTATGCTTAAAAAGGTAATACGTAATAATGTATCTGTAAAATACAATGTGAAATTCCCTATGATACCATCCCCTTCAAAGGTAGTCACTGATAACTGTGATATGTTTCTTCAGATTTTTTTCCTATGCTTAAATTAAGTCATTTGTTCATTCAACAAACATATATTTTACTATGTGCCAGGTACTGTTGGTATACCAAACATTTATTATAGTTAAGACATATTTTTGTTCTGTGCCCACACTGTTGGATTTGGTGCTCTACTTCTTGAGATTTTGGGAATTGTCAATATTTGGTACTTAACTTTCAAAGCATTTTATACTTATTTGAGTGAAATATATGGATAAATCAAGATTTAAACAAACTGATATTTGGGGACATTATGTTAAAAATTAGATTGTAATCCTTTTGACTTTGGCGTAAGATAAGCATAAGATTAGTTACAAAATCTGTGTGGTTGTCTAGATATACTTGTTAGAGATAAACTTGAAGCTTTAAATTCAACCCAGTATATATATATATAAATACATACATATATATATATATATATATATATATATATATACACACACACATTTTTTTTTTTTTTTTTTAGGTAGTAGTCGCCTGATAAGTACATCCTCTTGGCGAGATGGACAAAAATTAGTAAAGAAGATTCTGGGGCCTGCACCCAGAATGGAGCAAAAAGAGCGAAGAACAGTGTCAAGTGACAGAAGTGGAAGAGAAAGAACTACTAAATCTGGTGAGTAATTAAATTATTAAATTGTTTTTCAATAATTAAAATTGTTGAGAAGAGCAATTAAAAATTGCTTGTGTAAGTACTTAGAGGAGGTGAAAGTACTCTTTTGAGAATGCTTGGTTTATGGGGCACCTGGGTGGCTCATTGGTTGAGCGTCTGCCTTTGGCTCAGGTCATGATCCCAGGATCAAGTCCTGTATCAGGCTCCCTCTGGGGAGCCTGCTGCTCCCTCTGCCTGTGTCTCTCCCTCTCTCTCTCTGGTCTCTCATGAACAAATAAATCTTAAAAAAAAAAAAAAAAAAAGAATTTGGTTTATAATTGTGAATGTAGCTCTTAAGAAATTTTCTATTGGGCTTCTCTGTGGATAATTTCCACATATAGATGTTATGGTGACTTTTATTAAGAATTCTGTTTGTTACATTAATTACATTTAGCTGCCATGTGACTAGAAAATCATCATTTAATTAGATTTTATTAGACTTAAGGGAATTAAGTCCAATCTGTCTTATCCCCGTATACAAAAACACAGGCACACATTCACAATATTGGGTTTATTTGACAGATTAGGACACAGGCCCTAAGAGAGAAGTGATTTTCTGCAAGGGTATATACAATAAGTGAGTGGCAAAATTTGATCTAGGTTCTATAACTCTTTGGTTTGACCCTCAAGTCCATTGCTTTTCTCTTTTTGAAATCTCTTAAATGCTCTTTGAAATAATTATTTTTTTCATGAACACTAATTTTGGGAAATGAAATATAAGTACCTATAGGTCAGCTTTCCTTTTCAGTAACAAAATTTGCTTTGACTAATTTGAACTTGAATGGATTTAGTAAGAAATGCAATGACAACTATAATTTGGTACGTAGAAGTCAATATATATATATACTTTGCATTTACTCCTCTTCACTCTCCTCTAGCTTGTAAATAAACTCACATACATTCTTAGTTTAAAATTAACCATATCAACAAACACTTAGATTATAAAACAAGTTTCATATATATGTTTGATTTTTTTTTCGTTATTTGTTGGAGAGTTGTGGCCCTTTAACATTGTTGATTTTTATTTTTTATTTTTATTTATTTATTTTCTTTAAAGATTTTATTTATTCATGAGAGACACACAAAGAGAGAGGCAGACATAGGTAGATGGAGAAGCAGGCTCCATGCAGGGAGCCCGATGTGGGACTCGATCCCAGGTCTCCAGGATCATACCCTGGGCTGAAGGTGGCGCTAAACTGCTGAGCCACCCAGGCTGCCCAACATTGTTGATTTTTAAACACCTGTTTTAGGGCTTGGGAATGGAGAGAGATGGTAACATTAAATATGCACATGGGAAATAAATAGTAATTCTCTATTAATATTAATAGTTAAATATTCATGTCAACAATAAGATCTGTATTTCAGAAATATTAAAAGTGCATTTTTAAAATACCAAGTAAGTATAGTTTTTATAAAGATTGAAATTCTTCTCTTCTATAAAAAAGTATTTTTCTTTTCTTCTATAATATTCTTTAAACAACTTCATAGGATATTTGAATTTGAGTTTAAAATAAAGTGAAATTCTCTAATTTTCTCCTCACTGCAATAAATCTTAGGAATGAATATAGGATTTTAATATATCACTAATAGTTCATACTTTGCAGGCTGTCATATTGGAAGAGCAGAATCTGATCCTAGATTGGATGTTTCACATAGACATCTTCCACGAAACTCAGAACGTTCGAGAAGTAGAGCTCGGTCTGAAAATAACACAAAGAAATTAGCTCCATCTCTTCCAGACAATAAACAGGAGGAAAATACTGCCTTAAATAAGGACTTTTTACCTCTTGAAATTCGTGGAATTCTTGATGACCTACAGTTGGATTCTGCAGTTCAGGCTGCAAGGCAAGAGACAGGAGAGTTACAGAATCAGAAGTCATCAGCACCAGGGCAAGCTGCTAGGAGTCATAGCCCAGTAAAAAGAAAACCTGACAAAATAACAGCTAGTGAAGATCCACCTGTTATTTCCAAAAAGCGCCACTATGACACAGATGAGGTACGGCAGTACATCGTTAGACAGCAGGAGGAAAGGAAGAGGAAGCAAAATGAAGAGAAAAAGGCTCAAAAGGAGGCCACTGAGCAGAAGAACAAACGATTACAGGAGCTCTATCGGAAACAGAAAGAAGCCTTTACTAAAGTAAAAAATGTGCCTCCCTCTGAGCCATCAGTAACTAGGCGACTGCAAGACACTTACTCCAAACTGCTCCTAGAAAAGACCTTGCTCGAAGAGCCGCCACATCAACAAGCTACCCAGGAAACACAGGTAACAGTAGTGTCAGAGATGCAGAGGGAAGTCATTTGTGATTAGAAAAGGCTTATTTGCCATTTCATTACCCTCATTCCTGATGTTCAGACAATATTTGTAATAATGTTGACCTTTTCATGAAATTTATTGTATGTGGAGAATACTTTGATAAACATAATTGAAAACAAGTGCGCAGCATTTCCCAGAATGACTGTTACTGATCTCTGTTCCTCTCATCATTGCTATTAGTTATATCCTTGCCTAGTTTTCACTGTATTACTAAGCAAAAAGATTGTTAATAAAAGCCTAGTTTTGTGATCTGTGCTGAAATTAGAGGATATCCTAATGTATGTGATAATTTTTTGAGTATTGCTGTTGTTTTTAAAAATAACATTGAGTGTACCACAGACTGTTTTAAAGGCTTTAAACTTTCAATAAATCCACATGGCCTGGGGCAGCCCAGGTGGCTCAGCAGTTTAGCGCTGCCTTCAGTCCAGGGCATGATCCTGGACACCCGGGCTTGAGTCCCGCGTTGGGCTCCCTGCATGGAGCCTGCTTCTCCCTCTGCCTGGGTCTCTGCCCCTCTCTCTCTCTCTCTCTCTCTCTCTCTCTCTCTCTCTCTCTCTCTCTCATAAATTAAAAATAAAAAAAAAAGTCCTCATGACCCTGAGAAGGTAAATGCTACTAGTATTTCTAGGTGAAAAAACTGAGGTTTAGAAGAGTATTATTTCCTTTAGATGATGCAGTTAGTATTAGGTGCCTTTCTTGAATATCAGATGTAATTTTGCTGTTAATTGTAGTGGCTGCGTAAGACAAACTAAATATGAACTGATTTTATTTAAGAGAAAAAGCCCCCATATTTCACTTAATATTTGTCTTATGTACTCCCTGAGTATATGTTTGTGATTGGAGTCACGTAATTTTGATATCCTTTTCTCTTAGACTAAACCCGGGTATCAGCCTTCTGGAGAATCCGACAAAGAAAACAAAGTACAGGAACGTCCCCTAAGTGCATCTTCCAGTAGTGACATGTCTCTGTCAGAGCCTCCACAGCCTCTTGCAAGGTAAGAAGGGGAGAATGAAAGATGATTAAGGTTCTCTTTTCCCGTGTGGTTTCATACTTAATGAATTTTGTTGACTGACCTTGTACATGAGCAAGAAGTTTATTTAGAAATTGGTTAATATCTTCTGGTGGATATTTAAGCATGGTGTACATCTATACTTATTGCATACCCTTTTACCTGTCTTTTTATATCCAGTGTAAATGTAAGTCCTTCCAGAGATCCTACAGTTGGAAGCACTGTTGCTTTCTCTGAACTAAACACACAATAAAACTTTATTGGTTGAAAATCACGGTGAAATTAATATTTTAAAGTATTTGTGGTGAATAATTTTCAAAAGGCATATCTGCATTACTAATCAAAATGTCTTCATGTGACTCATTCCAGTTTATTATTGTAACTGATATTTGGATATGCATGTGAACGTATGAACAAGGGCTAGATTGCTGATTGGGGACTTTTTTACCTTAAGTTCTTTTCTTTTCTTTTTTCTTTTTTCTTTTCTTTTCTTTCTTTTTTTTCTTTGAGAGAGAGTGGAAGAGAGCACAAATAGGCAGAGCAGTAGGCAGAGGGAGCGGGAGAAGCAGGCTGACCACTGAGCAGGGAGCCCAATGTGGGGCTCCTGGGATCACGACCTGAGCTGAAGACAGACACTTAACTGAGTGAGCCACCGAAGCGCCCCATACTTTTAAGTTTTCTTAAGAAAATCTTTTTTTTGCTGTAATATGTTGTTTGCAATAAAGTAAAAGTAAATTATGCATGGAATTTGAGGTGGTTTTGAGATGATATGGTTTTAAATACTTTAACCATTTTAGAAAGAGAAAGATTTTAAAGCCCTTCTTTGAGAACACACAAATAAAAAATCACTTCTCAATTATGGGTTAATACACATGGTCCTTTCACCCCATCCTTCCTCCTCCGAAAGAATAAGAATACTGATAAAGTTAGCTAACATTTATTGAGTACTTGTAGTTTCCAGGCACTGATCGAAGTACTTTGCATTTGTTATCTTATTTAATTCTTGTAATTTCTTGAGTTAGGCACTCCAGTTATTCCCATTTTACAGGAAAGACAATTGAGGCCTAGAATTTAACTTTCTCAAATGTCAAAACATTAGTGGTGGAGAGGGATTTGAACTTAAGCAGTCTTATTCCAGAAACCTGTGCTTTTAACCACTCTACACAGTGCCTCCCAATAAGTTTCATATGATTTATTTAAGGTTGTAAATACCTTTCAAATTTCAAGCATAAATAAACTTTAAAAATGTTTTGAACTTGAATACCTTTAGGTAGGTATACTCTGTAGTTCATCTCAGTCCCATTATTATTGTCAGACATTCTGCTGGCTTCCTGTCTTCTGTTTTACATTTCCCTGAATTTCCTTCTAATTCTAAACAAATTATCCAGTGTTAAAAACAAACCAAATGTAAGACAGGTCTACTATTACTACCTTACACATGTTCCTTTCCTTTTTTTTTTTTTAACCATCAGGTTTCTGCAACAACCTGTGATATATAATCTGTTGCCTCCACTTCCCCTCTATCCATTTCTTAGGTTCCCCATTTCTGTTAGTAGTTTCAGCATATCTCAGTTACTTTATGCTTGGAAGCATGACATTTCTTTTCCTTGCCCTTCATGTCCCCTATTCTTCCTTAGGTACCTGGGAAACTCCCAGTTACATATCTGACCTTGAAGACCTTGAAGATCTAGCTCAAAAGCCATTTTCCTTGGCTAGCAGACTTTATGTTTTCTATCCACACTCTTTTGAACTTTATATATATTATATTAGTACGTATGACATTGTATTTTAATTCTTTTTTTAAATTCTTTATTAGTCTCTTATCCCTGCTAGATCTTGAGAAACTAAAGAGTAAAGAATAATTTTTAACTGGATTAAATTTTTGTCTGAAAAAAAATTTTGACTGAATTTTTGACTCTCCTGTTCCTCTAGCATCAGCATAAGGCCTGGCACATAATTGGCGTTCTAAATACTTAAATTTAAAAATCTTGGATTTTGGGGCACCTGGATGGCTCAGTGGTTGAGCATCTGCCTTCGGCTCAGGTTGTGATCCCAGGATCCAGGATTGAGTCCTACATTGGGCTCCCTGTGGGGAGCTGCTTCTCCCTCTGCCTTTGTATCTGCCTCTCTCTGCGTATCTCTCATGAATAAATAAATAAACTCTTAAATAAATAAAATTTTAAAAAATCTTGGATTTTTACTCAGCAGTATCTTTTATATTTATAACTTCCTTTGTGTTCCCATTACTACCAGCTTAGTTTGAGTCCTAATATTTCGTGGCATAGAATATATGCATTGGTTTTCCTTCATTCCATTTTCATAGCAGTCCCTCAATATGAAAGACTGTACAAAGTAACTTCCAACCAGACCTTGCATGACATGCTTTTCAGTTCTCTTATTACTCTGGTTACTCTCCTCCAGATGATTCTTTTGAATTTAATTGGTAGACCTCACATTTATCCATACTAGTTTGCAGCCTGTCTAAATAACTTTAAATCATAATTTGATAATTTGTTGGGTTAGCCATGCCTCCTAGCTTTCTGTCATCTGCATATTTGATAAGCGTATCTTTAGTCATCATCCAAAAATTATGGACAAGACCAAGGACAGAATTTCATGTTATTTTTCTATAAGCATCTACTTAATAGTTAACATTGACCTTTAATTTTTTTATAATACCCCTTAATATACAGAGTGTCCATGGTCTGGAAACATAGACGAATAATAATGTCATCTGAGACATCTTTATTCTGTTTTTAGACTTTATGGACTCCCTACTCTGTATTCTGTATTTATAATTGGTATTCATAGTTTTGCATTGATACTCATTGATATTCATTAAGTTTTTTAACCGGAGATAATAATCTCCTTATTTCTTCAATATGTACAGTGTTAAACGTTTATTAAATATCTGTTGATTAGAATAATGAATATCATGCCTATGTTAGTATTTAGCAATCTTAAGCATTTCTCTTTTATATAACATTGTTTTTCTTAAGAATTTTTAAAATATTTTTTAAAGATTTTTATTGAGAGCATGAGTGAGAGAGCACAAACGGGAGGCGGGGGGAGTGATAGTAGGGGAGGGAGGATCAGGCTCCTGCTGAGCAGGGAGTCTGACACAAGTCTCTATCCCAGGACCCTGGGATCATGACATGAGCCAAAGGCAGACACTTAACATACTGAGCCACCCAGGCACCCCTATATAACATTATTTTTAAGGGAAACAGTAGAACCAATGTTGTAAAGAATTTTGTTTACAGAGTTTTAAAGGTTATGAAGCCTTCTCTTTAATAATAGTTTAAAAATATGTGTTAAAGAAAGTTTGAATGATAACGGTCCGTTTTTATGAAAATGACATCAAAAAACTCTCATCACATGTAGAAAAATATTTGGAAAGTTATAATTCTAAATGAAATATTAATAGTGTCTCTTTCTCATTGTTTAGCTATGAGTGATCTTCATCTTTTTTATCCTCTTTGTCTTTCTTTTGTTTTTTTGTATGTTTGTTTGTTTTGGTGGTAAGTGTGATAAGAAAAAAAAGTAAAAAAAACTGATGGGTTAGTCATGAGTTACTGTGTTAACTAACATACTGTGACTTTCATTTCCAGAAGGGACTTGATGGAACCTACATGGATGCAGCCTGACAGATTGAGCCCACGAGTCCAGAATACTCAACCACAGCCTCTTATTGGAACAGCTGGAAATTTACTTTCCCATCTCTTGAGTCTAGAACATGCAGGAATTTTGCATAAGGATCTTGAATCTATTTTACCAACCAGGAAGAATCATACTGTGGCCTCAGGGCCATTAACTTTTACACCTCAACCATACCTGACCTCACCAGCTGCTCATCCAGATGCCTTGTTAAAACCTAGTGCCAGCCAGTATAAGAGTAAACTGGATCGTATTGAAGCCTTGAAAGCAACAGCTGCTTCTTTGTCCAGCAGGATTGAAAGTGAAGCCAAGAAATTAGCTGGGGCTAACATAAACTATGGGTCAGCATGGAACACTGAGTATGATGTACAGAAAACACCCCAAGAAGATGAACCTTGGACCAAGGCTATAAGTCCACCTGTGAAAGAGGATACTGAAGATGTTTTCTCTGCCCGAATTCAAAAGATGATGGGAACCTGTGTATCTCATGCAACTTTTGATGATGATCTTCCTGGTGTAGGCAACCTCAGTGAATTTAAAAAGCTTCCTGAGATGATAAGACCGCATAGTGCCATATCAAGGTTCAGAATCAGATCCCCTGGTCCTAAACCAGAAGGGCTCCTGGCACAGTTGTGTAAGAGGCAGACTGACTCTTCCAGCTCTGATATACAAGCTTCTCAAGACAAAGCTAAATTGTCTCTTGGTTCCAGCACAGATTCAGTCAGTGAAGGGCCTCTTCTTAGTGAAGGGAGTCTCTCTGAAGAAGAAGGAGGACAAGATGTACAGCCTCCGTTGAAGGTAGCAGAAATCTTAAAGGAAAAGGAATTTTGTGCTGGAGAAAGAAATGGTTATGAACCCATCAAAGAGTTTCAGAAGGAAGCTGAAAAATTTTTGCCACTTTTTGGGCACATAGGTAGTACAGAAAGCAAAGGACCATGGGAAGAATTGGCAAAGGGAAGTCCACATAGTGTCATTAATATTTTTACAAAGTCATATCAGCTGTATGGAAAAGGTGAGAAAAATAAGTAAGCTTTGTGCTAGTTGTATGTTAGGTTAAGATAAATCATTTAATAATTCTGTACAAGATAATACTTAAGTACAAATTTTCATTGTTCATTATGAGGATGATAGAGACTTCTCTAAATTAATCTAAGTTATTTGCAGATTTCAACTAAACTATTACAGTTTCATCTTTAAAATTTCATTTTTTAGTTATTGTCATGAACCAGTAGTTGGTAGGTGTAGAAATTTTGGTCTAATTTAGAGATATTCATTTCTGGTGTTCAGAATTGGTCTGTACCAAGTGTATGCTAGATTTTCTGTGACTGTCGGTATGTATTTAGATAGTAAATAACGTGTATTTCTTTTTTTTTTTTAAGATTTATTTATTCATGAGAGACACACACACAGAGAGAGAGAGAGAGAGAGGCAGAGCACAGAGTCCCTCCATACAGGGAGCCTGACATGGGACTCAATCCCCGGTCTCTAGGATCAGGCCCTGGGCTGAAGACGGTACTAAACCACTGAGCCACTGGGGCTGCCCATGTATTTCTTTAATACCATGATTTGTGAGTCTTTGGGAATGTAGTGGTCAAGAATTGAGAGGGGAAACTGTGGTAACATTTCTGATATGTAAACCATTACTGCTTGTCAAAACTAATTTTAAAAATAGTCAGACTTTGGAATGCCTGGGTGGCTCAGTGATTGAGCATCTGCCTTTGGCTCAGGGCATGATCCCAGGGTCCTGGGATCGAGTCCCTCATTGGGTTCCCCATGAGGAGCCTGCTTCTCCCTCAGCCTATATCTCTGCCTCTCTCTCTGTCTCTCATGGATATAAAATCTTAAAAAAAAAAAAAAAAAAAGAGGACGACTTTGCTCTTGATCTCAGGGTTGTGAGTTTGAGCCTAATGGTTTTAGAGATTACTTAAATAAATTTTAAAAAATGGACTTTGAACAGAAATGTAGCTACATATATTTGGCTCATGAAGCAATTGACTTCTGAAGTTTGTTTCTTATCTTTGAAATTCTGCAACACAATTTTCCTTTTCTATGATGAACTCAATTCCTTCAAGTCCCTCTTTCTTTTCTTCCTACTATAGGTAGATTCTACCCATCTTATGCTAATATAACTTTAGAATTTCCAGATTAGAGAATGAAGCCGAACTTTAAGTCAGATCAGTACCCTGTGGGTTTTTATTTCCATTCTACATAGTGAACAACTTACTTGATAAATGAGTTGATTTCATCTGTTCATTGTATGCTGAACTGGATATCACATTGCATTTTCCTAGATTTCATATTTAGCTACTTGTTATGATCTTGTGCAGACCTCTGTATGCCATTGATCTTTTATTAACATTTATTTATTCCTGTAGGTGGTAATTTTGAAGGTTTTTTTTTTTTAATGAAAGCGAGGTGCTTTTAAATCAACATTCTCTTTTTTTTTTTGGCAAGAGAATTGTGTTTTTTCTTAAATCCTATTAGATTTTCATTAAAATTTTACCGTTATATTGAAATACTTACGTTGAAATGGTATGTGTTCTAGGATTTGCTTCAAAACAGTCTCAGAGGAGAGTGAGAAATGGGGAGAATAGGAAGTTTAGTTGAGACTAGATTGGTCATATATCGATAATTGTTAAATTGGGGGGTGATGGATACCTTAGTTTCACTATGCCATTTTTTCTACTTTCTTGTATGTTTGAAAATTTCCCTAATAAAAAGTTATAAATATATTGTTAGTTATAAAGATGGATTGGAAAGAAACACTAATAAAGCGAACTAAAATGTTTCTGAATCCATGTTGTTAATCCATATGTCATGGAATGCTTTGCTTGTAGTTTGTTTTTGTTTTAAAGCACATTTCAATGACTATTTTTAACAGGGTTTGAAAGAGGAACCTCAGCATCACGGCCTTTAAATGCCATCACAACACCTCTAAGCAGTGTTTCATATGAAGATGATTTTGTCTCCTCTCCAGGGAGTGGGACTTTGACAGAAAGAAAATCAGCTCTCGAACCTAAGTAAGAATATGTTGGTAATATGGGATAAAATCCAAAGAGAAAATTTTACAGTGAGAACTGTGATGTGACTGTGAGTCAATTTTGTTGGTTTAAAGATACATGTAGAGGCTGCATAGCACAGAGCTTATTAAGAACATGGGCTCTGGATCCAGACTGTCTGGGTTTAAATCCTGGCTCTCCTGATATTAGTTGTTCGTCTTTGGGCATATTACTTAACTCCCTGTGCTTCAGTTTCCTTCTGTGTAAAATGGGGAAAATAACTGTACTGCTTCATAGAGTGTTGTGAATATTCAGTGAAATACAAACTACTTAGAACAGGGCTCGGCACACAATAAGCACAATATACGTTGTTAAGTTGATCTGTGAATCCCTAGTAGAGGATGGTATTGGGAAACTCTTTCATGGTATAACTAATATAAGTTAAAGGTTAATTAAGTAATGATTTTTTGTGATAGAATTGAGGAAGGATGACCAGATAGATCATTAACTGCATGATGCTAGTAAATAAGTACATTGTTTTTTTTTTCTAATTAGGAGAATATCTAAGCATTTGCAAGGCTTTGATAAAGAACAATATTACAATATTAATATTTATTAGACACAAGGTGCAAGGAACTGAGAGGACTGAGGCGGTTTTGCTTGTATTAACTCATTCTTTTTTTAATTAATTAGTTTAATTAATTTTATTTATTTTTAACTCATTCTTAAAATAGCGTGATATGATAAGTATTTTTGTACTGTTCCTTCTTGAGGGAGGAAACTGAAGCATCCAGGTTATGTTGCTTGTACAAAGCTATACAGTAGGTGAATCAGATTTTGCCAGAGAGAATTTCCTCCCTAAATTTTGTTACCATATAAAATAATCCGTAATTACTCATATTCAATATAATTTTCTTCACAAATTACAAATTTTAATCCACATAAAATTATTGGGTGATCTTTTGAAAATTCTATCTTGTTAGACCTATGAAAATAAGAACTATTAAAATTAAAGTAGGCAAAGTAGTATAGTTTTAAATTTTGAACTCTAAAGAAAAGATTAAATTTTTAAATCAAAACTTACAAAGATTTAATTGTGATGATATTTAATAATATCACCAATAAGGATAATTTATTGCATTTTATTTCTAGGTTGAAGAACATATCAGGAGGAAAATAATTATAATAAATGATGAATTTCAGTAGAAATCGAGGCCACATTTTCCAGTATCCAACATTATATTTTTTCTTTTATGTGTCTGAATTATCCATTTTTACTAGTTTTGCTTCAGTAGACAACTCCCTTAAAATTTTCTTAGTAATAAATTGAGCCAAAGGGAACAATCCAAGCTTATGGTAGTAAGAAAACAAAAAAAGAAAGTGGAAGGCATCTTCGATTATAGTTATATTCTCCTTGTGATTAAATAGATTTAAAAATATCCATAGTTTTAGCTATATCTTAAGACTTTTTATTTCATTCTTTAACCACTATTGCTTGTTCTTTGACAGTATCAGTGGTAGCAATTTGGGCATTCAGGAGGACCATTCTAGCAGGAAGTCTGCCTATGATCTGTCCTCTGTGGAAGTTACCTCCCAGCATTCATCAGGGGCCCAGTCTGCTACATCATCTCGTTCATCTACTTCTTCTAAAGGGAAGAAAGGAAAAAAAGAAAAGATAGAATGTAAGTGGAATTCTACGTACTGACTTTTTCTCTTATCATTTTGTGGTAGTAATCTAAAGTTACAATTTGATTTCATAAGATGTTAGATGAATTTTTTTATGATAAAATGTAAAAAATCATTACAACATTACCATTTGCTATATAACATTATAAATCCTTTGCTTAATACAGAAGGAATACATTTGCAATGATAAGAAATTAAGGATTATAGATAAACAATTATAAAAGAAGTGTAAGTCTCCATTAATCCCTCTGCTCAGAGATAACTACTGTTAACATTTTTGGTGCCTATTTTTCCAGTGTATACATAAAACCATGCACACACACCTCTTTATTTAAAAAATAGAAATGAAATCATTTAGTTTTGCAACTGCTTTTTGAAAAACTGTACAGTATATCCTGTACATCTTGAGTATAATTAAAAATACTTAAATTTTCTTGTCTGTAAAAGAAAGATATCAATAAATCATATCAGTAGATGCTTCATATGATAATTTTTGAAGCATATGTGAAATTAACAGATATAACGTATACATCCCCGTATGTGGCCACAGTAGGTGTCCTTTGGCACTGAGTGTTTTTGAGTGATTGAGGAGAACAACTATCATTTCCTTCAGTTCTACTTGTGGGTATAATTTGCACTGTAAGCCTAGAGGTAAGAAGATACAGTAATTAGGCAAAGCCTCTTAGACTCACTGGATGGCTGCTAGGGAATGATTTTGCTCCCCCAATTTTTTTTTTCTAATTGTAAAAATTGCTGATTGACTTAAAAACAAAACAAACCAGAGCGGGAGAAGTCAGTAAAAAATAGAAAACTATTTAAAAATTAAAATTGCCTGTAATCCCTCTACCTGAAGATAACCAATGCTAATGTTTTTTTTTTTAAACTTTGTTTTAACAATTTTGGTGAAATAGACATAACACAGACTTAACATCTTAACCATTTTCAAGTGTACAGTTCAGTGCTGTTCTTTTTCTTTTTTTTTTTTCAGTTCAGTGCTGTTAAAAAACATTCACACTGTTGTGCAACCATACCATCCATCTCCAGAACCTTTTCATCATCCCATACTGAAACTCTGTATCCATTAAACAATAATTCTTCCTTCCTGCCATTCCCCAGCCCCTGCAAACTATTGTTCTACCTTGAGTCTGTGAATTTGACTACTCTAGGTACTTCACATAGCCACATAGTGGCATCATATATTTGTCTTTTTAGTGTTTGGCTTAGTAGCATAATGTTTTCAAGTTTCATCTGTATGGTAGCACGCGTGAGAATGTCCTTCCTTTTTGAGGCTGGATAATATTCATACCAGCGTATGTATACCACATTTCATTTATCCATTTATCATTTGATGGGCATTTTGGTTGTTTCCACCTTTTGGCTATTGTGAATAATAGCTAAACATTTGGTATACAAATAACTGTTTGAGTCCCTGCTTTTTTGTATATATAGTCAGGTATGGATTTGTTGAATCAGATGGTACATCTCTGTTTAACTTGTTGAGGAACTGCCGTATTGTTTCCTTTGGTAATTGTGGCATTTTACATTAACACCAGTAATGCACAAGGGCTCCAGCTTCTTCATATCCACATCCATGCCAACGCTTGTTTTCTTTTTCTATTTTTTTATAAGTAATAGATATTCTGATGGGTATGAAATGTTAAGATTTTTAGTAAGAATTCTTCCACATAATTGGTAGGTATATGTAAATAGGAAATGTTACATGTAAGGGACCACGATTTTTTAATGTTCTTTTGTTCTGTCAATGTGTTACAGATATCTTTGTCAGTAAATATGGATCACCCTTGTAATGACTATCTAGTGTTTTATTATTTTAACATATTGTAGTTTGTTTAGCAAATTGCTGGACGTTTAGGTCACTCTGTTTTTTTCCGTTATGAACACTGCTATATTGAATATCCTTATAAATGTGTTTATACATTAATCTAGTTCTTTCCTTGAAGGTAAAATTCTAGAAGTGACGTAATGGAGCAAAGAGTATGTTTAGAATTTGGATACATTTTGCCAAATAGCCCCTCAGAAAGCTAATGTCACTTTATACACCCAGTAGAGAATGCTAGGAGAAATTATTGCTTAATCATTAACCTAGTATAACTCTATTCCAGATTGTTCCGAAACTTTTTGGTGGGAACATTAGACATCATTTTACTAGCACTTCCTAATGTCTGCCTTTTCTTATAAATACTGTTTCAGTTGGATAAGCTGTTTCATAAGTGTTTTGAGTATAAAAGAGCTCCATGGTTCCATAAATTTGGGAAATGCTTTTAGAGTGAAACAAGCTTCTTTTGTACAAGATTAATCAACACTTTTAATATGCTAACATGCATTATTTATTTTAGGATAAAGATGAGGCTGCAGTTTGAAGTATTTTCCAAATTTATTTGACCACAGAATCATTTCTTCCATTGGCATGTTAATACATTTGAATACAACTGAACATATTTTGGGAAATGCTGAAATTAGTTCTTTTATTTTGCAAGTGTTTTGCTTTGTTTTATTAGTATCTCACCTTTTTATTGGAAAAGCCTAGATTATGACTTCTGACTCCCAAATCCAGTTTACCTTCTACTATAATATTCTGTATGACTTAAAATATGATATATTGAATATATGAGTATAAGCAATATGATTCAATACAGGTTTTTAAAAATGATTATTTAAAACATAATTAGATAGGGCAGCCCGGGTGGCTCAGTGGTTTAGTGCTGCCTTGAGCCCAGGGCGTGACCCTGGAGTCCCGAGATCCAGTCCCACGTCGGACTCCCTGCATGGAGCCTGCTTCTCCCTCTGCCTGTGTCTCCGCCTCTTTCTCTCTCTTTCTCTTACTCTCTCTCTGTGTCTCTCATAAATAAATGGATAAAATCTTTAAAAAAAAATAAAATAAAAAAATAAAACATTATTAGATAAAGTATAGGTAGTGTTTTGTGGCTTTCCATTTCTCTGATCCCCTCTCGCAGTGCCTTTAAAAACCTCTATGTATTGTACTTAATACAGTGTTATCTAAAGCTTAGTTTCTCCTTTATCCCCAAGTTCTAAAACTAGTGTAATTTTGGTTGTATATGCTCCATCTGGTGGTGACAAATAGTGTCTGCTTGCTCTGTACAGAAACTTCCCAATGTGATTGAAAGTAGTTGGTAGATTAAAGTGGCAAGCAGAAGAAAAAAAATTTTATCTTAATTTTAAAACCTATAAATATACTTTCGATTGCCAAATGAAAAGTAGGGGCGAATGTTTTCTTTGTGTATGTGTCTCTTGGCTGGAGTTTATAGTTTGTTCTGGCGTAGACCTTTGTATTGTCTACAATTTCTGTTTCTTTGAAATCAAGAGCAATTTTTAAGTTGTGTATTTATTTTTAAAGACTAATGTTAAATGTGTAGAGAAATGCATTTTTATTATGAAAAAATTAGAGATACAGTATTAACCACTTGCTTTTAGTCTAGGGATTATAAATAGATTTTAGATTTTAGAGTCCATTCAAACTGATTGATAATCCTTTAGATTATTTGTATGTTCCCTGCCCCTCCCCATCGTGGTAATGCAGTCAGTATATATAATTCATGATACACATCTTTACATAGCTTCCTAGGATGAATTATTATGAATTCATAATATGAGGTGAAATTTCTGTGGCAAGGGGATCAAAAATTATTTTTATGCATATTTTAAGTTGTTTTACAGGAAGAGTATATCAGTTTGCACTCCCATGAAAACAATGTATGAGTATCTTTTTCTGTGTGTACTGAATAACACTCAAGGCTTTATTATTTTAAAAATATTTGCTAATCTAGTAATGAAAAATGGTGTATCTTATTTGAGGTGGTTTTCATTTCTTTGATTGTTAATATTTTTCATATGCTATGTTTTCATTTTGCCTTTTTTAAACTAAAGTTTTTTAAAGTTTTATTTATTTATTTGACAGAGTATATAAGCAGGGGAAGTGGGAGAGGAAGAAGGACATCTCACTGAGCAGGGAGCCTAACACGGGACTCAGTCCTAGGACTCTAGGATACTGACCCAACCCGAAGGCAGACACGCAACCGACTGAGTCACCCAGGCACACACCCCCTCCCCGCTTTTTAAACTTTAAAAAAAAAATAAACTAAATTTTAATGAAAAGTTGTTCTCCTATTACTATCACTACAGCAAAGTATAGTGTAGAATACTTATTTGTTAATTTATTTTTTATGTGGTAAAATATACCTAACATAAAATTTGCCATCTTAAATATTATTTTCTGTATTTCATTTTCTACTTTTTAAAGTTTTTTTTTTTTTTTAAGATTTTATTTATTTGTTCATGAGAGACACACACGCAAAGAGGCAGAGACACAGGCAAAGGGAGAAGCAGGCTCCATGCACAGAGCCCGATGTGGGACTCAATCCTGGGACTCCGGGATCATGCCGTGGGCCGAAGGCAGGCGTTAAACCACTGAGCCACCCAGGGATTCCCGCCTTTTTAAAGTTTTTAATCCAAAATGTGTTCATTGGGCTAGTATCCCACTCATCTTGATTCAGGGTGCTTTTATTGCTGCTCCTGTCTGAAGGAGCATCCTTCTGTAATTCTTGCTTTTCCTCCTGTAGACTGGCAGAGGACAGTAGAGCAGCCAATACACAAAACTACCATTTTGCTAAGTGTATAGTTTGGTGGTATGAAGTTCATTCATGTGCAGCTGTTACCATTGTCCATCTCCAGAACTCTTTCCTCATCCCAAGCTGAAACTTCATTCCTCTTAAATAATAACTCTCATTTTCCTCTCCCCCTTGCCTTTGGTAATAAATGTCTACTTTGTATCTCTATAAATTTGCCTACTCTAGGGACTTTATATAAGTGTATGATCATATAATTCAGTCCTTTTGTGATTGGCTTATTTTAGCTTAATGTGCTTTAAGATTCATCCATGTTGTAGTATGTGTCAGAGTGTCCTTCCTTTTGGATGTCTGGGTGGCTCAGTCAGTTAAGCATTGGACTCTTGATTTCAGCTCCATTCGAGATCCTCAGGGTTGTGAGATGGAGCTCAGCTACAGGCTCCATGTTCAGCGCTTCAGCTTGGGAGTCTCTCCTTCTGCCCCTCCCTCCCTCACATCTAGCATACACACTCTCTTACAAAAAATAAAAAGAATGTTCTTCCTTTTTAAGACTGAATAATATATCATTGTATGTGAATACCACATTTTGTTTATTCATTTTTTATTGAAGGATACTTGGGTTGCTTCCATCTTTTGGCTACTGTGAATAATGCTGTTATGAACATGGGTGTATAGCATAATTGTTTCCTTTTTCATTTTTTTAATCTTTATTTTATTTATTTTTTAAATCTCTAATCATATATCTACATTAGAAAACTTTTTGCTGCCATTAAAATGTATATGCAGTTCTTTTTTCTGCTTTTTTTTAATGTAACAAATATAGTCCCATGTTGCTATTGAAACACACCATCAGGATAGAGTCATGAGGGCTGTGTTTATGTTTTATTTCTCCTCTGTGACCATGTATCCTCTAGCAAGTTATGTGGCTTCATAGATTTCTAGTTACCCCATCAGTAAATTGAGCATATGGTATTCAATTCATAAGATTTAAGAGCAATAAGATAATACATGTGGAGTGTATTTTAAATACAAAGTGTTAGTTAATGTTCAGGTTACTATTAACTATGTAATTTAGACAATTCTTCAGTTGTTGAGATTTAGGTAATTTTTTAAATTATAAAATCATACACTGGGGGCACCATGGCTCAGCTGGTTAAATATCTGCCTTCTGCTTAACTTAGGTCATGATCCCGGGGTCCTGAGATCAAGCCCTGCATTGGGCTTCCTGCAGAGAAGGAGCCTACATCTCCGTCTCCTGCCTCCTGCTCCCCCTGCTTGTACTCTCTTTCATTCTGTCAAATAAATAAAATATTATTAAAAATAAAATTATATATTGAATATCATGCATAATTTTTATTTATTTCAATAATCTTTTTAGGATACTCCTAGAAGTAAGATTATTCTGAGTCAGAGAATATGAGCAGTTTAATGAATCTGGCAACATAGTTCCTTATCATAAAGTTTTTCAAAATGATTCTGTAGTTCATTTGGCATTTGATACTGGTTTTCTCCCAGCTCTTGATTTTATCCTTAAAAATCTTCTTTTTGGCTACTTTTTCATAGGAATAGAATAGTACTTCATTCTTAACATGCTTGTCTTTTTTTTACCATATGATTTAAGAACAATTTTTTTAAAATTAAAATATGTATTTGTTTATTTTTAAAGATTTTATGTATTTATTCATGAGAGACACAGAGAGAGGTAAAGACCTAGCACAGGGAGAGGCAGGGTCCCTGCTGAGCCAGCAGCTTGATAAGGGAGTTGATCCCAGGACCTGGGATCACGACCTGAGCCAACGGCAGATGCTCAGCCACTGAGCCACCCAGGTGCCCCAAAAATAATTTATTTTTTAACAGCAAATGGGGGGATGTTAATGGAAGAAACTTTATTCTCCTTAAATGGAAACAGAAGGATGAGCTACTTTATTTTATATATGAAAAATAACTTCAAAAAGTCTGATCTGTACATTTTATTACTTTATTGAAATATAAGTATCAATGATTTTTCAGTAGCTTTTGACATTGGGGATCAGTTTTATAAGAGATTTTCTTTATAGGGCTGGATTCACTCACTGGAAATGTTCAGAACTCACTTCTTGATGAGGAGAAAGTACATTCTGGCTCAGAACGTGGCTCTCATCAAGGAAAGAAATCTGGGACCAGTAGCAAACTTTCTGTTAAAGATTATGAGCAGACCCTTGACAGTGATAGCATTTTGGAGGATCTTTCTGGGCATTCTGTGAGGTAAAGTAATATATGTTTTATAACTGTTATTCATATTTAATTAAAATTATAATATCATTGGTGTTCAGGGAATCCATTCAATAAATTGCTGTATTTTCTGAAGAGATTTTGTAGTTTTGCTCATAGTTTGGGTCTTCATATTTAAAATATAGTTGTCTTTTGCCTAAACTATTGCAGCCTCTCTCAGGAATACTCTGCCTCTAGCACAAGCCACCTCTCTGTTCTAAATGCCATTGCCACTGTTGTTATCTTGAATCAGTCCTTTGACCAAGCTTGTTCTCCTTAGGGTACCTTGGGAGCTCAGAACTCTGTAGATGAACTCCCAAGAATGTAACTTTATTTGAAGTGTTTTCACTAGGCGCTCACAGACTATCTCATTTCCTTTCTCTATACATTTCTTCTTACCTGTGTTCATCCCCTCTTACAGCACAACTACTTAGCATCCTTTTGTCTCATTATTTATGTCTTCCTGTGAATGTTTCTCTCCTGCTCAACTTATTGATGACTCAAATAGATTTTGAAATTTCACTCTTATTTTGATTGCAGATAGCTTGCATACTTTTTTTCCTTGTTTTTAATAATACAGTATACACTGAGCCTGTTGCTTCTGTGATTATCCACATGGCTTTTATCTGTTGCACTTCTTTCTGGAAATTTAAGCTCTGAGAAGACATGGATTTATTTTTTTTCTTTTAAAGCTGTTTGCTTTTTCTAGTGCAGTGTCACATACAGATAATCATTTTTAATGCTTTCAAATCTTACATCGTTAATACCATCATTGCTATATTTAAAATTGAAGTTTAATTTGTCAATGATTTTGGAATTTAGAGAATTTTACCTTTCTTTAGAAATATTCTGATGATTTATTTAACAAAATCTACAAAGTTAAACATTTCTAAAACAGAATCCATAGCCAAATAAGTTTGATAAATGCTCCATTCTATAGAATAGACACCCCCTGCCCCCCCTTTGATTTGAGGTTTTGATGAAGAGGTGCTCAGATTTAAAAAAATTATTTAACCCTTTTTTTTGTTTGCTTATTTGGCTGTCGTCATTTTCTTTACCTCTCTGTCCTTTGGAAAATTGATTAACATTGTTGGAAGCTTAGTTTTGGAAATGCTAGTCTAGGTCAGTCTTCCTTGCAGAGCAGATACAAATATAGCTTGTAAAAACCGCAAGGTAAGATTCAGGCATAGTACTTGGTTTTGATATTGTGCTTGAATTCTTTCTTGGAGATCTATTAAGAGACAGAAGTAATAAAATTCTTTTTGTATTCCATAAATGAAGTTGTCAGACTATTAGAAATAGTATTTCTCTAAACCACCAATAGTAAATTAAAGGACACTGTAAACAAGTGAGAGCCTCTCAAGACTGCTTTTATTCAAATATTTATTTACTGGGTTTAAGAGAAATAAATGTCTTCTTTTGAAAACTATTTCCTGGTTTTACTGAAGCTAAAAGTAAGCTTGTTTTACTATGTTAGAAATATGTTAACGTGCTAACATGCTTTATGGGGTATCTTTAAGTAATTTATTCAATAAATAAATGTTTAGTGCATGGCAACATCCTTTTGTTCTGAGAAACAGTAACTTTAATGAGCCTAATTTCTCAGAAGGGCTAGACATGTGCTTTGTGTTGAAATAAATACCATTAGAATTATTCCAGTCAGACTGCTTTTGAGAGGTTACTTCCCTAGTTCGAGAAAGAACTATAACATTAAAAGGTAGATGGAAACAAATGATTTCATACAAATGAGTACTGAGAGGTGATTAGTAGGAAAAACCAATTTTTTGCTGTGACTCTTTGGGTTAGGAGGAATAACAAAAGAGTGTTTTTTGTCATTTCTTAATTTTTAATACAAAATGATACTTTATTCTCTTTCAGAGATATATTTTAAGATTTTTTTATGTGATAGGCTTGACCTTACCTTTTATATGTGGCTGTAGTTTTATTGCTATATGAGGTCTATGTAACTTAGGTTTTGCCTTGTACTGTAATAAGTGATTCGTTATATATGTACATTTTATTTTATTTATTTATTTTTTTAATAAATTAATTTTTATTGGTGTTCAATTTACCAACATACAGAATAACACCCAGTGCTCATCCCGTCAAGTGTCCCCCTCCGTGCCCGTCACCCATTCACCCCCACCCCCCGCCCTCCTCCCCTTCCACCACCCCTAGTTCATTTCCCAGAGTTAGAAGTCTTTATGTTCTGTGTCCCTTTCTGATATCTCCCACACATTTCTTCTCCCTTCCCTTATATTCCCCTTCACTATTATTCATATTCCCCAAATGAATGAGAACATACACTGTTTGTCCTTCTCCGATTGACTTACTTCACTCAGCATAATACCCTCCAGTTCCATCCACGTTGAAGCAAATGGTGGGTATTTGTCGTTTCTAATGGCTGAGTAATATTCCATTGTATACATAAACCACATCTTCTTTATCCATTCATCTTTCGATGGGCACCGAGGCTCCTTCCACAGTTTGGCTATTGTGGACATGGCTGCTAGAAACATCGGGGTGCAGGTGTCCCGGCGTTTCATTGCATCTGAATCTTTGGGGTAAATCCCTAACAGTGCAATTGCTGGGTCGTAGGGCAGGTCTATTTTTAACTCTTTGAGGAACCTCCACACAGTTTTCCAGAGTGGCTGCACATATATGTACATTTTAGAAGAAGGAGTTAAATGCCAATTTAATCGAGACTCCTTTTCTATTTCATAATTTTGGTCAGGGTTTGTGCCTAGCTCATTCACCACTGTAAATCTAGCAAATGAGAGAGAGACATACTCATTCATTCATTCAGGATGGCGACTATGTTGAATAATTAAATGCCTGAATCACAGCCTTGCAAAAATGTCAGTGAAGAATGTAATGCATACTGTTCTTATGAGTTGTTTAGCTGGCTCTTGTAGTAGTTTTCCTTTCTCTAATGTCTTTGAAACAAAACTTCTAGTGTCTCATCAGACAAGGGAAGATCTCAGAAAACTCCAACTTCTCCCCTGTCTCCAAGTTCCCAGAAGTTTGACCCTCCAGGAACTTCATTAGAAAGATCTAAATCCTCGGTAATAATGCCTCCATCTATAACAGGATTTAAGCCTAATGCACCTTTTACTGATATGAACCTTGCTGCCAGTCGAACAACTACAGAGATGGCCTCAACATCAGGCAAGTAGATCCATACAATTGTAATTTAAGATACTACTTTTGTTCCTTAAATCCCCTTTCTTTTAGTCAAATTGTAGGGAAATGTTATCCATCAAGTGAATGTGATTACTTTTTGAAGTATTAAAGATTTTGTAGGAAAGGAAATACTGAAAAGCCTGACAGGTTCAACAGTGGTGATTTTTCCTGTTTAGCCAGCATGAGTCAAAACAAACCTGAAAAATATATACTGTGCTAATAATAAGTCACTGTCTTTCCTGCAATGGAAAGCAAACGCTTTTTGGTTCTTAAAATGAAAAATGAATTTCAGAAATCTGAGAGGTTGGTTCATGAGAACTTTTACATTTGACAGTCACTTATGCCTTCCAGGTTCTAAGCGCCTTTCTCCTGCTGGTCTCCAGCATCGCATGGCAGCAGAACTCAGCTACTTGAGTGCCATTGAGGAGTCGGTGCGCCAACTGTCCGATGTGGAAAGAGTTAGAGGCGTATCGCTTGCTCAGCAGGAGAGTGTGTCTCTAGCTCAGATCATAAAGGTATTTGTGGAGTTTTCTTCATTAGCATTCTGTATTTTTTTCTCTTTTCTTTGCTACTTAAAGTCGTTTCAGTGATGAGGTCAAAAAAACAAAGGAAAACACACAACTTTAACCTGCCAGATAGAGAAAAGCCTGCCAAATAGCACCTATAAACAACCCTGCAGAAAAGTGTCATAAAGAGCACTAAAAAAGTTACACATAGAATATTTGGCAGCAGAACAATAATTCAGTCATTCACTCTCAAGTATTTCATTTTTCTCAGTCTCTCTTTTTTTAACTGTCTCTGAAAAGAGACTATAATCAAGCAATTCACAATTTTTTTCTCTTTTCACTGACAAACTAGAGATAGATAGTTCATTGTATTTATTGTTTTCTTTTTAACACTTTATTTGTACCAAAAAGAAAAGTTTCTGAGATCCAGGTATCTGATAAAGCCAGCATAATGTAGACGTCTCCCTAGCTAACAAAAATCCAGTAAAGGTCTAAGCAGTGTTCTTACGTGGAGTTGCTGTTGCTGTCTTTTTAAAAAAAAAAAAAAACAACAAATTAGTATTTACATGTAATAAAACATACAGATTTAAATCTAATGAGTTTTGATCAATGTAACTACAATCCTAATCAAAATATAGAACACTTCTGTCACTTCAGATGATTCACCCATAGACCTTTTCAGTTAATCTCCTCTCCCATAGGCAGTTAACTATTCTGATTCCTAATCGCCATTGTTTATTTTTGCTTGTTCTGCAACTTCATATAAATGGATATATACTTTGTACTTTGTCATATTTAGCTTATTTAATGTGTCACAATGTTTTTAAGATTAATTCGTGTTGTATACATTGTTTTGTTCATGGTTCCATTGATCATTATAACACAATGTGTTTATCACTTCTCCTGTTGATATACATTTGTATTGTTTCCAGTTTTTGGCAATTATAAATATTCTTGTTATGAATGTTTTTTGCAACTCTGTATTCACCATGTTTTCATTTTTCTTGCTTTAATACCAGGAGTGTAATTGCTTGGGTCAAGTAAAAGTATATGCTTAACTTTTATGAAACTGTTAAATTATTATTATTTTTTTAATTTTTTAAAATTTATTTATTTATGATAGTCACAGAGAGAGAGAGAGAGGCAGAGACACAGGCAGAGGGAGAAGCAGGCTCCATGCACCGGGAGCCCGATACGGGATTCGATCCCGGGTCTCCAGGATCGAACCCTGGGCCAAAGGCAGGCGCCAAACCGCTGCGCCACCCAGGGATCCCTGTTATTTTTAAAAGTAGTTGTAGGGCAGCCCTGGTGGCTCAGCGGTTTAGCGCCGCCTTCAGCCCAGGGCCTGATCCTGGAGACTGGGGATCGAGTCCCACGTCAGGCTCACTGCATGGAGCCTACTTCTCCCTCTGCCTGTGTCTCTGCACCTCTCTCTCTCTCTCTCTGGAATAAATAAATAAAATATTTAAGTAAGTAAGTAAGTAAGTAAGTAAGTAAGTAAGTAAATAAATAAATAAATAAATAAATAAATAAATAAATAAATAAATAAATGTGGTTGTATTATCTTACACTCATATGACAATCTGAGAGTCCCAGTTGCTCCACATTCTTGCTGTCATTTGATATTCTAGGCATTCTAGTGAGTGTGAAGTAGTATCTCATTGTGGTTTGTTTTTTTTGTTTGTTTTTTGTTTTCTTTAAAGATTTTATTTATTTATTCATGAGAGACACACACAGAGAGAGAGGGTGGCAGAGACACAGACAGAGGGAGAAGCAGTCTCCATGCAGGGAGCTTGATGTGGGACTCGATCCCGGGTCTCCAGGATCACACCCTGGGCTGAAGGTGCCACTAAACCGCTGAGCCACCTGGGCTGCCCCTCATTGTGGTTTTGATTTGCATTTCTTTTATGACTGATGAGATTGATAGTCTTTTTGTGTATTTATTATAAAATTTATTACATCATCTTTTGTGAAGGTCTGTTCAGATTTTTTGCCTATTTCATAATAGGGTTGTATATCTTTTAATTATTGAGTTGTAGAAGTTCTTTAAATACCCTAGAAACAAGTCCCTTTCAGATATATTTCAAATACTTTCCTAGTCTTTAGCTTACCTTTTAATTTAAAGAAATTTATTTTGTTTTTTCATTTTTAAACTGTATCCTGTTAAGTGCAGAATATTTTCATTGTAGTGAGGATTTCATTTTTTCTTTTATTGTAATGAAGTTTTAAATTTTTTTCTTAAAATTTTTTTTCTTTTATGGTAGTGCCTTTTGCTTTCTAAGAAATCTTTGCCTACTCTAAGATTTTAAGATACTTTAACAAAGATATTCTTTTATGTTTTTCTAAAAAGCTTTATAGTTTTGACTTTTATATTTAAGTGTTTGACCATCTCCAGTTACTTATGGAGTGTGAAGGAACCAAAGTTCATCTTTTCCCCACCTGGATTTTCAGTTGTTCCATCACCATTTTCTTAAAAAGACTTAAATTACCTTGACACTTATATCAACAATTAAATGGTCATTTATATAGAGCTCTATTTCTGCACTCTCTTCTTTTCCATTGATCTATGTTCTATCCTTAATGCCCATACCATACTGTTTTACCATGTCTTTAGAGTGAGTCATGAAATCAGGGTGTAATTACTTCAACTTTGTTCTTTCTTAAGGCAGTTTTAGCTATTCTAGATTATTGCATTTCTGCATAATTTTTAGAATTAGTTTGTCAGCTTCTACAAAAAAAAAGGCCTAGTTTTAATTTTTATTGGTTTTAATATGACTGCCATTGAATCATAGATCAGTTTGGGGAGAGAATTTATATCTTAACAATATGGCATTTTCTAATTGGTGAATATGATACCTTTTTCTGTTTGGGTTTTAAAAATATTTCTCTCAGCAGTGTAATTTTCAGTGTAGAGATCTTACACATTTAAAATTTTATTCTGAAGTATTTTATGTGTCTTGATGTTGTTGTAAATATTTTTTTAAATTTTATTTTGTATTTGTTTCTCCCAAAATATCTAAAGACCATTCTTTGTGTGGAACTGTCCATACTTTGCAAGGAGTTCAGCATTTCTGCTCCTCTCCCAATAAATAACAGTAGTGCCCGTCCAGTCATGACAGCAAAAACTCCCCAACATTTCCAAGTACTCCCAATGGAGACTGAGGAGGGACTGATAACCACTTGGTTAAAAATCACTGGATGGGGGAAATGGTCCCATTGCAGTGGCCATGCTTACCTTGAAATCCAAAAAGCACTGAGATTTTCTACCATTTTAGGAATACATTATAATTCTGGGCTTCCAGATTTTTACAGGGCATTATGCAACTTTGTATACAGATTTTTCACCTTTAGAAAGCCTGTATTTAGCACTATTCCAGAAGAAATGACAAAATATAAATTGATAGATAGTATTATATGGAAGAGTGGAAAGAAAGGGTCCTGGTGAGAAGGAGACCTTTTCTGGGGCAACATTTTTATGAAACCACTTGTTTAAAGCCAAAATAAAGGAATCATAAAATGCTGAGGTGTGAAGAATTTTTATATGTAGAACATTTTATCTCTTTTTAAGAGTTAGGTACTATAGCTTTTGCTTTAAAACCAGCTTTTTGGTATGGGTTCTTAGCCCCATATGCCTTGAAAAAGTTTTATGTTACTACATTATTTGATTCATAATAGGTGGTGATTAATATTTTAATAAATGATTTAGGGCTATCCTGCTTACTGTCTTTCCTTTAAGCTCTAATTGATTGCTTCAAAAATTATATTAGAAAAGTAGTCATTACATGTAATATAGTCACTGTATTAAAATGGTGTAGTGTCTTAGAATTAATAGTTGATCATTTTTTTTATTTTGAAGGCACAGCAGCAACGCCACGAAAGAGACTTGGCTCTTTTGAAATTGAAGGCTGAACAAGAGGCTTTGGAGTGTCAGAGGCAGTTAGAAGAAACCCGAAACAAAGCAGCTCAGGTACTTCTTTTTGCAGCAGGCACTGGTTCTTTAAATTTGTTATCTTTGAAATCACTTTAGTATTTTTGTACTTACATAGAAGTAAAAAAGAAAAGATACAATAATGTTTTAGTACATTATGCCATATGGGTTCATTTCATGTCATTTGACTCTTGTAGCAATCCTGTGAGTCAAGTTAGTCAAGATTTATCCCCAATTTAGAGAAATGGAAGCTGAGGTGTATAGTAGTTACTTGTCTAAAGAAATATCGACTCATGAACGATGGAGTTAAAAATTAAACTCCAGCAGTAATTTTAAGACTCTATAGATTTTAAGGCCGGAAATCCGGATAATAGTCAAGTGTTTTGTTTTACAAGGCATTTGATCCATGAAACAGTTTTAAAATTAAAGCTAATTTGGGGTGGGAAGAGACTGAGACATAACATAAGTTCTCTGTTTACTCCCTTTTATTTTCAGGTCCATGCAGAATCCTTACAGCAGGTGGTCAAATCACAAAGGGAAGTAACCGAAGTCCTGCAGGAAGCAACTTGTAAAATAGCTGCTCAGCAAACAGAGACTGCTCGTCTCACCACAGATGCAGCTCGCCAAATCTGTGAAGTAAGAGCCATTGAGAAGCCCTTTTCTTTTTAGTCAGTTTGAGTAGATTTGGTCTTAGCAGTAATGAGCTTCTAAAGTCTAGCAAATATGTACTTAAGTGACTTTTCAGTGGGAGCCATACAGTATTGAATTAAGAGGCACCATTCATTGCAGTATGTTGTACATACGAGTGATATGGCAGCAGAAAGAAAGATGGAGAAGAACTCTAAATGTCTGCCCTTGAGTAAACTTCTTAAAAACTATATTGATTTTATTGATGTATAATTTACAAATAATAAAATATATTTACTGTAAGTATATTGTTTGATGAATTTTGACAAATATATAGATACAGGTGTCTAATCAGATATAGGTATCTCTACCTACATATTTCTGTGTCTTTTCTTACCTGTCCATCCCTATAAACACCACCATAACCAAGAAATAGAATACAGTTGATTCTTGAACAACATAGATTTGAACTATGAAGGTCTGTTCATGTGCAAAATTTTTTGAAATGTGCTCTAAGTGTAATTTTTCTTTCTTAGGATTTTCTTAATAATATTTTTTCTTCAGCCTACTTTATTATAATAATAATACGGTATGAAATACATATATATAGTGGAGAAGATCTGTGTTACTCACCTGTTTATGTTATGGGTAAGGCTTCCTTCCAGTCAACAGTAGGCTATTTAGTAGTTTAATCAGAAGTTGTCCACGGATTTCGAATGCTTGTGGATTAGCACCCCAACCTTCATGTTGTTCAAAGGTCAACTGTTTTTCCAACACTAAAAAGTGTCTTTGTACCCCTGTCTTTGGTCTCAGGAAGCCATTGATCTGCATTGTATGAAAATGGTTCCTTTTCACCTAGAGTGATGTTAGTGTCTTGTCTTTTACTGTACTAAGGATAAAGCCAGAAATAGATTTACTATTGTCTGTATATAGGATGTGATAATCTGTAGATATAGTTTCAGTTTATTTTAGCAGGTACAATTTAGGATTGTTTGTGAAATGATTTTGTTATTAATATTAAAAAGCCAGGAACCTACTGTGTTAGATACTGTGGGATTGTGCAAATAAATATAGATTCTTTTAAGAAAATTTTAGGCAGCATTAACAAAGATTTCAAAAACACTTTAAGTTGTTAAGATGGTGATTGAATGAACACCAAATATACATACAACAGTTGCAGTAGTGGCTAAGAGTAGGGAAAATACCTCACATTGTAGGTCAGAAAGCAGATAGGCAGATAAGAAGTAGTAATTGAATTGATTCTTAAAGAAGATTTATTTTTGTTTTTTTTTTAAATATTTTATTTATTTATGATAGACATAGAGGCAAAGACACAGGCAGAGGGAGAGACAGGCTCTATGCCAGGAGTCCGACGTGGGACTCGATCCTGGGGCTCCAGGATCACACCCTGGACCAAAGACAGGCGCTAAACCACTGAGCCACCCAGGGATCCCTATTTTTGTTTTCTTATGGCTTATTATATGACTTGAAGATTTTGTTTTAATTCGTCGATTGCTATAGCTAGGTGAAACCTTAGAAATCATGTGGTCCATCCAACTCTTTATTTTTATAAGGAAGCTGTTGAGAACTTAATGTAAATGACTTGCCCACAGTATTTTACCTATTATGGTAGATCCAGTGATCTTTCAAAGACACTGTGCTCCTTCTCAGTTTTTTTGTAATTTTTTTTCATAACTATTTTTGCCTTGTGTGTGTTCTTATTTAGATGGCAGAGTTGACTCGAACTCATATCTCAGATGCTATTACTGCTTCAGGAGCTCCCCTCGCCACACTGTATGACCACCAGCGACAACATGCTCCAGACTTTGTGAAACAGCTGAGGACCAGAGCTGAAACGGATAGGTTAATAGTTATTCATGCAAATATGCAAATATGGAATATCTACTATGTCCCAGGCACTGTTAAGGGTACTAGAATATAGTTATGGACATATGGTGGAGTGAGAGAGATAGGTATTGTAAGCAAATATTTACCTTAGTGAATAAACACTTACAAACTGAGATAAGTGTGAGGAGCAAAGAACATATATCCATGGTATCGATATGTAGCAAAGGAATTTGGATAGCCTGGGGTACAGTGATGTCAGAGGTTTTCCAAGGTAGTAAAGCTTAATGTTGAGATCTAGGGGTTCAAAAGTGATCAGTGGTATAAAGCAGGTGAGGCCAGTCAGCGCATACAGAGGTAGAAAAAGAAAATGAAGGAAGACTGATGTGACTGGAGGCAGAGAACGAAGAGGAGAATGGTAGGAGATGATGTGGGATCACGTGATGGTAGGACATGGCAGACCTTGAGGACTTTGGAGTTTATTCTAGGAACAATGAAAAGTCATTAGAGTTTTTTAGGCAACCTGGGTGGATGTGATCATAGTTTGTGTGTATTTTTTTACATCATCTTTGATCCTCTCTAATTCATAGATTTTAAGTCCTCATTCATATTTATTTATACTTGGGGTGATTTGTGTTTATTTTTCATAAAGCAAAAGATATTCTTTTCTATGAGTGAATGCCTTTCTTAAATACTTTGTCATGGCTATTTCATAATTTCTGTTTATTTAAGATTTTATCTCATATTAATGTTAAACGGTATTCTCTTAGACTTTAAAAGTTTAATCAGTTTTTATTGTACTTGCAGAAAAAGTCAATCCATTTCACTATCTCAAAGTAAAGAAGGGACTCTTGACTCAAAGCATCAAAAGTATTCCCCTTCATATGAGAGTTACTCTGAGTCTTCAAGATACAAGAATCATGATCGAAGGTAAAAACACTTTGATTTAGAAAAAATCTGATAAATGGCTTAGACATTGCTTTTTTTTTTTAACTTCTTAATGTCATTTCTTTAAGTGAAATAGAATCTTCGCCTTCAGAGTTCTGACTTTCCCCATTTGATTAGCTGATTTGTAAAATTGTTCTATTCCTTGAGACCCTGCCTTGTGCTTGCACTGTGTCGGTTGTTTTTCCTACATTTAATTTTCACAACTTTCTAAAACAGATATTGTTCTCATTTTATAGTAGGGAACAGAGCCTCATGGAGTTGCCAAGAAATTCACCCAAGTTCACACCAAGGAACTGAGCCTTGGCTTATCTGGCTCTAAGGCCTATGCTTATTATAAATTGCTTTACTAACATCCATATTTCTTGACATTACTGTATGTATAATTTTTATCATTATAAAAGAAGATCGAATACTTTGTCATTGGTTCTTGCCTGGTATTAACATCTATAGTTTTCAATTACGGTTCTGTCCTTGGATTAGAAGATTTTTGAAGCAACTTTCCAGCATTCTTAGAGGTGGGATAACTACATTGTCAAAGTAAAACCTCATTTTAAAAAATTAAATCAAAATAAATAAGTAAAAAATTAAATCATGAGGGATGCCTGGGTGGCTCAGAGATTGAGCATCTGCCTTCAGCTCAGGGCATGATCCCAGGATCCGGGATTGAGTTCTGCATCGGGTTCCCCGTATGGAGCCTGGTTCTCCCTCTGCCTATGTCTCTACCTCTCTCTCTGTGTCTCTCATGAATAAATAAATAAAATATTTGAAAAAAATTAAATCATGAACCTAAAAAACATTAATGTGGGGTATTAAGTACCTACCACATCCCTGGAACTATATGACTTTGATTTAATCTTCAGTGACCCTTAGTTCATTGAGACTGTCAGCTGGGTCACTGCAGGGAATTCCTAATAGGTTTCCCAGTCTCTTCCCAAACCATTTCCCAATCTCTTCACTAGCCACATGGTAACTAGAGGGATTTTTCTAAAATTTGCAGCCAATTTTTTATTCACCTGTTTGAAACCTTCAGTATTCCTATAGAGCCATTCAGTAGGTCATGAAAGTTCCCTAATTATTGAGGCTTTGGTCCATCTTCAGCCCTGTCTCTTGGCATTTCTACTCGTCATATTCCACTAATTGTAACTATTCTAATGCAACTCTCTAAACGAGCCAAGCTCTCTGTGTCTTTTGTGCCGTTATACATGATATACTTTCTTTCTAGACCTTACTCCCTCTGTTTCATTTAGTTTACTTGTATTTCCCCTCCATGAGTCAGTGTTACCCTAGTCTGCTTTACGTGTCCCTTCTGTGTTCTCCCATAGCACGCCAATCATAACTGTTACAGCTTTTACCACCTTCTATATCCTTTTCCTTTACTTGTTAGTTATGGACTAGACTAGAAGTTCTTTTGAGGTCTTCATTTTCATCACCCCAAAAAGAAGCCCCATACCCTTAGCAGTCACTTCTTATGCTGTCTCTTCTCCAGCTTCTGGCAACCATTAATCTGCTTTGTATTTCTGTTCTCTGTGGATTTATCTGTTTTGGACATTTCATATAAATGGCATCATACAACGTGAGTCCTTGTGACTGGCTTCTTTGACTTAGCATAATGTTTTCAAGGTTCATCTATCACATATTAGTATGCTGTTCCTTTATATGGCCAAGTAATACTCTGTTGCATGGATATGCCACATTTTACTTCATCAGTTGATAGACTTTGGATTGCTTCTGCTTTTTGACTATTACGAATAGTGCTGCTACATACATTTATGTGCAAGTTTTTATGTGAACATAGGTTTTCATTTCTTTCGGGTATACACTTGAAAGAGGTGTTGCTGGGTCTTTAATTTTTTGAAGAGCTGCCAAACTTTTCCAAAACAGCTGCTCCCAGTAAAAATACAAATTTCTTTTCACATCCTCATCAACATTTGTTTTTCTCTCTTTTTTGTTAGAGCCATCCTAGTGAGGACCATGCTATACTGCTATCCCCAGAACTTAGTAAAATGCCTAGCACACAGTAGGCAGTCTACTACATGTTTACTAAATGAATGATAGGCACATAACCGCTAAGTGGAATAATTGAGTTTAATCCCTTATCCTTATGACTCCAAAGCATTTGCTGTCTCCTGCATTATATCTTTTACATTATAGCTATATTATATGGTTTATACTTTCAAAAACATCTGCTAAACCAGACAAATAATTGCACAATATCCTGATAAATACTATTATAGAAACATACAAAAAAACAGTATAAACACAGATACAGGGGTGAACAAGCCTTCCTTAGGAGTGGGAGAAGGTATCCTCGAGCACTTTGCAGAAATGATACTTGAATTGAGTCTTAAACTAATAGTTTCTTAGGCAGGGAAGGGAGGGCATTTCAGAAAAGGAGATGGCTTATGGAGAAGATGTCAAAACATGGCTTGTGATAGGCTCTCTCTCTATGTATGTTTACATGAATAAATAAACTAAGGAAAGCAAAGAGGAAGGAAGGAGAACATTGACCTTAAAAACAAGTTCACTAAGCATTTGGAAACTTGAGGCTTAAAGTCAGGGTAAGGGCAGAGCTAGCTGATCAGACTTGAGACTCCATCTAAATGATAGTAGTTAAAATTACAGAGATGCATAAGATTGCCAAAAGGAGAGTATGTGGCACAAATGAGAAAGTAACCAAAAACAAAACACTGGGAATCACCATCATTTTAAGGAAGCCAGGAAAATTCAAAGGATGTGAAAGAAAGAGAAAAACGAATTCGGGAGATAGAAAAGCAGGTGAGAGTAGAACCAGAGAATGTAAGGAAGGAGAATCTTTTTCTTAACATTTAATTTTGATGTAATATCAAGCTTACAGAGATGTAAGAATAATATAAAGTTCCTGAATATCTTTTATACACATTATACTGATGTTAGCATTTTACTACATTTGCTTTAGCAAGTGGAGCTTTTAAAGGAGATAGAGACCAACACCATATAATGTTGCAGAAAAATTATCTGTCAGATTTGGCAATTCAAGTTTAGGTAGAGGTTTTAAGAACAATTCCATAGAGTAGGTGGGATTGAAGCAGATTGTGATAAATTGTAATGATGAAAAATAAGGAGGTTGAAACAGCCAAATAGAAGCCCCTTTTCCTGGTAACTTGACTTTAAAATGAAAGGAGATAAGAGAGTGATAGCCTGAGAATAATGGTGACCTAGCGTGACTATTTAAGAGTGAAACCTTCCTCTTTTCTAGAACAGTTTCCTTTCAGACTTCTATCTTTAGCATTTTATGTTTTATGTTACATATTTCATCATTTTATATCTTGATCATAAGGCACATTCCCCTAGCCAAATAAATTTACTTTGGATTTATGACCTTATTTTATCACTTTATTTATTTATTTATTTGGATTTGTTTCTATAATACCTATAAATAGAAGTAGTAGTGGTAGCAGCCGTCAAGAAAGTCCCTCAGTACCATCTTTTAAGGAAAATGAGAGGAAACTTCATGGTGAAAAGATGGAGAGTTCTATTGATGAACAAATTCAGACTGCTGCAGATGATTCTCTACGAAGTGACAGTGTACCATCTCTTCCTGATGAGAAAGGTAACATTCCTTGCACGTGTATGTATATTTATTTGTTTAGGGAGGCTTCCAGAACCCTTTGAGATATTTGTGACTGAGCTAGTTAGTATAATTGGAACATGGTAGTAACTCTGTGTATCTGAATCTGATATTGTGTCCCAGTGAAATTATTTCAAGGCTATATACTATGCCAGTAACTCTTGCTAGTATTTTAAACATGATTGTGTGTCTTGATCCTAAGGGAAGGCAAAGCTAAACCTAGGAGAGCATGTATGTGAATGGAAATTAGATGTTCAAAAAAATTACTTTAATCCTATTATCGATATACAGCATAATAGTAAAGAGAATAAATTATAAACAATATAATAAGGATACAGTTTCTTATAAATAATGATAACATCTGATGTAGTAATTAGATTAAAATTTGTTAGTTACCTCTTCCTAGATCATAAACAAAAGCTGTATCCCTATCAAATCATGGGTAGTAAATAACATAATGAAGAAAACAGAGTTTGGCAACAAATGACACCTTTAAGAATTTTTTTTAAGTGACTGACTCTTAAGCAGTGTATTTGATCAATGGCCTGGAACCGTAGTTTTCAGAGCAGGATGGGCAAGATAGTCTTTAGAGTATAAGAAGATGTTTAAATTTAGATTTTTCTCTTTTTTTAAATGTTTTTGTAAATTTATAATGAATGTAATTCATGGATGTAGCAGTTTGTAGTTAATGAAAAATTAACAATTAATATGGATCTTGTTACCCAGAAGTAATTAATTAATACAGTCTAGCTAATGAATATAGATCCTGTTACCTAGAAGTTGGGTCTTGCTATAACAAATGCCAAATATGTGGAAGTGGCTTTAGAATTGGGTAATGAATAGAGACTAGAAGAGTATTGTGGCACATGCTAGAGAAAATCCACATTGCCTTGCAGAGACTGTTGGCAGGAATATTGATGATTAAAATATGGTTAAAAATGATTCTGATGAAGTCTCATGAAGATAGAAATTAGGAATATATTATTGGAAACTGGAAGAATGGCAGTCCTTTTTATAAATTGACAAAGAATTTGGCTGAACTGTGTTCTAGTGTTTTGTGGAAAGTAGAAGTTAAAAGTAGTGAACATGGATAGTTAGCCAAAGGAATTTCTGAGCAAAGTGTTGAAGGCATGGCCTTGGTTTCTCTTCTTACTACTTTTAGTAAAATGTGAGAAGAGAGATAAAGGAATTGTTAAACAGGAAAGAGAACTTAAAGATTTGAAAAATTCTCAGGCTATCCTTGTTGTGAAAAATGAGAAAGTATGTTCTGAACAGAACACCAAAGATATGACTGGACACTCACTCCATAAAGAGATTATCCATGAATCTAAGCAGCCATCTCAGCTGAAGCCAGGAATAGAGATGGGATTATACTAGCAGAGATACTGCCAGTTTGGATAAAAGAGCATAGAGATGGGATGAAATATGGGAAGGCTTTCAGACTTGTGGGATTTCACAAGATGAGACAGATGAGACAGATGAGACAGATGAGACAATAGAGCTAGGCTGCAAATACGCCTTATCCTTCAAATAAAGGGAAAAATGACCCTGAGGGTGATTCAGAGATCAGCAGGGCAGCCACTGCCACCATAGGCCCAGGCATAGTGGCCCAGGGGACAGGGCTGTCCTCTCATTGGTTTCAGAGCATATGGCCACCTCCTTGGTTTCATTTGTTCACGTTGCCTTTGCTTACAGCCTCAGGAGCAAAGCACTGCCAGTGGCTGAGGGGATGCTGCTGACACACAAAACTGAGAAAGCAAGGTCACCCCATTGGGCCTGAGGGCAGACCATCCTGCCAGAGGATCATTCTTGAGCCTTAAGACCTAATGGAATTTGCCCTGCTAGTCTTGGACTAGCTTGACACCCATCACCCCTTCTTTTTGATTTATTCCTTTTAAAATGGGATTTTTTGTTTTATGCCTTTCCCACACCATTGTGTTTTGGAAGCACGTAACTGGTCTTGTTTCACACGATTGCAACTAAAAAAGGAATTTTGCCTCAGGATGAATCATACCTCAAGTCTCACTGATACCTGATTTAGGTGATACTAAGATGAGACTTTCAACTCCTAGTTGGTGCTGGAATGGGTTAAAACTTTTGGGACTATTAGGATGAGGTGAATGTGTTTTGCCTGCAAGAAGGAATTAATTTTGGGGAGCTAGAGGGTGAAATGTTGTGGACTTAATTATATCCCCTCAAAATTGAGGGGATTGTTTAAGTCAGTAGGTTGTGGTTAATGCTAGCCCAAGCAGACTAATACAGTAGTAATAAATATTGAAAGGCATACTCATATTTTTATACTGATCGATGAATGTTTTTCAGATTGTTTTCAAAAATGTTTTATGGATTGCTGGATTAAAAACTAATGAAATTCATTCTAGGATCAGACTTCATAAAGACAACTTCTATGTAAAGAGAGAAATAAAGGACATAGGAAAACAAAGAAATTATCCGTTAAGTTTCTCCTACAGGATGAATTTAATCTCTACAAAATCTTACCTTAATAATAGTACTTGTAATTAAAATAGTGAAAGCATTGGTTAGCCTGGGTGGCTCAGCAGTTTAGTGCCGCCTTCAGCCCAGGGCGTGATCCTAGAGATCCGGGATCGAGTCCCGTGTTGGGCTCCCTGCATGGAGCCTGCTTCTCCCTCTGCCTGTGTCTGTGTCTCTCATTCTCTGTGTCTCTCATGAATTAATAAATAAAACCTTTAAAAAAAATAGTGAAGGCAAATTTATTTATTGAAAGTGTGGGTCTCAGAAGGAATAGATAGTAACCATCTGTGACTTGTTTAATGATGTTCTCAAGTGTTTGCCATGGTACCTGGCTCCAATAACTGCAAATTTCTAATTTTCTAGTGACTAATCTGAAATATCATGAGCCATGACTTTTTGATATATTTAACTTCTTTAAGCAATATAAAATTAAATTACTTGAACTTCTACTTCTGGTCACAGTGGAAGAACAGGACCAGATTTGTCATCCCCGCCAAACAAATATCAGACAAAATAATATGAAATAACCATTTTCAAGACATTGAACATCAGGCAGTGAATGCTATTGATTCATGAGATGAAAAGCAGATGAGGTGAGCTCTATGACTGTTCCAGCTTACTGCCTGAAGGTAGTCTCCAGGTTGTACAGCATGGAGCCCAGTAGTCTTCCCAAGTTGAGGAAGGGGAATTAGGAGTCCAGAGAGATGAAGGTGACTGATATTCATAGGATGACCAAGATCCAAAGAAACAACACCATTTTAAAAATTTGTATGTAGAAGAAAAGAGGAGAAAATTCAGGTTACATTTTGTTTAGCAGTGACTTCTTAGATCCAACACTAGAAGTACAATCAAAAACCTCTCTGTGAAAGATACTGTTAAGAGAATTGAAAAAAATAAGCCACAGACTGTTAAAATATTGTAAATCACATACTGGATAAAGGACTTATATCCAGAATTATATAAAGGACTCTTAAAACTCAACAGCAAGAAAACCAACAACACTATTTAAAAATGTGCATAAGATCTGACCAGATACTTCATTGAAGAAACTATACAAATGGCAAGTAGACTTAGGAAAGGTGTTTAATATCATGTGTTATTAGGGAAATGAAAATTGAAATCGCAATGAGGTGCTACAATATGCTTATTAGAATGGCTAAAATCCAAAATCTGGCAACAGTGTGGTGGCAGGAAGGATGCTGAGCAGCAAGACTTTGAATTCATTGCTGATGAGAATGCAAAATGGTATAGCTATTTTGTAAGACATTTTCACAGTATCTTAAAATGATCCAGCAGTCACATGCCTGGGCAAACGAATTGAAGACTAAGGTCCTCACAAAAGCCTATACACTACTGTTCATAGAACCATTTTTCATTTTGCTAAAAACCGGAAGCCACCCATAAGACATTTATTAAGAGAATGGATAAGCCAACTGGTAAATCTGTACAGTGGAATACTCTTCAGTGATTAAAAGGAACAGGCTATTATTGATTCATGCAACGTAATGGATGAATTTTAAGTGAATTTTACTAAGTGAAAGAAGCAAGCCCCAAAAGGCAACATATTGTATGGTTCTGTTTATATGATATTCTGGAATAGTCAAAACTTTAGGGAAGGAAAACAGGTTAGTGGTTCCAGGTGTTAGGTAGAAGAGGAAGTGGTTTACTACAAAGTGGACACACAGGAGAACTTTTAGTGTGAAACAACTGTTATGTAAGAGATGTCCTGTATGATTCTTTGTGTACTGATGCTGGTGCTGTGCATTTATCAGAACCCTAGAGCTGTACATCACAGAGAGTAAACATGTGCAAACTAAATGCACACACACATCAACCAGGATGTTGGGGGATCCTAGAATGGAATACAGTCTGTGACAGATGAATCTATCTTTATTACCAGTGTGTGGCATAACCACACTTAAAGAGAGTGGAAGGAAAAGGAGCTGACCTAAGTAAATTTGGAAGATAGCATTTTTGAGTGGAAATTGTAAGCCTAAATATAAAAAGAACAGTATATAAACACTGTATTCTCATTGGTAAATGAGCTTTTCACAGGGTTACAGGTAAATGGTGCTTACATATGTGTTGGGGTTGAACAAGTAAGTAAATGGATGTTTGATGGTAGGAGCCAGGTTTCTCAGGTTTCTCTTGTGTTAAGATACACAAGAAAGGAAGACTAGAGTGAACCCTATGGTGCCCATAATTGTAGTTTCTAAATATTCTCCAATGAAAGCTGTTAGAGCTCTTTGGAGAAATGACTTGATTCTAAGACTGGGCAGGGAATATACAAAATGAACCTAGAGCATCTTGTAGTACTAGAAAGTAAGGTTGGCTAAATAAAAGAATTGGGAGAGAGGAGTGCATGTCAGAGGCACACAAGAACCAACCTAAAAGAGCCATCGTGTTTTAATTACCATGGAAATGATGAGTTCTTAAAAAATTTTTAATTTGCATTTCTTTGCTAGTAATGTTAAACTTTTTTTGAACTTTATTTTGGCCATTTATATTTTCTTCGTGAAGCATTTGATCAAGACTGTTTCTCATTTTTCTATAGGAGTATTAGTTTTCTAATTGGTTTGTAAGAGCTCTTTATATATATTACACTTTTGCCATATTTCCTGTACTAGTATTTTTAGATAATTAAGTGAATTTTTATTATTCTATGCCTATTAACTGTTAGCAATCAATTCTATGAATATATGTTAGATTGTCCCATAAAGAGGCAGCAAGGGCTACTAATTGAATACCTACTGAAAACTGTTATAATGAAAAAATCTACTTGTTCCAAATTCTTTTAGATTCCACTTCTATTGCAACAGAATATTCCCTGAAATTTGATGAATCTATGACAGAAGATGAAATAGAAGAAAAATCATTTCGATCTTTATTACCTTCTGAGAGTCATCGCAGATTTAACATGGAAAAGAAAAGAGGCCATCATGATGACTCTGACGATGAAACCTCTCCAGAAAAGACAACACTTTCTTCTACCAAGGTGTGCTTCAATTTACCTGTGGAGATTACTTCATAAATAGTTGTGGATGTGTTCTCTTTCTCAAAGATATGGCCATATGTTTTGTGCTTTAACTCAGATGTCGTCTAGTAGAATGATTTTCCTAAGATAGTAATTTTATATTATATTTTTGCTGTAGAGTGTGGTTTTGCTTTCCTTACAGAAAAGAACACAGACTTACTCCTTGGAATGATTCAGAGGGCCATGAGGATTAGAGCTAGTGTAATGTCTCTAGTGTTTCATTTGCTTCACTCTTATAACACTTAATCTCTTTTAAAAGTTTATATCATTCTTGCCAAATTGTTAGCCTTTTGGATAACAGGGACTTTTCTTACCCTGCTTCATACTGCTGGGAAAGTACCTGGATTATGCAGTCATTTGTTAGTTAGCTAAATAAATATGCAGTCATTTGTTACAATTTCGTTAGCTGAATAAATTAGCTGAATGAATGTTACTCTCTCTCATGTGCCTTTTTTGAAGTGTTCTGTGACATGGTCAGCAGTCTTTATAAGTGCATGCCTTAACAATGTTAATTAAGTTCCAAAGGCTTAGATAATAATAAACTTGAAATAAAATCTCCATTTTAGGAGCTGAGTATGCCATTCTCTGGAGGACAAGATAGTTTTTCTAAATTTACTATGGAGATGGTTCGACAGTATATGAAAGAAGAGGAAATGAGGGCAGCTCACCAGTCGTCACTCCTGCGTCTCCGTGAGAAGGCCCTGAAGGAGAAAACAAAGGCTGAATTAGCCTGGCTAGAGCATCAGAAAAAGTAAAATGTTTCAGTGAATGTAGTTTTCTCTTTCCAGTTTCTTCTTTCACTGAAAGGAAATGCTTTGTTTTTAAAGATACTTTTGTTTCCTAATTTAATTTGTTTTGATCAATTCAGTTTCTTGACTTAGAAATATGGCAGTCTTCTTTGAATCCTGTTATCAACTCATAACATTTTTTTCACATTTCTCTTTTATCACCTGACTCTCATGTTGTTATTTAATACTTAATTCCTTTACTGTGTTGGAACTCTCTCTAAGCAATTTTATCTTTAAAGGACACAGTCTAGGGGTTGTATATAGTATATGTGCAATAAAATATTTGGTGGGGTAGACATTGCTGCATGTTTTCCACGTTTGAAAATAATTAAATTGTTTTTAGAGACTTTTTAGTGGTTGACAATCCTTGTCATTATCATAGAAATTTAATCTCTTTGTCTCAATGTGCAATCTTTGCAGACATCTACGAGACAAAGGAGAAGATGATAAAATGCCCCCTCTTCGGAAAAAACAGCGTGGTTTACTTTTAAGGTTGCAGCAAGAGAAGGTATGTTAAGAAAAATCACTCTTTAAGAGAATTTCTCCTAAGGCAAGTTAGATGGTAGAATATATTATTTTACTTGATCTCTTTTACTTGCTATCAGCTTAAATTAGATTTAGTTGATATTTACTACTGTTTTTGCTGATAGTTATAACTACAGAAATTGCTTGGTAGTCTTCTATATTTCTAATTTTGTGTCACTGCTACTTAATACAATATAGAGTCAAACCTCCCTTCATTTGTTAAATAAAATAGTATTTGAAAAGCATATTTTAAAAATTAAGATATTTGTGAAAAGAGTCTATTTGAATTAATTTTTTAGTCACTATTTTCCCAAATAGACTTTCAAGACACACTCGTTACAAATTGACTAATATTTTGGCTTATTGAGCTCAGAAACACCTGGAATTTGAGTCCTGGAGAAGTAACATGGTATAGTGGTTAAGAATTCAAGTTTCAGAGTCAGATTTCCTGGGTTAAAATTCCAAATCTACCAGTTATTAGTTTTATAATCCTGGACAAGTTACCTAATTTCTCTCTGCCTCAGTTTCCTTATCTCTAAACTGAGGATAATGGTAACAGACTTAGTAGGGTTGTTGAGAAGAATGAGTTAATTAATACATATAATCTTGGCACAGCTGCTATTATCTGAATTCCAGCTTTGTCACTTGCAGCTGTGTAATGGTCAAGTTTAAGTAACTCTCTGAGACTTAATTTCATCTATAAGAGTAAGATTATACTAAGATTATGCTTCATATGGTGGTTGTGATGATTAAAATGAGGTAACATGTATAAAATGTATTTCACAGTGCCTGGTAAGTATTCAGTGGATTCTAGTTTTTGTTTCCCTTATTGTCCTGTTGCTAGGTGTACTAGCTATTATGTTGGATAATCTGTGTGAATTTAATCAGTTAGGTTATAGATTGGATTATTACTCAACTAGGTTTTTTTTTTTCTTTCTTAAATTTGCCCTAAGAAAACATCACTTACTGTATGAACTTTAAAAATTTGGAATTTTGGGGCTGCCTGGCTGGCTCAGTTGATTAAGCTTCTGACTCTAGGTTTCGGCTCAGGTCATGATCTCAGGATCATGAGATTGGGCCCTGCATCAGGCTCTTTGCACAGTGTGGTGTCTGCTTGAGATTCTCTCACCCTTCCCCTGCCCCTCCACTCCCTCGCGCATTCTCTCTCTCTCTCTCTATTTGAAATAGAGAAATAATAAAATTTATTTTATTTTAATTTATTTTGAAATAAATAAATAAATCTTTAAAAAGATAAAAGTTTGGAATTTTTTTAAAAAAGAAATTATGTCTTTTTAATCCAGAAAAATTGGTTTTCAGAATCACCTAAAATTATCTTTTAGTTAAAATAAGTAAATAACTTTTTAGAATGTTACAGTAGCTTTCTGTTTATAAAGTAGAATAAAAGCTAGATTTACCAATATTTTCTCATTCTATGGGGTTGTGTTTTCACTTTATTTATTTATTTAAAGAGAGAGAGTAAGCAGGGATTGGGGGTAGTGATGGAGAAAAACTTATACAGCCTCCGTGCCCAGTGTGGAGCTTGATATGGGGCTTGATTTCATAACCCTGAGATTATGAACCTGAGCCCAAATCAGGACTCTGATGCTTAACCAAACATCACCATCTAGGCATCCCATCTTTTCACCTTTTTTTTTTTTTTTTTAAGATTTTATTTATTTGAGACACAGAGAGAAAGCACAAGTAGGGGTAGGGACAGAGGGAGAAGCAGGTTCCCCGTTGAACGGGGAGCCCAATGTGGGACTTGATTCCAGGACCCTGAAATCATGACCTGAGCTGAAGGGAAACACTTAATCGACTGAGCCACTCAGGTACCCTGTTTTCACTTTCTTAATAGTGTGCTTTGAGGCACAAACATTTGGATTTTGATCAATCTAATATTTTACTGCATGATTGCTGATAGCCCATTCAGTTTTTATTATTTTGAAAATTTACTTGCTTCATCTTCATTTTTTTTCACCTTCATTTTTGAAAGATATTTTTACTGGGCAGAGATTTATATTCTTTCAGCATTTTAAAAGATATTTTCCATGTCTACTAGTTTCTACTGTTTTTATGGAGAGGGCAATTGTCTTAATGTTTTTTGAAGGCTGCTTTTAAGATTTAAAAAAAATTTGTCTTAGATTTTTTCAGTAGTTTTACTAAGATGTGCTTAGGTATGGTTTCTTTTCTATTCATATTGCTCAGGATTTGCTAAGCTTCAATCCATTGTTTGTTAGATTTCGGTTTCCGAAAACTCTCTCTTCATGTATTGCTTCTGTCCCACTCTCTCTCCTTTTCTTCAGAGACTCTAAATAGAAATATGTTAGACCTTCTGGCCATTTACCACATCTGTCTTCTGCTCTGTTTTGTTTTTATCTCACTCTTTAGAAACAATAAAAACAAACCACTGTGCTTCAATTTGGAAAGTTTCTACTGATCTGTCTTCAAATTCATTAGTTACATATTCTTCACTGTCATGTGTCCTGTTAGTCATTCAGTGAGTTCATAATGTGATTTTTTTTTTAGTTCTATAATATCTATTTTCTTTTCTCTATAGATTTTTTAAAAATTATAGATTTCATGTATTTTTAGAGAGAGAATGAGAGTAGGGGAAAGGGCAAAGGGAAAGAGAGAGAATCTCAAGCAGACTGCACTGAGCATGGAGCCCAATGTGGAGCTTGACCTTGATTACCTGAGCTCATGACCTGAGCTGAAACCAAGAGTTGGACTGTTAAATGACTGAGCCACCCAGGCATCCCATCTTTTTTTTTTTTTTAATAGATTTTCTTTGTTTACCTTTCCATCAATTTTTCCATTTTTTCCCATTTTTTTGAACACCTTATTCATTGTCATTTTAGCTTTCTTGTCTGCTAACTAGATAGTTGGACATGTGTGTGTCTGCTACTGTTTTTTTCTTTATATTTTCCATTATGCGATTCTTTGTGTGTTTAGTAGTTTTTTTCTTCAAATTTTTATTTACATTCTGGTTAGTAATGTATAGTGCCATATTGGTTTCGGTAGTACAGTGATTCATCACTTAAAATATCCAGTGCTCATCACAACAAGTGCCCTTCTTCATACTCATCACTCATCTAGCCCACCCCCACCCTCCTCCCTCCATCAACCATCAGTTTGTTTGTTCTCTATCATTGAGACTCTCCTATAGTAATTTTTTATTAAATGCTGGACACTGGGTAAATAACTGCAAAGGCTCCAGATGATGTTATCTCCTCCCAGAGAGGACTTATTTTTCCCTCTGCTATTCAGTTAAAGTGCTTAGCTATTCACTTTAATTCGTTAAGGACTGAGCTCGGTTAGTGTTAGATGGCAGAGTTGGTAGGCCTCAGACTACTTCTGCTTTGCATTGACCCTAGGTTGTAACCTAGAAATTTCAGTTGAAAGCCAGGTACACCTTTTTCACCAGCACAAGAGACTGGCGATTTCTACTGTGCTGTTGAGAGGTTTCTTTTGTGTAGCTCCTTAGCCTTCTGTCTGTACTGCTTAAGAATCAAATGCTTTGAGGGAGGCACTGAGTTGGAAGCCTCTTAGGTTTTGTCAACTTGAGATCTATATACCTGTGAGAGTGGTGACAGGTATAACCTCTTTGAGAGCAGTTTGACTTTATCTAGTTATGTTGACAACACATTTAATCTGTGACTTAGCAGTTCTTTGTCTTGGTATATATACTAGTGAAGTGTTCACACATGTACAGGGGAATTGGAAACAGCTTAATTCTTTAATTAAGAGAATAGATGAAGCAAAGCATCTTCCTGGAAGAAAGTACAATGCTGCAGAAATGAATACATTACATGTCAGCACTATTTAATAGAGATTTCTGGAATGATATTAACATTCTGTGTTTGTGCTAATACAGTAGCTACTAATCACATATAGTTTTTTTTTAATTTTTTTTTAATTTTTATTTATTTATGATAGAGAGAGAGAGAGAGACATAGGCAGAGGGAGAAGCAGGCTCCATGCACCGGGAGCCCGACGTGGGACTCGATCCCGGGTCTCCAGGATCGCGCCCTGGGCCAAAGGCAGGCGCCAAACCGCTGCGCCACCCAGGGATCCCTATAGCAGTAGATCTTTATAAAAAATCATAATATTGGTTTTTATGGAGAAGCAGGATTCAAAAAAATATAGTATGGTACCATTCTTGTAAAAAAAATTTTTTAAGATTTTTAATTTATTTATTCATGAGAGACACAAAGAGAAGCAGACACACAGGCAGAGGGAGAAGCAGGCTCCGCACAAGGAGCTGATGTGGGACTTGATCCCGGATCCCAGGATCACGCCCTGAGCCGAAGGCAGATGCTCATCATTGAGGCACCCAGGCATCCCATTCTTGTAAATTTTTTAAAAGATTGTTTATTTGAGAGAGAGAGAGAAGGAGTATGCAATCTGGGGGGGAGGGGCATAGGGAGAGGGAAAGAGAATCTTTAGGGAGACTCCCGACTGAGTATGGAGCCTGACATGGGGCTTGATCCCATGACCTGAGCCAAAATCAAGAGTGGGCCACACAACTGACTAAACCACTCAGTCGTTCCTGTAGTACTTCAGAATGTTTAAGTAAATGTGCAAAAAAACACTCTGTCTACCCCTGGAAAGCTGCCCTACAGAAATAAAAGCACCAGTGTGGAAGGTTATATTTATTGCAGTTGTATCATAAGAATTATTTTGAGGGGATCCCTGGGTGGCTCAGTGGTTTGGCGCCTGCTTTTGGCCCAGGGCGCGATCCTGGGGTCCTGGGATTGAGTCCCGCGTCGGGTTCCCGGCATGGAGCCTGCTTCTCCCTCTGCCTGTGTCTCTGCCTTTCTCTCTCTCTCTCTGTGTCTATCATGAATAAATAAAAAAAAAATTTTAAAAAAAGAAAAGAATTATTTTGACTGGTGGTGGGGATAGATAGCTATAACCAATTGGGCTACATATCCTTGCACACCTGTATCCAAAAGAAGAGCATATTTTCCTATGTCGTCATCGTCGTCTTTTTTTTTTTTTTTTGAGAAAAATTCACCTAACATGAAATAACCATTTGAAAGTGTAATTCACTTATACTATTAACCATTTTAAAGCGAACCATTTGCTTGTACAATGTTACGGCTTACTCTGTGAAAACAAAAGCAAACGTCTTCCCCCAGAATCCTCTTGAAACAGTTTCTTTACCCTTCTGGTCTTAGATTAGGTAAATTTATACATTAATTGGTTAGAAGCTCAGGCCTAAGCTAATAGCAGTTTTTCAAAATGTGCTGTGTGGAACTCGGAGGTCCCTGATACCCTTTCATGGGTCAGGGAGGTCTAAACTTTTTTTCTAATAGTGGGATATGAATTTGCCCTTTTCATGGTTTGACATTTGTACTAAGTGGTGCAAAAACAATGGTGAGTAAAACTGCTGATGCCTTAGCACAAATCAGGGTAGTGGCACCAAACTGTATTAGCAGTCATCATATTTTTCAGTGCCACATACAGCTAAAAAGAAAAAAACAAAAAACCAAAATTAATTTCTCTGAAGAATATCTTGATTAAGTAGTGACAATTATCAGTTTTGCTGAGTGTTGACCTTTGAGTATTTTCATCTTCATATTCTGCATGAAAAAAATAGGAAACCCACAAGTAAGCACTTTTGCCAGATAACAAGAGGACAGTGATTAACTCAAGGAAAGGCATTTGTGCAAGTGTTTGAGTTGCAAGCTGAACTAGCCTTTTTTTTTTAATGGAATACCATTTTTCCTTGAACAAATTAGCAACAATATGTTTATTCAGATTTAGATATGTGACAGTCATTTTCTCAAAAATGAATGAAGTGTGTCTGTCACTTTATAGAAAATAGCTGTAAAAGTATTTGTTGCCAATGATGAAATTTGGCCTTTCAAATCAGAATTTTGGAAAATTTCTGTCCACCAGAACTTTTCTTTTTTTCTTTTTTAATTTTTATTTATGATAGTCACACAGAGAGAGAGAGAGAGAGAGGCAGTGACATAGGCAGAGGGAGAAGCAGTCTCCATGCACCGGGAGCCCGATGTGAGATTCGATCCCGGGTCTCCAGGATCGCGCCCTGGGCCAAAGGCAGGCGCCAAACCGCTGCACCACCCAGGGATCCCCTCCACCAGAACTTTTCTTTTGAGATCTGTGGTGATGTGAAAGAATGCGATTTTTAAAATACTGTAAAATGAAATGTGTAAACATTTGGAAGATCTGCATAACTCAGTGAACTGACATTGTCCAAATGTCCAATACATGATGTTTCAAAAAATTAAACCAGACAGAAAGAGATTTGTAAAAATTTAAATACTGATTATTTTTTTTTGTTTTGGAGGATATGGTTATTTTCTTTAAAATGCATACAGTGCCATATGATACTTATGAGAGAGTAAGAATGAACAAGGGCAAATAATGTCTTAGTATTATGAAGATAGTTTGACCCTGAGAGTCCTCTGAAAGAACCTTGGGAATCCTCTACGGGCCAGGGACCACACTTAAAGAACTACTGTTCCAGAGAAATTCATACATCTGCCAAAGACAAAAAGTATAAGGCTGTTTATTGTAGCATTGTTTATAGTAGTGAACAACTTTATCCAAAGGTAGGGGTAATGGATAACATGAAATATTATATGCCTCCAGTGTTACATAGTATGTAGGGGTTAAGTCAATGCAGAGAAGTATCAAAAGCAATGTCTAGTAAAGCAAGATTGAAAATATGTATGTGTGATATTCTTTATAAAATATTTTAAAACATACAAATATGTTATTTGTAGATAAGTACAAATATCTGTAGAAGAATTTTAAAAGAATGTGCAAAAAGGATATATATACACCATGGTAGTGATTACCTCTAATGACTTGGAATTGCATACTGATTTTATCTGTAGTGTTTTATTTCTTCACAAAATAAGAACTAGGATAAAATATGACAGAATATTAACAATTGTTAGTATGAGATTTTAGAAATTAAATGTTTTGTTTCACTTTTCTGCATTTTCAGATAGTTTCCAAAAATCAAACATGATTAAAAGAAGTTATAAGTTGCAGATTATTACTGTCTTTATTATGTTTACATTATTGACAGAAACACAGGTTAAAACAAATTTATGGGGGGAAAAGGACAGTCTTAAATTTTAACGGTTATTAACAGTGAAGTGTATTATCTTTTGCCCACTTCATTAGTAACAAAAAACGTAAAGATACCCTGTGTGGAGAGAGTTTGGTGCAATGTAGTCTTGTGGCATTTTAAGTGAAGATTATTCTTTTTTGAAAGCAATCTTTAAATGAGTTTAAGGGCCATAATATGATTTGGCCTCTTTGACTTGTTTGTCCTACATTTTGGAATCTCTCCTAAAGAACAAACCCATAGTTTGAGACAGTTATAGGTATCAAAGCATTATTTGGGTTGGTAAAAAATTACAAGGGCCCTAAGAATTTAGCAGTAGAATAATGGTTAGTTATATTAACTACTTTACTTGTTATGCATCTATTAAACAAATAAGAGTAAAGACCAAGTAGCACTATGGAAAAACGTGAAGGATGTAAGTTTAAAAGGAGGATAGGAACTTCTCAGTCTATTGTAATTATAGTTATTTAAATTAAGGGATCATGTTACGTTATTTTAGCATGATGGGTTTATAGGACTCTTTTCCTTCACTACTTTAAAATTTTTCAATATTACTACTTTTATCTTGACAACTATGTTTTTATTCTTGATATATGTGATGATTGGGCTTTCTTAAAATACTCCTTTGGACTTGTAGCCTCTAAATCTCCATCACTCTTCTCTTTAAACCTTAGGCAGAAATTAAACGTCTTCAAGAAGCCAATAAGGCAGCTCGGAAGGAAAGACAGCTAATTCTAAAGCAGCAGGAGGAGATAGAAAGGATACGACAGACCACCATAAAGTTACAGGAGAAGTTAAAGTCAGCAGGGGAGAATAAATTGGTAAGTTACATGAAATTACTGTTTGTTTTCTACCTCATGTTGCTTGCTAATATCTAATCCTGCCTCACTTTCTCATAGGATGGACTGTGATAGTTGATAGATGAACTAGAAGAAAGTTCTACGTTTGTGACTTTATGTATAGTGAGATTTTTAATTTTTTTTCCTCATGGAATAGTCAAGTTTCAAAAGAGATACATGGTTCAAATAATAGTTGAAAATGTTTTCCATATATAAACTCACTTGGGACAGAGAACCTTGTTCTTGCTTATCAATCCAGATATGTTCCTCAAATTGGACTATTTTTGCTCTTGATACTTATTTTAGTTATCCAGTGTTAATATAACCATAAAAAAGTCAAAGAAGGTATTCAGACAAAAGCAAAATTTGGATCTATTCTGAGATTCTGTAAAGTGCCAGTGTAGTGTTGGAGAACCCACACTGGATAGCTCTGTAATGAAGTAAATCTTGGCATTTTCTGCCTTTGATTTTTAAAATTCAGTTTATATTTTGAAACAATCTCAAATTTATAGAAAATTTCAAACATGATAAAAAGGACTGTCTTCCTGAGTTGGGAGTATGACAGTTTTCTAATTGTCAAAATAATGTGCTTTATATCAAAAGGTAAGTTCAGAATCACATATTGCATTTAGTTCTCATGTCTCTCTAGTCCCTTCAGTCTGGAAAAGTTACTTGACTCTCATGACCTTGACACTTTGGAAGAATTGCATGCCAGTTATTTGGTAGAGTGTTTCTCAACTTGGATTCATCTGATATTTCCTCATAATTAGATTCACGTTATGTATCTTTGGTTGGAATATCATGGAAGTGATGTGATGTTCTCACTGCATTTAATCAGGTGGGGCCTGATTTTGATTTATCCCAGCTGAAGATGTTGACTTGATCACTTGATTAAGGTGGTGGCTATCAAACTTCACTATGAAGTTACTTTCTGCCCCTTTGTGAATAATAAGTACTTTGCATGAATTATTTTGAGACTACATAAATGTCTGTTCTTCATTAAATTTATTCTTTTATTTATACTAGTGTGAACTTACAGATTCCTATTTTACTCAACATTAAATCTGTTACTATCATTTGTTTTGATGTTTGCTTCGTCCCAAGTCAGACCATTAAAAGTCTTTTCAAATTTCTGTTCCCTTTTGACATGTCTGCATCAATCTTTGAGCACTTCCATGTTCTCTGCAACAAGATGTCCTAGGGTCATCTTGTACCTTCCCTGCCCCAGACTTGGAAATGGCTGTTTCTCCAAGGAGGAAAGTTATTCAGAAACCGAGATCTGGTGCTAGGCATGCTCATTACTATTCAGGTTTTGGTCCTCCTTTTTTTTTTTTTTTTTTTTTTTTTTATAAATTAATTTTATTGGTGTTCAATTTACCAACATACAGAATAACACCCAGTGCTCATCCCGTCAAGTGTACCCCTCAGTGCCGTCCTCCTAAAAGCAACTAATCTAGAGAATATATAAGTTTATGTAGAAGTAGTAAAAAATACATTTTACATGTATGTTTATTTCTATATGTACATATGCATATGGTATGTATGTATTATGAGTTCATACTGATTCTTCCAGTTCCAATCCTGCACCATAAGATTCCATTCTAGTTTTTTCTTGTTTGAAACTTCCTTTTCTGATAGACAACTGGTTAACATTTTCCTTAATATAGATTAGTGATTTGACCATTCTTCTATGTAACCCATCTCTCCCATAACCACTGCTACCCCTTTCCCCATGTGGATATCCTCACCACCCCTGGATTCTGACTCCCAAGTCAAGCTATTCCCCCGTGGACATCCCTGCTTGAGTTAATACCTGTGTTAGATGCCTTCTTCATCTCACTCCAGTTGGGACACCCCAGTCTTGGTCCTCTTGTCTATCTCTACCTTTGCATGGACCCTACCTTGCTCTGTTCCATCTAATGGCTTTAGGACTGAATCATTTAGGAAGCAGAAAAGGAAGGAGAAGACCTCTGCTTGTGTGTATTGTTCACAAAATAAAAATGGTCAGAACTGTCTCTACTCATCATCCTGAAAAGTTATGAGAATAAATGACTGTGGGAAAGACTTACTTAAGCATTTAAATTACTTTTTGGCCATGAGAACTATCAATTAAACCAACAGTTCTAAATGTTTTCACTGTAAACTTTTTAATTGGGGAAAATGCTGTGTTTCCCACTAGAATTGGCAAAAAAGATCCATCCCTCAATATTATTAATGTTTATGTATTCTCTTCATTCTTATATCTATCTATATATAGTGTTTGTATTCCTTTTGAGTGGTTCAATTTAAAAGAAATTAGGACAAATACTAGACTGACAGCAGAATATTTTTAAATTTTTTTATTATACTTTGTGATTATATATAAACATATGTAAGATAAATGTAACAAAATCTGTGCTGTAGCCACTTCTAAATGTGATACAATTTTGTCTTTTAAGTAATTACCTTAATTGCAGCTATTTTTTATAAATAAAGTTTTGAGGATAAACTTAATTTTGAAACAAGAATGTTTAGGGTCATCTTGAGATCTTAAATTCCAGTAAAATTGTAAAACTTTTGCCCTCTTTTGTTTGCAGGATTCTCATAGTGATGATGATACAAAGGATAATAAGGCAATCAGTCCTGGTCCAACTGACTTGGAGACCCGTAGTCCTTCCCCTATTTCAATCTCCAGCAGCGAAACTAGCAGCATTATGCAGAAACTAAAAAAAATGAGAAGCCGCATGGATGAAAAGTAATCTATTTTTATAAATATCTCCTGTTCACATTGCAAATGATAGCAACAAATATTTTTAATGTATTTCATTAGATTAGATTGATGCAAATAATATTTTATAAATTCAGGAGCATTTTAGCAGAATTATTAAATAAACCTAGAGGTCAGTTAACTATAGATCTTCTTATAAAACAAATTTTCTTGTTTTTAATACAGTCAGGTTTCTTATTTTAAAAACCAACATAGGGATCCCTGGGTGGCGCAGCGGTTTAGCACCTGCCTTTGGCCCAGGGCGCGATCCTGGAGACCCGGGATCGAATCCCACATCGGGCTCCCGGTGCATGGAGCCTGCTTCTCCCTCTGCCTATGTCTCTGCCTCTCTCTCTCTCTGTGTGTGACTATCATAAATAAATAAAAAAAATTTAAAAAATAAAAAAAATAAAAAAAAAAATAAAAACCAACATAGTAATTGCACATATACCCATGACAATGTGTCCATCTTTCTTTATTAAAAGTTAAAAGTAAGTGTGAAATTTATATCTTCTCTGAAATCTGAGGATATGTCTATTGACTTAGGGAAGCATTAATGATATATCCTGAGATCTCATCCTGTGGCTCTTTGACAATTCTCAGGCTTATGTCAAATAGAAATTTTAACCTGTGAGGAGGTGTGGATTGCTCAGTTGAAACCAGAAAAACTGAAATTTTCCTGAGTGATTTGGCAGTCTACCATTCTTCTAAAACATTTCTAAGTATTATTTTTTTAGAGGCTCTTTTAAAAAAAAGCTACTTCTATTTAAATGTAGCTCAATTGTATGTCAACATTGACTATATAAAGTTACATTTATGTGAGCGATTACACTTGTGGGTGTACATTTCATTAAATAGGCTTGTAAAGTAGCTGCTTGTGGACCCTGTCCTTGACTTTATAACCTCTACCTTTAAATATGAGAGACTCGTTAAAATATTTGATCGACTGCTATTTTATTTTGTTAATGGTTTGAACCACAGATTGAACTTAAGGTGTATCTTGATATCCTTTGTCAGTGTACCACACATTACCAAATTTAATAATGGTCTATATTTATGTGACATCAACCTGTGATTTAATTAGTTTCTAAATAGTCAAATAGTTGTAAATCAAACCTTACTTACTGTAGATAATGATGTTATACATTTGCTCTTCTTTGCTTAGTTAAATTGCGTTTCATAACTTTAAAATACCTGAATGGGTTATGAAAATAATTTTTAAAAAATCAACACAAATTTTTAAAATAAATACAGTGAGGTTAAACCAAATATTTATAAACATGTCAATATTCCTTTTTGGATGATTCCATGTGATAGACTAAAGTAAGACTTTTTCATTGAAATGTAGACTAAGATGCTTTCTTCCTTTCCTGATAATATTTCACAATAGTCTGTATAGGCATACTATTTTGCTTCATGGATGTTTGAATTTGGAGTAATCTCTCTTGTGAATTTCTATGACTGTCTTGACATTTTATACATGCCCCCATTATCCTTGAGTGGTAAATGTTGGAGGAAAGACAACTTCAGGGGTAATTTCTTCATTGATCCCTTGCTCATCTATATTAGTAAGGTCTTCATTGCTAATCTTTGTAACTAGTATTCTAATCATTTTAATCACACTTGTAGAAAATCCTAAGTCTATGAGATGAGTCTGTTTATGTGGTGCTTATTTCAGATTTGGTCAGAGCTTTAAAAATTCTAAATAATAAATTGAAGGTTACACTTAATTGATTTTGTTCCAAGTTTTATTAATTATTTTTTCAGAATCCAAAATATTAAACGCATGGAATTTTTGTATTATTGTTCTACCTTCCTTTATCAACTACTACAGGAACCATTTGAGAAATTTATCAAAGAAATAGATCTTTTGACCTATTGGAAGGAAGCACTCCAGTGACTTGATTTGTTTGAAGCAATGCAATTGTTTTTGTGGTAGGGATGTAAGGACAGCAGTAGCAAAGGAATTAGTTTTAATATTTATGATGATGCTGAAATTTGAGGATGACTTGGAGTATTTTTCAAAATTAGCAATGCACTATAAAGGAAGATTATTGTTATGTGATTTTTTTTTTATGTCTAGAACAAAATTATGTGAAAACTGGTTTTTAAATACCATTCAGGGATCCCTGGGTGGCGCAGCGGTTTGGTGCCTGCCTTTGGCCCAGGGCACGATCCTGGAGACCCGGGATCGAATCCCACGTCGGGCTCCCGGTGCATGGAGCCTGCTTCTCCCTCTGCCTATGTCTCTGCCTCTCTCTCTCTCTCTCTCTCTCTCTGTGTGTGACTATCATAAATAAATAAAATTAAAAAAAAAAATACCATTCAGGTCACCAGAACTTTACACTTAGATTTCCTTTAACAATATTGTAATGTCAGTAAGTAAATGTCAGTCAATAGAATGAGTTAATTTTATTGTCATTTGCTACAGTAGACACTTAATAACAAAATAATTTGAGACTTTGGTACTAGACACTAATATTTGGTAGATTTGCAAAGGCAGTCTTCCAAGAGATTACTATTTTATTGATATAAAATAGCTGTCAAAAAGCAATCCTCCAAAAAAATAAACAAACAAACAAACAAATAAATAAATAAAGCAAGCAAGCAAGCAATCCTCCCTCACTAAGTTTAGCTAACTTTTGGGAACTTTTTCATTATATGTCATTGCTTATTGTTAACCTTCTGAATTCTGATTGTGTGACAAATATTTTTCTGAAACTGTTAAACTATTGGCTACAGTAAAGGATTTCCTTCTTTAATGTTTCATTAAGACAACAAAGCTTTTGTTAAAATTTATATTTCTAATCTGTGGCTTTTCCTGACCTTTTTATTGATCTGACATTATATACATTCTATTTCTCAGTGTAGTGAAAAGCAAAAGAAATTTAAGTTGTGAAAAAGATTAGTTACAATAAACATATGTTTGCAAAAGCCACAGACTGCATAGCCTTCTGTCTTTTTGATACTGTTGCTAAATGAGATCTGAGTTTTGTTTATTACTGTGAGGGGCATTATTTACAATATAGGTACATTGCCTGGAATCCTGAAACATGTTCATGAAGAAAACACCATGCAGTGGACTTTTTCTGTTAATTTGCCAATTTCATCTCAGGAAAATTTTTTACTGAGCAAATAAAACACAAAAAGAATGAGGATATCTTCAAGTTTAAAATAGGACACAGGGCATTTTTTTTTCATTTAATAGCAGCTGTTCTTTCATATTATTTATTAAATATATACTTATTCTTAGTAATAAATTATTGGGAATTGTGTGAATGTGTGAGGCTCTGAGAGATATAAAGGTCAATCAAACATAAATGGTGCCCTTAAAGAACAGATAGTCTAGGTGGAAAAGAGCAAGTATCAATTCCTGTAGAGAAATAGATATAAATTGACTTGTAAGGAAGTTCAGAGGAGGAAAAAAATTTTATTGAAAAGAATATATGAAGGCAATTTTCAGTGGATGAGTGTTCTGAGTTTAATAAACTTTTGAATTAGTAAGTACTTTATAGTATAAGAAAAAGCAAAAAAGAATCCTACAGACAAGTTATATTTTGGTTTGATCATTGCAAACCATGTTAGCACGGAAAAATGAAGTCACAAAACTTCTCAAACGTTCATTTTATTATTATTATTTTTTTAAAGATTTTATTTACTTATTCACGAAAGGGAGAGAGGCAGAGACACAGGCAGAGGGAGACACAGGCTCCATGCAGGGAGCCCGATGTGGGACTCGATGCCTGGACTCCAGGACCACGCCCTGGGCCAAAGGCAGGCGCTAAACCGCTGAGCTACCCAGGGATCCCCTCAAATGTTCATTTTAAATATTGAAATACTTTTTTACTTAAAATTTAAATATTTAAAAATATTCCCAGTTAGCTTAGAAACTGCTAAAAGAGCAAATTAACTTACTGGGTTTTAAATAATCATAAAGTTAAACAGATACTGTATGACATAGCCCTAACAATATTTGCGGTATTGTCTGGTCAATATTAAAATCTTCATTAATCTGCTGAGTTTAAAAAGTTACAAATTTGTAGGGGAGACTTTTACTATTCCATTAAAAAAGATATTTTCTTTATAAGTCTAAAAAATATATTAAATATCATTAACTTAAATTAGAATTTGCCAATATTTTTTAAAGTAGGCTCTACCCCCAGCATGGAGCCCAAAATGGGGTTTGAATTCATACCTCTAGCTCAAGACTTGAGCTGAGATCAAGAGTCAGACACTTAACTGACTGAGCCACCCAGACACTTCTGCCTTAAATTAGAAATATAATTTTCTTAGACCAGGTTCTAGTCTATTCAGGTAACTGAATAAATCCAGATAGCCTGATAATGGTTTTTATTTTCTTTACTTCCTAAGTTAGGAATAATATACCTGCATTTTGTCTAAGTATATTTGCAAATTATTGGACAATTTTAAATAATAGAATAAATTTTGCTTAAAAAATACAAGGCTGCATTTTCTTTTTTCTTTAAGATTTATTTAAAAAAAAGATTTATTTTTGAGAGAGAGAGACAGAATGTGCATGCTTGCATGGGCGTGTGTGAGCAGGGGGAGGAGCAGAAGGAGAGAATCTCAAGCAGACTCCCTGCTGAGCGTGGAGCTGGATGTGGGGCTCAATCTCATGACCCTGAGATCATGACTTGAGATGAAAACAAGAGTCAACCAACTGAGCTACCCAGGTACCCGAAGACCAGATTTTCATTTATGGTAATAGTATCCATGTCTTCATATTCCTTTTTGAATGTCGTTAAAAATGCTTAAGGACTTGAAGAATTTTATTCATTTTAAAATTTAAAACACTGTTTCATTTTTTCTTATCACAATATAGAATTAGTTTTTGGTCCAGAAAGAATTTTAAAATACTAGGTTTTTGTTTGTTTTGTTTAGTATCTTTCAGAGTCAAAGGATTATACAACTGAGAATTTCATTTAAAATGTACATCATAAAATAAAAAATAAAATGTACATCATAATTTTGCTCTTTCAAATGATAGCATGGTTTTATAATATGTTGCAACATAGTTTACAATTATATTAGCTCAGTGGGAAAAAAATGTTTTCATTTATGTTACATGGTCTAGCAGTGTGTTGAGATATTTTTTTAAAGTGTGAGGAGGTACTTAAATGGAGAAAGAAAGCATTATAGACTGCTGGAGCTAGAAGGACTCTTAGAGAAGTTATTTATGTATAGTCCCTTGGTTTCACAGGAAGAAATTGAGGCCATGGAAATAAGTTACTGGTTCCAGATCACACATACCACATAGTGGCAGAGCTAGAACTAGGACCCTGCTCTCTGGACGTCAAGTTGAGTCAAGTTAGCATATCTGCTTTCAACGTCATAATTTTTTCAAACAAAACTACAGTGATGACTTAAAGTTATCGCAGTAGAAATTGACCCTCGTAAATAGGATTTGTTTAAATTGGAAGAGTATTCAGTGGCTGATTACTAGGCTTGAATAGCTGCACAGTTCAAGTTTACAGTATGAAGTGTGACTTTAAAAGGGACTTAGGGGTGCCTGGGGTGGCTCAGTCAGTTAAGCATCTGACTCTTGGTTTTGGTTCAGGTCATGATCTCAGGGTGATGAAATCGAGCCCTGTGTCGGGCTCTGTGCTCAGCATGAAGTTTTCTTGTCCTCCTCCCTCTGCTCTCTCTCTGTCTCTGTCTCTCTATCATAAATAAATTTTAAAAGGAACTAACTACCCATGAATTTCTTAAGATAAAACATTATATAAGAACACAATGATTTTTTTACCAGATTAGATCTATTTTATGTTTCATCCTACTCAGTCCAGTGTTCTGTTCCCCTTAGAAGCCTTGCTGGAGGATGTCTTGATACCAACCATAAAGCATGTTGGTAGGCACTTTCTGTTAGTAGGCATTCGTCTCTATAATTCACAAATTTTACTTCTTATTTGTGCAGCATCTTGAAGGATTATTAACTCTAAAGTGAAGTACTACTTCTTTAATTTCAACTTTATTTGGCTTAGCTTTTAAAGGACACTGTTTCTAGATTATATATAAATAAGGAGCATATATTTCTGGGAAGAAGTTTTAACTTTTAAGTTAAACTTTTCTCACACTAATAAACTTTTCTTTCCTTTTTCTGTTAGCTGTATCTTTTGTTGTTCATTTCTAACCTATGACTTTTGAATATGCTTAATCCTTATAAATGAAAAATAAATGGTCAGTACTTGTTCTAGTAGAGAAAATTATTATTCTGTATATCAAACTGGACAAATTTAAATTGTAATTTTTTTACAGTTTATTTTATATGTTCCAATATTTACTTTTTGTACTAGGTCATGCATGCATTTAGCAGTTATATGCTTAAGAGGGTGGGTGATATTTGAATATTATGAATAGATTTTTAGGACCTTTTGTCAAGTACATTTGTTTTTGCGTACTATTTTGATAATTAGCATCAAAATAAGTTTATTATACATTCATAAAGAATGGCAAGGAAGATTGCAGTGTCTTACTAAAATTTGGCAAAATTGTTTTCCCTTGAACTTCAGTGCAGAAAATCAAGGCAATCCAGATATGAATGTATATGTATGTATGTGTGCATATAAGTAAATGAAGGGGAGGTGAAATATTAAGTTGTGGGGAAACAGACATTGAAAGTTTGTGTATCTGAAAATACATGTATAGGCAAGATTGTACATACTTTTTAAAATCCAAGTGAATAGCTGGATTTATACCTAGATTTTCTCACTTCTCTGTGACATACTATTATTCCTTGCCCTTCCAAGGCAAAAAATGTTGCCTTGCTCTAAAGATGATTGTTGGTGTGCATGTGAACAGGAGCATGCTCTGTCAAAGAGAAATAACCTTTCAAACTATTACTAGACTGACTTATACTCTTAAATATAAAAATATTTATATTTAAATAAAAAATTATCTATTTACTATATAAAAAAGAATTTCCTACTTTTATAACTTTAACATATGAAAATTTTCTTATTTTTAAGCTTATGAATGAGCTATCCATAGTATGATTTTTTTTAACCAGGAGTATTTATTGCAACTAGCTTAGTTTATTCTTAATTATAAATTATAATATTTTATAGAATAGATATTGTATTTCAGTCTTGTTAAAGTGGGCCTTTGTTAAATATAAAGCAAAATACCTCCAGTAGGTCCTATGAGCAGTAAATTTTATGTTGTGTAGAGGTGAACAAGGTATTTTTACTCTAAATTTGTTTTCTAAATTATTATTTTCAAACCAGATCACAATGTTAACATTGCCTTATGGGTAAGTAAGGCAAACACAGTGCTTTTTATTTAATTTCAAGCTTAAAATAGATAACAAGATGCAGATAGAAAAATCATTTGCTCAGGATTATATATGTATGTAGAATTGCTAATGTCCTAGGTTCACAGCCATAATTGTTGTTCTTATGGGAAAACTTATTTAGCTCCATACTGTAGTTCTCATAACTTTACTTACAAACAAATAAGTTTACCTGAAACTATAGATGAAGATTAAGCAACATCTGAGGAAAAAGACATGTTTATTCAGAAATCATTGGTAAGATCTATAATAGTACATGTTTTATATGTCACACAGAGTATAACGCTTGCTTTAAGTGAGTAGCTTTTAATGTTATTCAGGAAGCATATTAAAAGTTCTCCACTCAGCTCTTTTGCTTTCCCTTTCTCATTCTTTCTGCCTCTTGATCTCTTGGTTTTAAAATCTTCCTCCTTATTTTGTAGACACTGCTCTCCTGTTCACTACTTCTTCTCTGTCTTTACGTCTCACCACTGGGCCTCTCTCAGTGTCTGTTTTCCCAACCTTCATCCCAAATTCCAGCTGTATATCTACAACCAGTTGGTCAGGTAACTTTGCACCTTTTTCAGTGCACTCTTTGATAGAGCATGCTCTGTTCTTTTTGTTTGGTTTGCTTTTTCTTTCTTTCTTTCTTTTTTTTTTTTTTTAACAGCCTGGAGGCTTCTTGTCAAATGTCCCATAGATTGTACCTTTTTGTTTCCACATTAATTTGATATGCTGATTGTTCACAAAGTGGAATGACAGTTTTTGTGTTTTTTATTAAGTGTTTGTTGAATGTGTGAATGCATTTTTGTTGATTAGTTACCAATACAGATCTAACATCAATAAATGAGCAGCCCACCCTTTACTTAACTTTGGCATCTACATATAAGGAGAACTTAATAGTAACTTTTTAACTACTCAGATAACTTTTCCTAAAGCTGTAATTTCTCTTAACCCTTCGGAGCTAAGATACATTGGGCTATTTAATTTCAGAGATTGGGTTAAATTGAGAAATTTGAGGCATTTGGTGCATTCATTTCCATAAGTAAATAGTCATGTTTATATGCAAAAGGCATCTGACTGTGGTACTCAGTTTTCTCTCCATAATTACCACCTCTAGGCACCTCTTGTGTCTCTTAGGCAATGGGAACCAAAAAGTGGTATAGTGATACCTGAAATAAAACCAGACTGAATTTGAAAGTAAAAGTCAAAAAGGGACATGGATATGTTTTTATGTTTGCTTGCTGGTTTGGGACTTTGAACTTTGTTTTTGTTGTTGTTTTGGTCGTTATTGTTTTGGGTTTGGGTTTGTGTGTTTTCTGGTCTGAACCTTCAGAATAAATTTCTTGTATCTTCTGTTATGAAAAAGAATCACCTATGAGAAGTGAATATGTAAGTATTAATCAGTCATCATTGTCCAGATATTCTAAAGATTTTCTTTTCTGAATTTGCCACTGTTTTTTCTTTGCTAATCTTTACAAACGATTACAAGTAAAACATAAATTTTCATTTTCTGAATGAGTTGACTCATCACAGCTTCTGTTATTTCAAAGTTTTTCAAAGAAGTAGTAGGAATGTCATGTTTTTACACAGCTTGTTGATAAGGCAATGAATGGTAGAGCCCTGAGTAATTTCTGCCTATAGATTCATTCTGACTGTTCTTCATGGTGTGATCATAGGTTTCTGACAAAGCGAGAGCAAAAACTAATGCAACGACGACAACATGCAGAGGAGCTGCTAGAGTGGAAGCGACGTTTGGATGCAGAGGAAGCAGAAATCCGTCAAATGGAAAAACAAGCTTTGGCTGCTTGGGACAAAGAATTAATAAAACCTAAAACTCCTAAGAAAGAACTTGAGGACCAAAGAACAGAACAGAAAGGTAATAAATACTACCCCTGTTCAGACTACAAACCAAAGCCTAACATAACTGGAAGGTTTACTTCATTATTTTTAAAAAGGTGAATGATTAAGTGTGAAGAAGGCAGAATTTATTTTACTCTAGTAAATTGCAAGTGCCACAAATATTGGAAATATGAGAATATTGTGAATAATCTTTATGCTAGTATACTTGAAAACTTAGAAGAAAGGGGTAAATTCTATGAAATGGAAATGGGTTTTTCCATGACCAAGTAGGGTTTAACACATTCAAAAATACCAGTAATGTGGCAAATTACTTAAACAGATTAAAGGAGAAAAATTATATGACATCTTCATGGGTTTAGAAAAGGTACTGGATAAAATCCTAAGAGGATTTGTGATAAAACGAATTTCAGATAAAGTAGCAATAGAAGGGAGCTTTCTTTATCTAAGATATGCTAACAAAAATGAAAAAGCAAACATACAACAAAGTACCATACTTAATGATAAAAAAAAAAAAACTTTCCTTTTGAATTTGGAAATAAGACAAAGATTTTCATGTAAGGAGTAAAAAGAAGCAAAACTCATTATTAGAGATGATAAAGTTGTGCACATGGAAAATCCAGCATTTACAGGTCAGTTCTTAGAATTAACAAGTGAGTTTAGCATGGTTGCTAGATATAAAATTTATAAACAAAATTCAATTACATGTCTATAGAGCAGCAGAAATTGGTTAGAAAATCTAATTTTTAAAAGAGATACCACTTATAGAAAAAAATATGAAGTACTAGGAATAAATTTAAAAATAACCAAGATCTTTCTGGCAAAAACTTTAGAATTTTATTAGGAGACATTAGAAAAGATCAAAACATACAGAAAGCTTTTCCATATTCACAGATTCAGTGTCATGAAGATGTTCATTCTGCCTGAACTTATTTATAGATTCAAGACAATTTAAATCAGAAACCCAGCAAGACACTGGGTATTATACTATATGTTGGCAAATTGAATTTGAATTAAAAGAATGTAAAGAAAAATAATAATAAAAATAAAAAGAAAGAAACCCAGCAAGATTTCTTTGTAGGATTTGACAAGCTTATTTTAAAACTTGTATGAAACAACAAAGGACCAGAAAACCAAGACACTGCTAAAGAAGAACCACAAAACGGAGAACTTACTTTACTAGATATCAAAATTTATAAAAGTATAGTAATTAAAACAGGATTATTTGTACAGAGATAGACAAATAGACTATGAAACAGCCAGGGAAAATACCCATGTATATGACAAATTGACTTCTGACATAGGTAACTTTGCAGAGCAGTGAAGAAAGGAGAGACTCTCCCAAGAAATTTTGGGCACAGGAAAATACGAAATCAGATCCCTACATTGACAATCTAGAAAGATCCAGCTGAAGGGTTAAAAAGCGGGGGTGGGGGTAAAAATTAGAAATATAGAACTTTTAGAGGACATATAAGAGAATATCTGACATCAAGGAATGGGAAGATTTCTTTAACGTGGTAATACAAAGCAAAACCATGAAGGGAAAGATCAGTAAATTTGACTTTAATAAATTAAGAATTTCTGTTCATTAATACACCATCAAAAAGGCAACAAGAGTATTCATAACACATATAACTGGCAAAGGAATAGTATGAGAATATGCAAGAAACTCCTGTGAATCAAAAATAAAATGACAAACACATTTTTAAAAAATGGGCAAAAGAGCAGGCAATTCATAAATGAAGAATTCCAAATCATCAGTAAACATCTGAAAAGATGTTCAACTTTATTAGTAATTAGGATATTAAAACCATAAAGAAATACTATTTCATACCTGTATTCATTTCCTAGGGCTGCTATAACAAATTATCACAAATTTGGTAGCTTAAAAAAATGTTTTGTTCTCTCCCTTCTGGAGGCCAGAAGTACAAAAGCAAGGTGTTGGTAGCACTGTGCTTCCTCTGAAGATTCCAGAGAACAATCTTTCCTTCCTTCTTTGAGCTTGTGGTGGCTGTGCTGTAGGCATTCCTTGTGTCTGGATAACTGCAGTCTCACATTGTCTCTCCTCCATGTCTGTCTGTTCCTCCCTTGTCAATTAAGAGAACTTATCAGTGGATTTAGGGCCTACCCACATAATCCAGGATGATCTCATCATGAGATACCTCCATTGTTTTAAAAAGATTTTACTTACTTTTTTCGGAGTGAGAGAGAACACACAGGGTTGTGAGCAGGGGCAGGGGCAGAGGGAGAATCCACTCAGACTCTGAGGTAAGCACAGAGCCCAATGTGGGGCTCAGTCCCATAATCCTGAGATCATGACCTAAGCTGAAATCAAGAGTTGGTCACCAAACCAACTGAGCCAACTCATCATGAGAACCTTAATTACATCTACAAGGACCTTTTTTTGAAATAAGATTACATTCATAGGTTCTGGGGGTTAAGACATAGACATATCTTTTTGAGGGCCATTATTCAACCTGTTCAAATACCCATTAAACCTGTTGGTGTTTAGGTAGAACAAGGAACTGCTCTACTGGTATTATTAAACCTATTTTGAAAAATAGGTTGAAAAAAAGAGGCATTAAAAATAATCAAGGGGCACTTAGATGCACAGTCATTTGGGACTCCGACTATTGATTATGGTTCAGGTCATGCATGATCTTAGGGCCATGAGATCAAGCCCTTCGTCGGGCTCGACTGGCTGTGTAGCCTGCTTAAGATTCTCTCTCTGCCCCTCCTGCCTCTTGTGCACATGCTTGCTTTCAAATAAATAAATAAACATAAAAACAATTGATAAAAGAGTAAAAGTGAGCTACACATATCCTACAATTCAGTTGTTCCATTCCCAGGTATGAATCCTAGAGCAGTGGTTCTTAAAGTATGGCCCATGAAACTCTGAGGGAATCTCTGAGATCCTTTCAGAGGGCCTGGGAGGTTAAAATTATTTTTATAATCCTAATATGTTGTTTGCCTTTTTCACTGTGTTGACATTATACTGATGTAGCAAATACAATGGTGGGTAAATTTGCTGATGCCTTAGCATGAATCAAGGCAGAGTGGCACCAAATTGTTAGTAGTCATTGTATTCTTCACCACTTTGCACTAATGATAGCATGCCAGTTTTATATTAAAATGTTCTTAAATAAGCATTTGCAAATACTAATTTTGTTGAGTTTCAACCTTTGAGTACCTTTTTTTTTTTTTTTAAGATTTTATTTATTTATTTGAGAGCCAGTGAGCACAGAGAGAGCATGAGCTGGGGGAAGGAGAGGAAGAAGCTGACTCCCCTGCTAAGCGGGTACCCCAATGCAGGGCTCTATCCCAGGACCCTGGGATCAGGACCTGAGCTGAAGGCAGACGCTTAACTGACTGAGCCATCCAAGTGCCCCTGAGTACATATATTTTTAATATTTGTGTGACAAAATAGGAAATGCGTATAGCATTTGCATGTGCCAAAAGATGATGGTCTTAAAGAGAAGTGCTTAATGCAATGATTTGAATTGCAAGCTGAAGCCTTTCTTTTCCATGGAGTACCATGTTCACTTAAATGGTTAAAAACCATGGTTATTTATACTTGGGTATTTGGCAAACAGTTTCTCAGAAATAGATAAAGCACCTCTGACACTTCAAGGAAAACAAGTGAGTTTTTACTGCCAGTGATAAAATACAAGCTTTCAAGTGAAAGTTTGGAATTTTAGAAATGCTCTTTTCCCTATTGTGAGCTGGACCACTTTCCAGTACTTAAAAGACTTTCCTGTTATAATGGGTGATGATATTAATCAGCCATCTTTTCATATTGTATGATGAAATACGTCAACACTGGGAAGATCTTCATAACTCGGTGAACCAATGCTTTCCAAGTGACCCGTGATGATTTAGAAAATCATTCATGAGTAAAAATATCCATTGAAAGTACAAAGATGACCGAAGGATGTAACAGATCACAGAAAGTTTATTGATATGATTTCAGATTCCACGTGACAGCTAACATGGGAGAAACTACCAATTGTCAAGTTTTGGTGTGACATCAAAAAAGAATATCCACAATTATCCATAGAGACTATTAGAATACCCTTCCCTTTCTAATTACATATATTCTTTGTGAGGCCAGATTTTCTGCATATGCTTCCACCAAAACAACATACAGCCACATATTGCAGACAGAAGGAGATATGAGAATCCAACCGTCTTCTGTTAAGTCATTAAAGATATTTTTAAAAATGTAAAACAATTGCTCTCCTTTCCACTAAGCCCTTCTCTGTTTGCATCAGCCAAAATTCTTACTTAAACTAACAGACTTTATAGTAATGTGATTCACTAAGTCATGAGATTCAAAATTGTATCTAAATGCAACAAGTGAAATTATATAAAAACAAATGTAAATCGTAACAGTTAAACATTTCTTTTGACCCAGATGGTGGGCTTTTTCTTGTTTTTACTCTCTCTAGAAATAGCAAGTGAAGCAGAATCTCCAGTACCTTCCTACTCTCACCTACACAGTGAAAGCTCTGTTCCAGAAGAATTGGGCAGCCCTGCTGTTGGATATATACAGTCTGAGTCTGTAGTTCAGGAGCAGCCAGGGAGTCCAGATCATAGTGTACTTACTGAAGAAATGGTTTTTTCACAAGAACTGGAATCTTCTACCTCTCCTAGTAAACATGTAAGTTAATATATGTTTATTCCTCAAAACTTCTTTAGACAAAAGCCTGTCTAAAAGGTATATTATTAACAGTTGTTTTCTTTTTTCTTAACAGTTATATTCTTGCAATTCATGACAGTGTTGACTATCACCCATACCTGCAACATGCAGTATGTGATATTTGAACAGGAGTAAAGCTTTTTATTGACTTGTAAAGATTTATAAATATATGAATTTTAGCTTTAGTGGCAGTTTTAAATTTTATATTATTAGGTCTATTAATGTTGAAAGGCTAGAAACTTCTAAAATCTTTAAAAGATAATTTAAGATTGGGGCACCTGGCTGGCTCACCCAGTAGAGCACATGAGTCTTGATCCCACGGTCATGAGTTCGAGCCCCACGTGTATGTGGAAATTACTTAAATAAATAAAACTTTTTAAAAAAGATAATTTAAGTTTAATTTAAATTTAAAGATAATGTATAGGAACAATACAAGTTCTTATTAAAATCTGTATTCTAGGGATCCCTGGGTGGCGCAGCGGTTTGGCGCCTGCCTTTGGCCCAGGGCGCGATCCTGGAGACCCGGGATCGAATCCCACGTCGGGCTCCCGGTGCATGGAGCCTGCTTCTCCCTCTGCCTATGTCTCTGCCTCTCTCTCTTTCTCTCTCTGTGACTATCATAAATAAATAAAAATTTAAAAAAAAAATCTGTATTCTATTATATAATAGAAACAAAGAGATCTTAAACAGCAATGTGCCTTTTCTATAATTTAGCTAATAACTTCCCTTATAAATCAGAATAAAAGTAGTGGTTTCGTCTCTTTAAAACAGGTCTGAAATGGTTATTGACTCTAAATTAGAGTAATGGTCACTGTTAGAATAAGGTTTTCCATATTTCTTTAATTCTATACTTCATTAAAAAAAACCTGATAAAAGCTTAAGCTAGAAGCTTAATTTTTTTAAATTTGATTTTATAAGGTATATAAAGGAATTAGCATAATATTAAATATGAAGTGAATACAAACTTTGTTAAAGTCTTTCTTTGTCTAAAAAATACACTTAAATTCAGAAGGGAATATTCTTTGGTAGAGTCTTCATTTTATTGTGGGTTTAAAGAATGAATTGCATTTCCCCTGTTGAAAAATCAGATTCGTGTGTATTATGACACCTAAAAGATTTGGGGAAAAAAACATTTTTTATCCAGTAATCCAATAAAAAACCTGTTCCGCGCTATGTTGGAAAAGACTCCCGTGCCTTGGGCACAAACCTGAAAACAGAGGTTTTAGATTATAAAAGGCTTCTATTTAAGTTATCATGTTAGCAAATTCTTAGTTATTATGTGAAAATAGGCTTGTATATAATTGTATGTGGAATTTACAAAGCAAACTACGTTTTTTGCCCCAATCGTATTTCCTGTGAATTGATTAGATCCTACCTAGCATTGTTATTGAGATTCAAAATAGCCACCACCTGATCAAACACTAAAAATTAGCTTTTTTTCCTCACAAAAAAAGTCAAATAAAACTAGTGTGCCTTAGAGTGATTTTTAAAATAAAAACCAATATTTATTGATTGCTTATTACCAAATGCCAGCTAATATGCTAAATGTCTTATGTGGATTATCTTTACAACAATTCTGTAAATACTGTTTTAAGCCCCTTTCTGAAGCTCAGCAGGCTAGGAAGCTTTCCCAAATTCACAGATGCAGGAAGTGATGATAGCTAGGAATCAAAGTAGGTGTTCTCAGGGTAGAAATTATGTCCTTCATAATAATCTATGGACATAATAATCTTGTGGACAATCTTCTTATGTCCTCTTTTCTTTCATTCCTCCTTTCTTCTCTTTTTCCCTTCTTTCCAAAAAACCAGTACATATTTAGTGTTTTTAAGATTTATTTTTCAGTTTTATTGAGATAAAATTGAGACACATCACTGTATAAGTTTTGTGTACAACATAATGGCTCGACGTACATATATTGTGAAATGATTATTACATTAAGTTTAGTTAATATCCGTCACCTCATATAGTAACAAAATAATGTCTTTTTCGTTATAATGAGAACATTTATGTTCTTCTCTTAGCAACTTCCACATAATACCATGCAACAATATTAAGTATAGTCATCACATTGTATATTATATCCCTAGGACTTGTGTATCTTAATGACTGGAAGTTTGTATCTTTGCCTACCTTCACCCAATTCCCCCCACCTCAGATAACCACAAACCTGATCTCTTCTGTGAGTTTGAGTTTTTTTAGATTCTACATATAAGTGAGATCATACAGTATTTGTCTTTCTCTGACTTATTTCTCTTAGCACAGTGCCCTCCAGGTCTATCCATCTTGCAAATGGCAGGATTTCCTTCTTTCTTTATGGCTGAAGAGTATGCCTGTGTGTGTGTGTGTGTGTGTGTGTGTGTGTGTGTGTACACGCATGCACGTGCACGTGTGTGTGTGTGCAAGTGCACATAAATGCACCGCATTTTCTTTATCCATTTATCTATCAGTGGAGAACTACCATATGATCAAGCAACTCCACTTCTGGGTATATATCTGAAAGAAATTACTATGTCAAAAAGATACCTGCACCATGTTTAGAATTCTTTTAATTAAAAATTAAGATGGTAAATATCACTTAAACAGTAACCACTCCTACATTATTACAAACTTTTTTAAAAAGTGTGCTTCTTTATAACTTTTTTCTGTAATTTTAAAAGAATTGAGGTTTTATCCTTTGTGTAATTTGTAGACTTTTTATACCATAGAGTTATTTAAAATTAAAACTCTTGGTAAATATTATCTTCAACTGTTTGGTATCTTGAATATTAAATAGATTTTACAAATATATCACAAAACAGTTCCCACTTGGTTTTCTGTTTGAACAGTCACCTCCTAAGAGCTGCACATCTGTGTCAAAGCAAGAGTCTAGCAAAGGAAGTCATAGGACTGGAGGACAGTATCGTCTACCTGTCAAGTCCCAGCAACACTGTTACAGTTGGTCAGATGAGTCACTGTCTATGACACAGTCAGGTAAGACTGATAACAAGGAGTTAGTGTTCTTTGTATAATACGTTTTGTTTATCCATATGTTAGTATCATGTTATCCCTCATTGCATTTGTAAAGGCTTTTTGCTTGCCAAGATTAAGTCACATAATTTCATGGCTTTTCATTGATAATCATTTCCCTAACTACATAAAATACGACACACTGTTATATTCTTGGGTTGTTAATAGGCAGTCATTTATTCATCAGACATTGTTGGATTTTTTTTTTCAATGTGCCAGATACTGCTTAAGTGTTCCCTACTGCTCTGTGCATAACCTGTGAAACCAGACAGCATATTACTGTAATCAGACTTTACCCAGTGGGTCTTCCTAACTAGCATAGAAACTCCTGGAAAGGAGAGTCCATATCTTGTTAACAGGTGTGGCACCAGACCTAGCAGATACTTTACATTGCACATGCCAGGTATTTATTAAATGTTTTTTTAATGAATTAATGATGACCATGAGGAGAGGTAGCAGGAGGTAGTGCAGGATAGTTTAAGTTTTAAAGGAGAAAAGGTAGAGAATAGATTGCAAAGGGCAGTGGGGAACATTGTCTATTTTCCTGTAACCTCTATTCTATAATCTCTATGGTGTTAGATTTGGAAGAATGAACAACCTCTATCTATAAGACTTAATCTTGGGAAGCATATCTATATAGGCAGTGTTCAGTTTATATAGTTTATATCCCAATCTTCCTTGGAAGATTAATACTGTACTGAGTGTATGCCTTTTGAGCTCATTTTTAGTTTGCATTTGAGAGTAGACATTTAATAAAAAAAAATGAAAATACTATTCTTGTTTTGGTCTCTGATTCTATTCTGTGCCCCCTGTTTTCAGTGTTTCAAATGATAGTAAATCATGGGATATTCTCACATTCGTAATTATAAACTACTCTTTTTCTTTGAATAACTGCATAGTATTTCAAATAATAGATATTTTGCAACTTAGTTAACCGTTTCCCTAGTGATCATTTAGATTTTCTCAAAATTGCCAATAATGCTGTAATGAACATCTTCTGTATATTGTTGAATATTTCAGTAAGAATACATTCTTAGAAATGGAATTACTTAAGTCAAACCAGTTGAAGAATGTTGTCTACCATATTTATCTGTTGAAAATTATTATTATTATTATTTTATATATTTGTTTTCATGTGCTCTGGTGAAGCGTTAGTGCCAGTGGAATAACATGTCAGTAGACATAAACTTGATACTTGGAAACATGGATTCTTTTCTTGGCTTTATTACTCACTGGTGACTTTTTCCAAGTTTCTTTTCCATATTAAGCATCATAACCATCCTTGCATGAGTTATGGACCAACAATTAATGCTCATGTTAATAAGATACTATTTTATTGGTAAAATGTAATTGAAGTAAGAATGGTTTTAGAGAAATAGCTCTGAGATTTCTAAACTATAGATCCCATCTACCTATTAATGATGATATTATAGGCAGTGTTTGTGGTCAGTTTTAGTGTATTGGAATTATATAATGCTTTTCTCACTGAGTGATGGAGAGTTTGTTACTAGCCAAGTACCTATTGGCTGCGTGTGTCAAATAATCAGGAACTTAATTTTTTCAATTAGAGTATTCTGTCCATCAAGTTATTCTGTCTTGACATGTTTAAACAAATCAAAACAGCATTTACTTGTCTCCTCCTCTCTCCCCCACTACCCAAAAAAAAACCCTGTGGGAGAGAATTCCATAAAGGCAATAAATTAGAGTTGCTTGGGTAAAAAAAAAAAATTTCTAAAGATTCTTTTAGACGCTACTAATGATGTACTATGCAGTAATACTATATTAAGGCAGATATATAATATATTCCCATTCGCTCTCATAGACTTTAATTTCTACCTTTCATTTGTATACTTTTGGTTTCTTTAGTACTTAAAAGTAGAAACATTCTCCAAGGTCTTTCATCTAAAAGCTCCAAGTTTTTCATCAACCACTGTTAAATCTTCACAACCATAGATGATAAATATTTTTATTAGAAAAATCACTGCTGGGGGGCGCTTGGGTGGCTCAGTTGGTTAAGTGTCTGTCTGCCTTTGGGTTGGGTCATGATCTCAAGGTCCTGGAATTGAGCCCTGCATCGTGCTCCCTGCCATGCTTCTCCCTGTCCCTCTGCCTGCCCCTTTCCCTGCTTGTGCTCTCTGTCAAATAAATAAAACTTAAAATCGCTGCTGGTATATGCAATTTTAAAAATATATTTAAAATAATCATTTTGGAAGGGGGACAAAGTTGAAACTAAATCTGTGGGAGTATAGTGGTCCTGTTTACAATTTTATCAAAGTAATGTCTCAAGTTTTGGAAGCACATAAAAGTTTATCAAGCTAAAAGGAACACAGTTTTAAAAGATGCAAAGGTATGGGTTTATACTTCATTTTAGAAAGGTTTTAATTTTTAAGTCAGCCTGCAGTCCTGTTCCTAATCATTATACTAGAATCATCAATTGAATCTCTACAAAGCCTGTCACTAAGGATTCAGGGTCTTTTAACCCTGAAACCAATTGATTAATTTTTTTTTCAGAAATTAAAACAAAAAACAAAAAAAAAAAAAAACAAAAAAAAAACAAGGGACATAGTTGCTCTTTCCCACCCACCACCATTTTTAGTTTTAGACCAAAAAGTATATTACCTAAAGTGTAGCTACATAAAATGTTTGTCTTAAGTGAGAATGAACCCTACCACCGTTTATTGAGCTTTTATGGTAGTCGTGGTGCTGTGCTGTATACTTTATCCACCTTACTTAATCTTCATATCAATTCTAGAAATTGGTAGGGGTCAAACCACCTTATGGACTACCAGTAGTAGATCTAGAATTGAAAATGGCTTTTACTACTACATTATTTTGTGAGTGTTGATCAGTAAATAGTGAGCTTTGCCCATATGAAGGGCTTGGTATGATGCCACCATGGTATAAGATGGGTATAACTTTCTTGAGATACCTTAGGTCCGCAACATAGAAGTGACAGGAACTTGGATTTCATTATTTCTAATCCAGATACTGGGATCACATTATCAAAAAAGACTATCCTCCTTTTGCACTTAAATAAATTCCATAACTAGTTCTTGTGCAATTTAATCTGAAGTACCTGATAAACACCTGGTTATTTACAGCATAATGTTGTAGTATACATCTGAGTCTTCAGATATGTATACATAGTATTTCTATTTTAATAGTACTTCTATTGCTGTTAAATGTCTCACTCAACATTAGTGTCTGGAAATAACACCATTGTGTGATTTTAGGAAAAGGTGTGAGGAATAGTCATTTTTATTCTATGTAATTTCCAGGTGAAATGAAATAAGCAGCATCTTTAAATAATACTATTTTCATATCAAGTGGCACTTATTATAATGAAATGTCTTTTTCATGATTTTGTTATGACTGGACATCTACTTTGTGTATGTGTGTGTGTAGGGAACTATTGGGAAGAAAATAAGATTTAACTAGCTTCATTTCAGTTATTTTAAATATTTTAAGAGCTTCTAAAGAAAGGTTACAGCAGAGTATATTTCTTTGTAATTTCTCTCTTTCCTTTTATGTGGTATTAAGACATCATCTGATGATTCACAATCAGTTTAAAATGACAGAATTTCAGGGCGCCAGGGTGGCTCTGTTGGTTGAGAGTCTGATTCTTGGTTTTGACTCAGGTCATGATTTCAGGGTTGTGAGATCGAGTCCTGAAGTTGGGCTCCACACTCAGTGGAAAGTCTGCTTAGGATTCTCTCTCCCTTTCCCCCTCACTCTGCTTGCACACTCCCTCTCTCTTTCTTTCAGATAAATAAATCTTTAAAAAAACAATAAAAATAAAATTACAAAATCTCAGGGTGTCTGGGTGGCTCAGTTAAGTATCCAACTCCTGATCTAAGCTCAGGTCTTAATATTAGGGTTGTGAGTTCAGGCCCAGTGTTGGGCTTCATGCTGGGCATAGAGCCTACTTTAAAAAAAAAAAAAGAATTTCAATTTGATTTTAATATGACTTAAAAACAACTAAGGGGAGGGACAGGTAAATATTAATTATCTTATCATTAGGGAATAATTCCTTACAATTTCCAAATTTCTCTAACCTAAAAGTTTTTCAACTTCCAGTTGCTTGTCTCACCAAGACAGGATACCTTGAGAGATTTATTTGCAATTTCAAATAGTACAATTAGAAAGTGAAGATAGGGATCCCTGGGTGGCGCAGTGGTTTGGCGCTTGCCTTTGGCCCAGGGCGCGATCCTGGAGACCCGGGATCAAATCCCACGTCGGGCTCCCAGTGCATGGAGCCTGCTTCTCCCTCTGCCTGTGTCTCTGCCTCTCTCTATCTCTCTGTGACTATCATAAATAAATAAAAATTAAAAAAAATTTAAAAAAAATAGAAAGTGAAGATAAATAGGAGGAGACTCCCCTCCTCACCCAACAGAGATTTAAGGGAAAAGTGGGGGGATGCAAATCACTAATAAATTTTTTTCAAAAGCTCAAATTCTTTAATTTTAAATGATAGATTGACTTTATTTAAGTGTATTATTTGCACTGCTGCTTTTCATTAATAGTTATTGAATTAACTATTTTTAAAAAGATTTATTTACTCACTTGAGAGAGAGAGGGAGTGAGGGGGACTAGGGGCAGAAGGGGGGGGCGAGAGAGAGAGAGAATCTCAAGCAGACTTCCTGCTGATCTGGGAGCCTGAATTAGAGCTCAGTCCCAGGATCACAAGTTCATGACATGGTCCGAAATGAAGAGTCAGTCACTTAACCAACTAAGCCACCCAGGTACCCCAAATAAACTATTCTGAGTTAGGGATCCCTTGGTGGCTCAGCGGTTTGGCGCCTGCCTTTGGCCCAGGGCATGATCCTGGAGACCCGGGATCGAGTCCCACGTCGGGCTCCCTGCATGGAGCCTGCTTCTCCCTCTGCCTGTGTCTCTGCCTCTCTCTCTCTGTGTGTCTCTCATGAATAAATAAATAAAATCTTAAAAAAAAAAACTATTCTGAGTTAAAGCTAAATAAAAGATTCTGTATCTCTTTCAGAAACAACATCTGACCAAAGTGACATTGAAGGTAGAATCAGAGCCCTAAAGGATGAGTTGCGGAAAAGGAAATCAGTTGTGGACCAGCTGAAGAAGGAACAGAGAAAACGGCAGAAGGAAAGATTGAAAGCCCAAGAAGCCAGTCTGATCAAGCAATTAGAGGTTAGACACAGTAGGAAGAGGGTTTAATATCAAGGCTAATGTATATGTAAAGTCTAAATGTTTTTAATATTGTTAATAAAGTAATGGATTAGAAGTTTTCAGTATTAGTTTGGTACATATTTTAACCTCTTTTTAAAAAATCTGAGGCTGGCTATCTAAACTCTTGCTTAAAATATTAAACATTAAAATAATAAATCTTATGAAGTAGTAAGTAAATATTAAAATCAAGTATTAAAGATTTTTTTCCTGAATAAGAAAGGTTATTAGGCCTATGAAAGATTTATATCCATGCCCTCTAAAGCAAAGAATCATTAGATAAATAATTTTATTTTAAAAAAAGATTAATAATTCTAGCTATTGAAATTATTACTGCCTTTTTAAAAACAATTTGTTTTTTAAGCAGAGTGTTTTTTTAGCACTTTATTAAAGTGATTCTGTACTACTTAAATGGCTCCAAAATGATGATTATAAACTTGACTCTTCTCCCAAGTTTTAGCAGCCTTTCCTGATTCTATCCCAGGCTGGAAACCTGGTTTTGATAAGTTCCTTATTCTATTTTCTCCTATCCATTTGATCACTGGGTCCCATTAATTCTTTTCTTTATAAATCTTCTTGCTTGTCATTTTCCACTCCAACTGCCATTACACTATTTGGAGCCTCATGACCTCTCTGTATAGCCTCTTGAATGTCCTTGTCTCTGGTTGCTTCCCTGTTGCTTGTATACCTTCTGCCAGCCTAGTGTTCCTTAAATGCCACATTCATCATAGAATCAATTTAAACTTCCTGCTCCTCACAAGGTTTCCTTCTCATGGCGTTACCAGGGAAAACCATTCAGCTTCTATATGAACACTTTCAGTAATCAGAAATTTCAAATTTTGAAGGCAATTGATATCATTGTTGGACTTTAGGTTCTCCAAATGTTAGAAAGCTTTTGTTATGTTTAGCCAGTATTTCTGTCCCTGTAATGGTCCTTGTTGTGGTCACACCAAATATGTGTTCCTCTTACCTATATTAGTTTAATCATCAGATATTTAAGTGCCTATTTGTATACCAGGAACTTAGCTAATAACGTCACACATATTCTTCATTTATCCTCAAGCAACAAGGTATGGCTTTACTATCCCTTCTTACAGATGAGGAAACTGAGTTTCAAGGAGATTAGTGGTATTCAGGAACACAGCTCTTAAGTGGTAAAGCTAGGATTTTAATATATCTCTAATTCTGAATTTTGTACCCTTACCATTATGCTACACTATCTTCCACATGGAAAATAAGGCTGTTAACAGTTGTGGAGAAAATAGACATTTACACAGGTACACGATACAGAGAAGGGAACAGGGACTGTAACTTGCACAGATGTTTAGAAGTAAGAAAAGTGACTAAGGTAGAATGGCCATACCAGCAAGATCATGTTGGAAAGTAGTGGGAAACACAATTTAAAAATAAAGATCATGTTCAGGACTTTAGAATCAAATGAGTTTGGACTTCAGGTCAGCAGTCTTCAACCTGACCACACATTAGAATTAACTGAGGAGCTTTTTGAAAAATATGAATATCCAGGCTCACTCCCAGAAGTATTGATTAGTCTAGGATGGGGCCTAGGATTTAAAAGCACTAGTGTAGGTAATGAGGTGCCATTGAAAATTAAATGAAATGCTTAGATTGAAAAGCCTTGCACAAAAATGTTCATTAATGGATATGCCAACCAGAAAGATCTCTAGAAAAGTGCCATAGAATCCATGTCATTCAGCATTTTATTAAGTGGTTTACAGACAAGAGAAAGTTCTGTATTTAGGTTTTAGAATTACAGAATATGTTGGAGAAATACATAATATATAGCATTTCATATACAAAATCATTTGGATTTTATATAATCACAAACATAATGAATCAACTACATTCATGTAAGTATAGCTCTTAGATCAGAATTCAGAGGAAGATAATATGGATAGTGAAAGTTATAAAAATAGGGATTTTAGCCCAAGTTTTAGGGATCTATAGCAATTGAGTAGCATGTGTATATTCATTCATTCATTCTTAATATTTAGTGATAGCCGGTTTGGGACCAGACACTGAGTAGGTATTGAACATACAGCATTGAACAGAACAGATGTAGTCTCAAATAGTGATGTAAAAGTAGGAATTTTAACCCAGAAAACTAAGAAATATAGTAGATGAATTATTGCTTCATAGGTATTAAATGTCTGTAGAGTGGAGACTTTGTCATTTCCTAATTGATTTAGGATTATAGTCACACATTTTGCTTATTATACATAGACTATTTTAAGAAGGATCTATGAGTAACTATTGATAACACTCTAGGGAATGATATGATATTGGGAGAAAGATTTTTTACATTATATCTTCTTCACTATTTGAATATTTTATCATAAAATATACTATTTTCTAATTTAAAATAGTTTTTTAAAATTCTGTATAGTGACTCCTCTGATTTTTCTAAACTTAGTCATATGATGAATTCATTAAGAAAACTGAAGCAGAACTTAGCCGAGATTTGGAAACATCACCAACAGCCAAGCCTCAGATTAAAACACTCTCCTCAGCTTCTGAAAAACCCAAGATCAAGCCCCTCCCATTACACAGGTAGAAATTTGTGATAACTTATCTATATTCTGCCTTCTTTGAGAAAAGTTTGTGAAAAGCATAAGACTTTTTTAGTAGAGCTATCTTTTAAGTAACTGTGAAATTGTAGAAATAAAAATAATGGTTAATATTTTTATTTTCACTAAAGTAAAATTGTTATGTATGATATAATCAGATCAAATGATATAAGGTACAGATTTAAAAATATATTTTGAATTCTGAAATCTGGTGGTTGCAATGAAAATAGTAGCATTTTAAGTTGTTATAGACCTTTTGAAAAGCAGTTTGTCAGTGTTTCTTTTTTTTTTTTAATTTTTTTTTTAATTTTTATTTATTTATGATAGTCACAGAGAGAGAGAGGGAGAGAGGCAGAGACATAGGCAGAGGGAGAAGCTGGCTCCATGCACCGGGAGCCCGACGTGGGATTCGATCCTGGGTCTCCAGGATCACGCCCTGGGCCAAAGGCAGGCGCTAAACCACTGCGCCACCCAGGGATCCCAGTTTGTCAGTGTTTCAAAAGTAAAAGACAATCTGTGACTTTTGACTCAGTAATTCCACTTCTGGAAACCTACCTTGAGAAAATATGGGCTACCAAAAATCTGTGTTATCTAACATCCTTTATCAATATAACACATTGGAGCTTGCTATATCATTGAAACCAAGCATAATAGGATGTTGCTAAAGTTAGAATAGACTGGAAAAATAAAAACTAAATTGTGAAAACCTTGAACTCAGTCATTCTTAGTAGTATCCACTTTACTTTTCAGAAGAGGTGAAGCCTTTGAAGGTTTTTAAAGAAAATATTTAGGAATTTTTTTGTCTGTTACAAAAGTAATGTATACTCATTATAATTAATTTCACATTACCTGAGTTTGAATCCTGACTTCAATACCACTTAGCTATTTAACTTTGTCAGGAAAGTTATTTAATCCCTCTATGCTTTGTTTTTTTTTTTTTTTAGTAGGGATTTATATCCCTATAATAACACCTGGCTAATTAACTTGTTATGAGGGTTAAAAGACAACTTAGAACAGATCTTAGCATACAGTTAGCACTACGTATTAATTACTATTATTATTTTTATTAGAATACTGAAGGAAGCAGTAAAAAGAAGAAAGGCTTAAATTATATACCCGACTACCTCAAAATTGCAAATGTCAACAGTATTTCCTTTTAGGACTTCTTATGCTTAGATTTTTATGTGTATTTTTTCATTGTTATAAACTGTACATTTTGTTTTTAGATTTCTACATAATATACTATTGAATGGTTTTATAGTTTTATTTTCTAGGCTATTGGAGGATTTTAACCAGGGAATGATACAATCACATTTGTGTTCAGAGAGATTTTTCTGACTATTCTATGAAGGAAAGATAGAAAAGAGTAAGCTTGGAAGCAGGGAGAATAGGAGTCTAAACCAGACCTCAAATAATCAGTGATAATAAGAACAGAGGAGATAAATTTAGAAATATTTAAGAAATAGGGGCATCTAGCTAGCTCAGTGAAGCATGCAACTCTTGATCTTAAGGTCATAAGTTTGAGCCCCATGTTGGGAGTAGAGTTTATTTTTAAACAAAAAGAATTTATCCTTAAAAACACTTAAAAAATATTTAAGTAGACTTGACTAATTAAAGTTCTAGATAGTGAAGCAGGAGAAATCTAGAATGACTTACAGATTTGTCTTAGGTAGTTGCTTGAGTCAAAGTTCCATTAACCTAAATGGAAAACCAGAGATATTCTTTTGTGGGAAGTGTATAATTTTCATTTTAGACTAATTGTGCCCATAGTTCACTTAAGGGGAATTATACAGGAAAGAGGTCAGGGTGAGATATATGGGGATGATCAGCATAAAGATGGTGGTTGAAACCATACGTATAACAATATCACCCAAAGAAGATACACATTCAGAGAGAATAAAAGGGAGCCAAGTACTAAATAGGATAAAATAGCATTTAAAGGCATTATAAAGAGAGTAGAAGACAAATACTATAACTTCACAAATAAAGAGAAGGCAAGAAAATGAAGAATGTAATTTTTCCTGTTAAAGAATAAGAAAGGGGCAAAATTTTGAGGCTTATGGCATAATTACAAGCTAAGAGGAAAAAATTAGTTGAAGGACTAAAGATGATAGGAAAGAGAATATACATATAATTGAAGAGTACCATTAATGATCGGTGGAACTGTGTGAGATTTTAGGCAGAAAGAGGTTCAAACAGTCAACTTTGAATAAGGGTGAAGGACCCCCTTTTTTCTTCTTCCTGCAGACAAGGAAAGGCAATTGGGATAGCTATGAATATAGATATATTTGTAGATGGAAAATTTGACAGTAAGAAAGTTCATGCTGGTGGACTCTGTTTTTGTCACTAAAGAAGCAAGATCATCTACTGAGAATGATGAGGGCCAGAAATAGGCTTGATGAAAGTGACAGGATGGGACACCTCCCGTGAAGCAGAAGTAGTTGTCTAAGACTTGACGGCTTTTTGTTACTAGTTAGTGTAATGTCAGCAATACATTTGTTTCTGCTCATTAATTTTTCTGTTTCAGATCTGAAACAGCAAAGAACTGGAAATCACTAACAGAATCAGAACGCTCCAGAGGATCGTTGGAGTCCATTGCTGAACACGTTGGTATGTAACTAGAAAAAAATAATTCTGTATCTACAAAGACTATGGATTTATGCAAATGCCTACACAATTCTACCTCTGTAGTTTTTTTTATTAAAAAATGAATTTCTGGGGATCCCTGGGTGGCGCAGCGGTTTGGCGCCTGCCTTTGGCCCAGGGCGCGATCCTGGAGACCCGGGATCGAATCCCACATCAGGCTCCCGGTGCATGGAGCCTGCTTCTCCCTCTGCCTGTGTCTCTGCCTCTCTCTCTCTCTCTCTGTGACTATCCTAAGTAAATAAAAATTAAAAAAAAAAAAAAAAAAACAAGCTTGTTCAAAAAAAAAAAATGAATTTCTTGGGGATCCCTGGGTGGCTCAGCAGTTTAGCGCCTGCCTTTGGCCTGGGGCGTGATCCTGGGGTCCTGGGATCGAGTCCCACGTCGGGCTCCCTGCATGGAGCCTGCTTCTTCCTCTGCCTGTGTCTCTGCCTCTCTCTTTCTCTCTCATGAATAAATAAATAAAATATTTAAAAAAAATTCTCTACAGGGCAGCCCCGGTGGCCCAGTGGTTTAGCTCTGCTTTTGGCCCAGGGCGTGATCCTGGAGACCCGGGATCGAGTCCCACATCGGGTTCCCTGCATGGAGCCTGCTTCTCCCTCTGCCTATTTTTCTGCCTCTCTCTGTCTCTCTGTGTCTCTCATGAATAAATAAATAAAATCTTTAAAAAAAAATGAATTTCTTAAAGATAGTAATTATTGGGATTTTAAGTTACTTTGATATTTTAAAGTGATTTGGTTATATATAAATTTTGTTAATAAGTCTTTGTTGTCTCAAATTCATGATAAAAACTGAAGCATAAAGGCATTACTCTAAAATGGCTGAATGTATCATTGGTTTCATTAATCAGATTTTATAACTGATTATATATTTTTTAGCCTATACTGTTGTTCAGAATTAAGTGGTCATATATATTTTTTCAATTTAATCCAAAGAAATATAAGAATTATTGAAAATAAAGTATAATTCAATGAGGAAATAAAGCTGAGACATAAAAGCAATGACAAAACAGATTTGAATTCAAAACTTTTAATTCTTGATTTGTTAGCTCATCAAATCTTTTTTTTCCTTCATTTTAACTCTTAAGGTGCTTTATTTGAGGTACCTGGGTGGTTCAGTTGGTTAAACAGCCAACTCTTGATTTCAGCTCAGGTTAGGGTCCTGGAGTGGAGCCCCACATCAAGCTCTGCGCTCAGTGGGGAGTCTTCTTGAAGATTGTCTCTCTCTCTCTGCCCCTCCCCCTAGACTCGAGCTCTTTCTCTCTCAAATCTTTTTTTAAAAAATGCTATATTTGCAGAAATAATTATCTTTTTTCTTGTGTTTTTTTACATTTGAGAGCTTAATTGAATTCCTCAGGAAAATTCATTCTTTTTGAAGTACATATAGAATACTTCCCTTCCTTCCTTCATTGTTTTTCTATATGAAATACGTATATGATATCCATCGTACAGTTCTGATTTTGCATGGTTGAGGATGATCATGCAAATCAATGTCTCCATAAACTGAGAGACATTTTTCTACACTTCATAAGTTAAGACAACACTTATGAAATTATTTCAAACTTTAAATTTTCAGTCATTCTACTGTTCTGGATATTGTTGGTTTAATATATTCTTTTAAAGGAAAAACTTACCTTATACAGTAACCAAAACAGATTATATTTATTGACCAGAGTTTTTCCTAATGAAAATTTAGCTTTTATTTAACCTTTCATTCCTGAAGTTAAAAGATTGTGGTTAAATAATTTTGATATGATTTTTTTTCTTTTCCTTTAAGATGCTGCATTGGCAGGTTCTGAGAGATCAGTACCAGAAAGGTCACTGTCTGCATATGCAAAGAGAGTGATTGAATTGGATAGACAAACAGAAGAACATTTCCAGACTTCGTCTCCAATTCTTAGATCATCAAGAACTAGAGCAGAATCTGGAGATTCTCTGGAAAATGTACCTTCCTTACCTCTTCTCAAAGAATTGAATGTCTCTAATAGAATTCTGGATGTGTCAGATGCCAAGGTTGAGGAAGACTCTAGTCAAAAATCAGAAATACAAGAAGTAGACTATACAAAATTGGAAGAAAGTGTGATTGAAGAGGCCTATTCGAAACAATCTAGGAAGTCTGATGTCTTACTGAAACTAGACCTAGAACAGGGAGACTCATCTGAAATTCTTTCAAGGAAAGATCTTTCTTTAGATTCTATAAATGTTCAGAAAGACTTAGTTAGATTAGCCATTGAAAATCTTCATAGAAAGGAGTTGAAAGAGTCAGATCAAGATATGGATCATAGTCCAAACATCCAATCAGAAAGAGACATTCAGGAACAAAAGAACATAAAGGAAAGGGACTTGTCTTTGTTAGAACATCTTTTTGCTCCTAAAGAGATTCCATACTCTGAAGATTTCGAAATGTCTTCCTTCAAGAAAGACATTTCAGCTGAATTGTACAAAGATGACTTTGAGGTGTCATCTTTGTTGTCACTCAGGAAAGAACCTCAGTCCTGCAGAGACAAATCACAGCCAACCAGGAACTCTACGAGTAGAGCCATTAGCTTTGGCAGTGATGATGAAATCAGTGAGTGCCTCAGTGAGAAAAGCCTTTCTGTTCAGAGCAGTGTCCACTCTGAGAGGCTGTTAGAACTCAAGTCCCCTACTGAACTTATGAAAAGTAAGGAGCGCAGTGATGTAGAGCATGAACAGAGAGTTACAGAAACCCCTTCCTTGGTTTCAGTTTCTGTGGCAGATGAGTTACATGATTTCCACATTGGTGATAGGGTGTTGATTGGCAATGTTCAGCCAGGAACTCTTCGATTCAAAGGTGTGACTAGTTTTGCAAAAGGATTTTGGGCTGGAGTAGAGTTGGATAAAGCTGAAGGAAATAACAATGGAACATATGATGGCATTGTATACTTTGTGTGCAAAGAGAAACATGGTATTTTTGCTCCTCCTCAAAAAATATCTCACATTCCAGAAAACTTTGATGACTATGTAGACATAAATGAAGATGAAGAGTCTTACTCAGATGGACAGTATCAATACTATAATCAAGAACAAAAAGATACAGTGGATTCCAAGTTTGATAAAGAAAAGGATGCAGTTGATTATTTTTATGAGAATTCTCCATCTAGTATGCACAATATAGAAGCCTCACTTGGTAGAAGCCTTAAAATAGAAACAGACAACATTCAGGACATCTCCGGGGTACTTGAAGCCCATGTTCACCAGCAGTCTTCAGTGGATTCACTGATCTGTTCACAGGAAAACAAAAACCTTGTTTCTAGTGCCACAGAAAAGATCTCCATTGCTGTAGAAGACGATACTTTAGATAATACCTTTTCTGAAGAATTAAAGAAGCAACAACAGTTTACAGAAAGGGAAGAGAACCTATATCCCGAGGTGTCAGAGAAGCTTTCTACTCCACTTCTGGATCTTTTAACGAGAGAAAAGAACCAATTGGAAGCCCAACTGAGGTCAACTCAAAGTGAGGAAAAAAAGTCAGAGCAACAGCTAGAAAGAGTCTCTTTACTGACAGACAGTTTACTAACAGTCTTTGTGAAGGACACAGTCAATCAACTACAAGAAATCAAAAAATCTAGGAATGAAAAAATCCAGCTTAGCAATCAAGAGCTTCTTGATGATGATCAAAAGAAAGTTCTATCCCAAGCCCTATCCCCAGATCTTGAGGAACAGTCATCAACTGTTCCAGGTTGCTTCTTAAGGTCTGAATTGGAAGATGAAAAAGAAGAGATTTCTTCACCAGATATATGCCCCAGACCTGTAAGTATTTTATCTAGACAGAATGTCAATTTAACAGCTCTTGAGAGTTTTTTTTGTGACGTGTTATTTGATAAAAATCACTAGTACTAGTTTTTAAAGGCCTCATCGCTGTTTTCCTGTCTGAAGTATAATTGTCCTCTGTTATGTCATGAGTGGTCACTATAGGGTTGTCACAGACACTAGCAGCTTTATGCTGGATTGATGACCCTTGTTTGCTGTCCACAGGTTAGAGTCCCTTCCAGGATTCACTGAACAGATTTATTTCCTGGAGCTTTCCAGTGGTTCTCAATCCAGTTCATTTTGCCTATGAAATAATTTGTCCACCTAGCTACTCAGTCATAGTTACCCTGCAGATATTAGCAGTTGTGATGTTGATTCTGATAAAACTGAAATATATCCACTATGACATATACTCAGACCATCAGCTTACTTAGGTGCCCATGGACATTTGAACAAAAGTAATGATTTTGAGTAACTTGAGATAACAGATAATCACCGAAGGTGAGAAATTTTGTATACCATTAACATACCCCAAAGATAAGAAAGTCCCTCAGAAAACAATGATAAATCAAAAAGAAAAAAACAACTAATCAATAAACATTGTATAAAAATTCAAGTATAAGGCTTATGTAAGCACAGTTATGGGAAACCAGGTAGTTTTTTCTTAACTTGTTAATTGGCAGCCACCATATTGTTTTTATTTTGCTTATAATAGAGAAGTAATAAATATACAAATAATATATTTGCTTTGTCTTTAAGAAAAAAAAACCCAAATGAGTGATCTGAGGTCACTAAATGGTGGTCTATCTGAATGGTTCCAATTCTGTAGGAGAGTCCAGTATTTGGTGCCAGTGGGCAGGAAGAACTTGCGAAGAGACTTGCTGAACTTGAGATCAGCCGGGAGTTCCTGAGTGTGTTAGGAGATGATCAAGATTGGTTTGATGAAGACTTTGGTTTGAGCTCTTCTCACAAGATCCCCAAAAATAAAGCAGAAGAAACAATTGTACCTCTAATGGCAGAACCTAAAAGAGTTCCCCAGAAGCCATGTGAAACACTATTGGCAGTCCCACATACTACAGAGGAAGTAGAAATTCTGGTACATAATGCAGCAGAAGAACTCTGGAAATGGAAAGAATTAGGTCATGATCTTCATAGCATCAGCATTCCTACAAAACTGCTTGGCTGTGCCAGTAAGGGTCTAGATATAGAAAGCACTAGTAAAAGGGTCTACAAACAGGTATGTAACATGGAACGATAATTTAATCTTTGAATTTATTTCCGTTGTCTGAACTTTGGATTCTCAGCCATTTTGTTTTACTTTTCTCTTTCAAGGCGGTTTTTGATTTAACAAAAGAGATTTTTGAGGAAATATTCGCAGAGGATCCCAACTTGAATCAACCTGTCTGGATGAAGCCATGTAGAATCAACTCTAGTTATTTCCGACGAGTGAAAAATCCAAATAACCTTGACGAAATCAAGGTAAACTGCAAACTAGACAGTATCTCCTCTTTTGACTTGCTATTCATTTATGCAGATCTATAAATGCCATGAAAACAGATACTTTTCTGTGTTATTCACCCTCTGTCCTCAAGGCCTGTCGCATAGTGGGTATTGAATAAATGTTTGTTGATTCATTGAATCCATGAGCAGTGGAGGGACGGGGTGAGAGGGAATCCTGAATTCTCAAGTTTTTGCAAAGCATAGTTTTAACAGTCATTTCCTGTGTGTGTGTGTGTGTGTGTGTGTGTGTGTGTATAATTTATAAAATTTAAGTTCTAACATTTAAGAAAAAATTAGGAAATAGGGAAATAAATTATTGTGATTCATTGGAGTTTTAGGTAAATTTTTGGTGACTTAGAAATAGATATTCTAGAATTACACGTGAAAAGATGTCATATATCAAACATGCCAGCCCTAGACAGGTGTTACCTTTTCATCTTTGATTTTGGAGGTTTCAGATTAGTAATGTGGTTTTGAAATATGTGGGATAGTAATATGATATATAAAATATATTATTATCTAAGAAGCCTCTGAAAAGATTAAGTACCCTAAAGCTACAGTAACTCCCAACAAAACTTTAGAGTCACAATGATAGCAGTTCTCTGCCTCTTCACATGTACAAATATATATATAAATATATTTATATATTTATACCCACAAATACTATATTTTATAATGCAAATTTATTTTATTAATTTATTAATAACAATGAATAAGCTGAAATAAGATAAAATACCTAATATTATATCTATATCTGTAATACCTGTGTATGTATGTGTGTGTGTGCGTGTGTGTATACACACACACACACACACAGGTCATATAACAAACAAAGGTTATATTTCCAGTATAGTGCCTCTCAGACTGTAATGTGAGTATGAATCATCTGGAGATTTTGTTAAAAATGGAGATTCTTATGCAGCAGATCTGGAGTAGGACCTGAGATTCTGCATTTCTAACAAGCTCCTTAGTGATGTAGCTTCTCTTGACCCTAGAACCACTCCGAGTTGCAAGGGTCTGGAGTTGTATTTTGCAGACCTTATTTGATCATGGAAAGCTGATTTTTTTCCCTACAGATAGTGTACCTCCAACTATAGTTGATCCTTGAACATTGTTGGCGGTTAGGGATGCCAACCCCCTACTCAATTGAAAATCTTTATGGAGAGTCTACCAGAAAGCTTACAAGTAACAGTTAACACATACTTTGTATATGTATTATATACTGTATTCTTACAATAAAGTAAGCTAGAGAAAAGAAATGTTATTAAGAAAATCTCAAGAGAAACTACATTTATGGTACTGTAATGTACTCAATTGAAAAAAAATCCATGTGTAACTAAATGGACCCACAAGAGTTTAAGAGTCAACTGTACTCATCTTACTGGTATATTTTTCTTAAAATCATCAAAGATTAGAATACAGTAAAGAACATATACAATATTCTGGTGTATAATGTGGAGGCATTGCCTAAACAATTTAGTCTTTTTTTTATTAAAATGTAATTACCATATAACATTAGTTTCAGATGTACAACATAATGATTCAGTATTTGTATATATTGTGAAAAGATCACCACAAGTCTAGTTAACATCCATCATCACATATAGTTACGAATTTTTTTGTGTGATGAAAAGTGTTAAGATCTATTCTCTTAGCAACTTCCAAATATACAGTAACACAGCATTAACTATAGAAAGCTTTTGAAAATATTTTGTACTCGTAGAACACCAGTGATGTTTATGAGATGCATTATATGCTTACATTGAAGTTAGGCAAACTATGGCCCACAGGCCAGTTCCAGCCTACCACCTGTTTTTATAAATGAAGTTTTATTGGACCACAGCCACACCCATTTGTTTAAATATTGTCTATGGCTGCCTTCCTGCTATAAGAGCAGAATTGAGTAGTTGTGACAGAGACCCCATGGCCCATAAAGCCTAAAATTTTTATAGTTCGGCTCTTTACCAAAGCTTGCTGACTTCTGCTTAAATTGAAGTAAGTAGCACCAAAAAAAAAAAAAAAAGTGCAAAGATTAATTTTTTTAAAGATTTCTTTATTCATGAGAGAGAGAGAGAGAGGCAGAGACACAGGCAGAGGGAGAAGCAGGCTCCATGCCGGGAGCCTGACGTGGGACTCGATGCCAGGACTCCAGGATCGCGCCCTGGGCCAAAGGCAGGCACTAAACCGCTGAGCCACCCAGGGATCCCGCAAAGATTAATTAGATTTTTAAAAAAAAACTAAAATGATTTTCAGCTTTAAGAAATAGAATATCAGAACCACCTGGAGAGTTTTTGTTTTTGTTTTTGTTTTAAACACAGGTGTACTCCATTTCTTTCAGCCCTCCAAAGTTAATACATCCATTAGTAAGAGAGTGTATGTGTATAGTGGTAGAGTTCGGAGACTCATTGGTTTGAGAATCTTCTCAAATTATTCTGATTCTTAAATGTATCTTTTCCTCCATTAAGGACATTGTTTTTTAACAGAACTGTAAAAAGTAGTAAAAACCCAAATTTATTAATAACAAAGAACAAATAAGTTGAAAGAAGGCAAGGCACATAATATATATCAACCATCATCAGAATGCATATGTCAATATAACACACTGTGATGCTACCCACCAATATTCATACTGAAATAGCGTTTTGTAAAGTTTTTTCTAAGGGTGATAGTTTAAATATTGTTAGTAAAACTATCATGTTTTTTATACTGAAATGTTGATTAATATTTTTTTAATTCAACAAATTCAGTCATGGTGCTTTAGAATAAACTATCCTAGCCAAAGCCTGTACTTTGCTCACATGGCATTGCCTCCAACATTTATATGGAATTTTTCAGATGCAGAGATTATTTTATGCTTCTGTTAGTAGTTTTCCCAGCTTGAAGTTAGCCAGTGGTAGTAGTTCTTGGGTAGAGGGGACTCTCAAGTGATTTTTCTTTGCAGATTCATCAATGAGTTTTACTTTTATATGTTGTGTAAAAACAAAAATTCTTTAGTGAATAAGTCTGAGCATTTGGAATGCTTGTGTCTTCAAATTGCTAAGTGGAACTGTAAGTGGGAGAAATTCGTATGATCTTTTATTATAAATTCTATATTCTTAGCACAAATCTGCATCATAAGCACTAAATCTCAGGAACTTTGTTGTTTTTGTTTCATTCCCTCTTATTTTCACAGAACTTCATAGCCACAGAAGTACTCAAGTTGTTTAGTCTTAAAAAGGAGCCAAACCACAAAACAGATTGGCAGAAAATGATGAAATTTGGAAGAAAGAAAAGAGACCGAGTGGATCATATCCTGGTCAGTGTATATAACTGAAATATTTTTTATTTTGACTGTCTCTTCTAAAATCAGAATGTGATTAGATTCTAAAAAGAAAGAGAAGAGGTGGCTGGGTGGCTCAGTTAAGTATCCTCCTCCTGGTTTCAACTCAGGTCATAATCTCACAATTGTAGGATCGAGCCCACCCACATCAGGCTCTGTGCTCCGCGCAGAATCTGCTTCAGATTCTCTGTTCTTCACGTTCTCTCTGTGTCTCTCAGATAGATAAGTGAAGTCTTTTAAAAGAGGGGAAATACAATTGCTTTTAAGTCTATGATAGTAAAGCCTTAAATCTTTCATTTGCTGCATTTCTGCCCCTCAGTTTTAGGACTTGCTTTCTTTTGAACTTGATAGATCAATATTTAACTTAACAGTATTTTGTGGGTGTGGAGAATTTGAGAAAAAGTTGAGTGGATGCAAAGTTTAAGGTACTAAATTAAAAATAGAAAGAGACCAATAAAGATTCTGGGGCCAGATGGCCTGAGTTTATTTATTTTTTTTATTTTTTTGATGGCCTGAGTTTAAATACTTGTTCTGCCACTTACCTGATGTGTAATCTTGGACAAATTGTCTAACCTCTTTATGTCTCATTTCCCTGTCTGCAGCCTACCAATACAGTTATTAAGGAATTAAAATGAGTATTTATATATGTGTGTATAGAAGAATTCCCTGTATATAATACTCAATAAAAACTAGTTGTTACTATTTTGCCATTATTATTATTATCCAGAGCTTTAGCTGGATAAGATTTATTCCATTTTGCAGTATATTTCTCTAGCACTAGAAAAATGTTTATCAAGGTGCCTGGGTACTCAGTTGGTTAAGCATCTGACTTTGATCTCAGCTTAAGTCTTGATCTCAGAATCATGAGTTCAAGCCCCACATTGGGCTCCATGCTGGGCAGGGAGCCTACTTTAAAAAAAAAAAAATGTTTATCACACCAAAAAAAGAAAAAGGAAAGTAAAAAAAGGACTTTTATTCTTTTCTTTCTTCCCTAAAAGAATGTTAAGTAGTAGCAAACTTTAGGAAATGCATTACTTGATTCAGGTTTATCTCTAAACATTTTAATTCTGAACTTTCAGTCTTGTTTATATTTATATTCATATGATGAAAAACAAGTTTAATCCTTAAATTAATCAGTTTTCCCCAAGTATATGTCTTCCCATTGCTTCATTGCTCAGTAACAACTATACTAGATAAACATTTATTTAATAGCTTGCCATTCTTTTTCATGCCTTTTTTCATGCATGAAAAGAACACACTATAAAACACAGTAATTATATGAGGTAGGAAGGAGTCATGTTATTCTGTTTTATAAATGAGGAAGTTTAAACTCAAAGATATTAAGTGACTTGCCCAGCAAATGAGAGCCAAGATTTTAACCAACTAGTTGTTCATAGATCTTTGCATCTCAAGAATGTGAACTTGTTCTCATATTTCAATAGTGGCTTAAAGTTTGAGTTATTGTTAATTTCCAAGATGTTGCTTCCAGCACTTCTGTAGTAATTAAAGGGCGCCTGGGGTAGTTTGGTCGCTTAAGCATCTGCTTTCAGCCCAGATCACGATCTTGGGGTCCTCAGTTGGAGCCCTGCATGATGCTCCCTGCTCATGCTCTCTGTCACTCTCTCAAATAATTTTTTAAAAAAGATTTTATTTATTTGAGATCAAGAGCACAAGCGGGGGTGAGGAGGGGCAGAGGGAGAAGGAGTAGCAGATTCTCTGCTGAGCATGGATCCCAGCCCAGGTCTCCATCCCAGGACCCCAGGAGCATGACCTGAGCTAAAGGCAGAGGCTTCAACTGAGCCACCCAGGTGCCCCTCAAATAAATAAAATCTTAAAAAAGAAGAAGAAGAAGAAAGCATGTCAAGAAACGTTCATTTATCCTTCTTTTTATCCTTTTTTTATCCTTCTATCAGTTAACTTGATAACATCCTCTACCATCATCTCAGTGTAAACATTTGAATCAAGAACTGTACTAATTAAGGGCTAATGTGACAGTAGTAAGCAAGACAGGTATAGATCTTGTCTTCGTGGATTTACAGTTTGCTGTCAAAAACTAGCCATTTGATATATAATTTACACAAGTGTGTAATTCTAAATTAAACAATAAAAATAAAGGAATACAGAGCTGTTGTAAAAGCATAAACCAAAGGAAACTGATCTAATAAGGATGGTCAAGGTAGGCTTCCCTGAGGAGGAGACATTTGAGCTGAGATCTTAAGGATGAGTAAGCATTACCTGAGTTCTAAGATAGAAGAGCATTTCAGGGGGAGCAAACCACATTTGCCAAGACCTGAAATGAGGAGGAGCTTGGATTTGATCTGAAATGTTAGTGGTTGGAAGTGGCATAAGATAAAACTGGAGGGGTAAGATCTGCATCCTCCAGTACTTTGTAAGTCATGTTAAGGCTTTTGGATTTTATGATGAAAACAAACTTAAGCTAGAGAAACTATAAGACCAGATTGGCAGTTTTAAAAATGCAAGGTGAGTGGGACACCTGGGTTAAGCATCTGACTCTTGATTTCAGTTCAGGTCATGATCTCAGAGTTGTAGGATTGAGCTCCCCACTCAGCAGACAGTCTGCTTAAGATTTTCTCTCCCTCTCCCTTTGCCCCCCCCCCTAAAAATAAAAATAAATCTTTTAGTTGTGTATTTTTCTAAATATGTATATAATATATGTATGTGTATGTATGTATATACTGGGAGAATTCTTCAAAAGAACCAAGTGTGTGGAGGAAGAAAAACCAGGTAGAAGGATATTAGCCTATACAGCACAGGTGGCTGTTGTTTATTAAAGCAAAACTTCTTAGATAAGTTTATCTTGAGCATGTCAAAGCAAATGAGGAAACTAGCATAGTGTGCCAGTTCAAAAGGACACAGAAAGTGAAGACTTACTATATCCAGCTTCCAGCTAGTTACAGACAGCTTTTACTTCACAAGTATATAAAAATGTCATCTTAATAGTCCAAGGATTAAATATATTGGAGGGAGAGGCAACAATTTGGAAGCATCCTCAGACTTGAATTATTAATCCGAAATGACAAGTAATATATCTCACAAGTGAAGAGTAAGCAGATTGGTTTGTGACCCTTTATTAGATGTACCAAAAAACAAGAAACTGTCCTTGGACAGCAAAGGCTTTCAACAGTGCCATATAGGATCACTTATATAGAAACATCTGTCTCTCCAGCAGTTCTCAGAAAAGTCTCAAATAGCAAACAAAAATTTCTTTAGCTAGTATAAGATTATTATAACTTTGTTGAAGGTGACATCTGTATGTATAACAATTCAAGAGATTTAGGAGTTGGGAAACAGTAACAATATATATTATGTGTATGTCCCCTTTGCTGGTCATAAAATACTTTTCACTTTCCTGCAGAGAGATGTAATTTGTTTCATGAGTTCACTCTTTTTTTCTCCCACTCTTCTGAATGTGTAGCTAAATGGTACTGCTAGCTTCTTGAGTTAATTATTAAGAGATGCTTAATAAACTCCTCTCCCACAATTATATAGCCAACCTGGCATTTGGAGATTCTAATGTTTTTGCACTCAATATTTTTTTAAAGATATGTTTATTTATTTTGGTGGGAGGGCAAGAATGGGGGAGGGCCACAGGCAGAGGGAGAGAGAAATTTAAGCAGACTCCATGATGAGTGCGGAGCCCATCTCAAGACTAGATCTCATGAGCCTGAGCCAAAACCAGGAGCCATTTAACCGTGCCACACAGGTGCCCCTCAAAACAACAATTTTTTATAACACTCATATGAACCAAAAGTTCTTCCCTTAGTACAAAAGAAAAATCGTGTTTATTATAAAATAATCATGCTCATTTTAGAGAATTTACAAAATATTGATAAAAGAAAATCATGATAATCTCAACATCTAGATAACTCCTAATATTGTGATGTATATAGACTTGGAGTCCTTTTATACACAAAATTTTTTTAAACAAATGAGATCATTGTCTCTTTTTTTGTGATCTGATTCTTTTTACTTAATAAAATGAACATTTTTTATTCTCACTAAATGTTCCTCTATTTTATATCACTTTTAATAACTTTATGCCATTTTATTTTCCTGGAAATAAGTAATCCACTAAATGGATGTACCATTATTTTAACCAATCAATAATTTTTTTGCTTTTTTAAACAACAGTGTTGTGATAAATATCTTGCAGTATGAGATTTTTGTACTTATTGTCAATAATTTCCTTAGAGTAAACTCCTAAAATAGAATTACTGATTAAAAATATATGCAGAATGTTAAGGCTTTCGTATGTGTTATCAAAGTGTTCTCCAAAAAGGTTGTACCAACTATACATACTCACCAGCAAGATAACAAGAGTAGAGTTTCTCGCCTTTGCCAATACCTAGCTATTACCAGTTTTTAAATCTTTATCAAAAGAATTAGCTGATTTTGCTCTTTATAATTTTATTATTAAATGTGATTAACTTTTACCTGTTTATTAGCTATTCTAAATCTTTTGCATGTTTAATTATTAAATATTAATATTAATAGTATATAATGTATTATATATTATTAACATTCTTAAATATTCCAAAATTACAAAAAAGAACAGATAATGGTATAGAACCCCTTCCTCCTCTTCCACTGAGTCCAGTTTCCACCATCCTAAAGTATGAACTCATAATCTCATTAACTTAATGTAAGCTCTGTCTTTGTCTGCAAATGTCTTTATTTCAGCTCTTACTCTTGAATTATAGTTTACTTAAGTATTGAATTCTAAGATGATAGTTCTTTTACTTCAGCAATTTGAAGGTATTCTTTTATTGTAATCTGACCTCTCTTGTTGGTCTTGAGAAATCTGCTGACAGTCCTTTATGGGGAATCTCTTTTCTTGTTAGTTTCTATTGAAGGTTATGTGTGTGGTGTTTGTGTGTTCATTTTATAAATTCTCTGGATATGTCTAGATGTGGATTTCATTTTATTTTTCCTGCTTTGGACTCACTGTGCTTATT